CCATGGACTGTAGCACTCTGGGTTTCCCTGTCCATCACGAATTCCCGAAACTTGCTCAAACTCATGTCCATTGAGTTGGTGATGCCATCCAGCCATCTCACCCTCTGTCATCCCCTTTTCCTCCTACCTTCAATCTTTCCCAGCATCAGGGTCTTTTCAAATGAGTCAGTTCTTTGTGTCAAAGTATTGGAGTTTCAACTTCAGCATCAGTCCTTCCAATGAACACGCAGGACTGATCTCCTTTAGGATGGACTGGTTAGATCTCCTTCCAGTCAAAGGGACTCTCAAGACTCTTCTCCAACACCACAGTTCAAAAGCATCAATTTTTTGGTGCTCAGCTTTCTTCACAGTCCAACTCTCACATCCATACATGACCACTGGAAAAACCATAGCTTTGACTAGACGGACCTTTGTTGGTAAAGTAATGTCTCTGCTTTTTAATATGCTGTCTAGGTTGGTCATAGCTTTTCTTCCAAAGAGCAAGCCTCTTTTAATTTTATGGCTGCACTCACCATCTGCAGTGATTCTGGAGCCCAGAAAAATAAAGTCTGACATTGTTTCCACTGTTTCCCCATCTATTTGCCATGAAGTGATGGGACTGGATGCCATGATATTAGTTTTCTGAATGTTGAATTTTAAGCCAACTTTTTCACTCTCCTCTTTCACTTTGATCAAGAGGCTCTTTAGTTCTTCTCACTTTCTGCCATAAGAGTGGTGTCATCTGCGTATCTGAGGTTATTGATTTCTCCCAGCAATCTTGATTCCAGCTTGTGCTTCATCCAGCCTGGCATTTCACATGGTATACTCTGCATGTAAGTTAAAGAAGCAGGGTGACAGTATACAAGCTTGATGTACTCCTTTCCCTATTTGGAACCAGTCTGTTATTCCATGTCCATTTTTAAGTGTTGCTTCTTGATGTGCATACAGCTTTCTCAGGAGGGAGGTAAGGTGGTCTGGTATTCCAATCTCTTGAAGAATTTTCCAGTTTGTTGTGATCCACATAGTCAAAGGCTTTGGCATAGTCAATAAAACAGAAGTAGATGCTGTTCTGGAACTCTCTTGCTTTCTCGATGATCCAACGGATGTTGACAACTTGATCTCTGGTTCCTCTGCCTTTTCTAAATCCAGTTTGAACATCTGGAAGTTCTCAGTTCACGTACTGTTGAAGCCTGACTTGGAGAATTTTGAGCATTACTTTACTAGCGTGTGAGATGAGTACAATGGTGCGGGTAGTTTGAGGATTCTTTGGCATTGCCTTTCTTTGGGATTGGAATGAAAACTGACCTTCTCCAGTCCTGTGGCCACTGCTGAGTTTTCCAAATTTGCTGGCATATTGAGTGCAGCACTTTCACAGCATTGTCTTTCAGGATTTGAAATAGCCCAACTGGAATTCCATCACCTTCACTAGCTTTGTTTGTAGTGATGCCTCCTAAGGCCCACTTGACTTCACATTCCAGGATCTCTGGCTCTAGGTGAGTGATCACACCATCATGGTTATCTGTGTCATGAAGATCTTTTTTGTATAGTTCTGTGTATTCTTGCCATCTCTTCTTAATATCTTCTGCTACTGTTACGTCCATACTGTTTCTGTCCTTTATTGTGCCCATCTTTGCATGAAACTTCCCCTTGGTATCTGTAGTACTTGTTTGAGGCCTGGCCCAGGAAGATTCCACATGCTGCAGAGCAACTAAGCCTGTGCACCACAAGTACCTGAAGCCCTAGAGCCGATGCTCTGCAACGAGAGAAGCCCCGCAATGAGAAGCCTGCACACAACTGGAGCGTGACCCCGCACTGCAACCAGAGAACAGCCGACAGCCACAAAACCCCGCAGAAGCAAAAATAATTAATTATATACATAGTTACATAGTTATATATGTATATATATAAATATGTATGTATACACATATATATATGTATATATATAAATCATTCCACAGGCCACAAGGCATAGTAAAAAAAAAATACACAGGATTTCTCTTCTTTACAATTTTATATGAATTTATAATTATCTCAAAATTTAAAAAAGATTAAAAAGATCAAGTACGTTGAACAATGAATTCATTCAAGGAAGTGCCATAAAAATTAATCAAAAAACATTGTTTTGGTTTAAATTTTAATGATTAACTACAACCTAGAAATCTTCCTTATCAATATCTGTGTTCTTTTGAAGATGGAAATTTTCTCTAGATTTTTGAGAATTAAGTTTTAATTATTTATTTATTGCCATGCTTTGAGGCCTGTGGGATCTTAGTTCCCTGAAGTGATGTGTTAGTTGCTCAGTCATGTCCAGCTCTTTGTGACCCCATGAACTGTAGCCTACCAGGCTTCTCTGTCCATGGAATTCTCCAGGCAAGAGTACTGGAGTGGGTTGCCATTCCCTTCTCCAGAGAATCTTCCTGACCCAGTAATCAAACCGGGGTCTCCTGTATTTCAGGCAGATTTTTTTACTGTTTACTAGTTCCCTGACCAGGGGTCAAACAATCCCCACCCCCCCCCCCAACCCCTGCCCACTTTGGAAGCTCAGAGTCTTAACCAGTGTACCAGCAAGGAAGTCTCAAGAATGGACTTTTGAAAAGTCTAAAGTCATTCCTCTACACAGGATATTTTAGACATGAAAATTATTCATTTTTTTAAAAAGGAAATAAAGGGGGACTTCCCTGGTGGTCCAGTGGTTGGGACTCTACCCTTCCACTGCAGAGGGAGTGGGTTTGATTCCTGGTCAGGGAACCAGGATCCTGCTGCATGCCACACAGTTTGGCCACAAAAAAAAAAAAGGAAGGATGTGGCTTCAAGCATAACAAGCTCTTTGGACTCAAGGCTTATCACTCTAAAGAAATTCTGGAGATAGAATTACAGAAATCAGACTCATAAAGAATCTTTGTGGTACAATCAGTCTTCATTATATCTTTTATTGGAATGTAACTTAAGCTGTTGTAATCCTTTTGACCTTGTGTTCACCATCATATAAAGTTGTTATTTTTATTTTTTTTTTTACCATGTGGTATGTGGGATCTTAAGTTTCCTGGCTAGGGATCAAATCCATGCCCCTGGCATTGGAAGTGCAGACCTTTAACCACTGTACCACTAGGGAAGTTCCACCATCATATAAAGTTTTGAAGATGAAAGATAACCCCCACAATAGAACACAGCTTTATTTTACTGAAAATCTGTGTTAATATGAAGATAACTCAGGCTAAAACACATGTTTGCCTTATTCATATTAGAGACACTTAGGATTCCACCCTGTTTATAGTTGGTACCATTGGTAAGTGACCTAGAACTAGATCTGGTTGAAGATCACTAGAACCATCATTAAGATGTTAGGTGAACTCTTAAAGATCTGTCCATTCATGTAGTGGTAGACGTAATTGATGATTAGTAAAAACCTGAATTGTATGATGTGAAAAATCAAGTATTTGAGTAATACTTTAAAGTTATTCATCACTTCATGATATTTTCATTCTTCTTGCAATAAATATGCATGTTTACTTCAGAATAGAGTGAGGTTTCAAACATCAGTTTCTCTAAGTTAATGTATTTCCAAATTTAAAATCAAATTACAAATTTTTGAAGAGTCTCAGAACAGATTAAATTTGGCACATATATATAATAAAGGCAGTGGATCAGCCAGTAAAAAGCTAGTATGAAGGTTAAAAGACAAAAGCAACTAAAACTACAATTAGAAGCTAAGTAATGCATAAAATAAAAAGATAAATATATCAAAAACATAAAACATAGGACGTGGAGAAAAGGGAACACTTGTACACTGTTGGTGGGTATGTAAATTGGTGTAGCCACTGTGGAAAACACCATGGAAGATCCTTAAAAAACTAAAAATAGAACTACCATATCCAGCAATAACACTCTTTACAGTATCTGGAGAAAATGAAAACATGCATGCACCCCAATGTGCACAGCAGCATTATTTACAATAGCTAAGATATGGAAGCAATCTGGTGTCCCATCAACAGATGAATGGATAAAGAAGATGTGGTATATATGTGTGTACAGATTCACACATACACACAATTAAATACTACTCAGCAATTTAAAAAAAATGAAATTTTGCCATTTGCAACAATGTACATGGACTTGGTAAGAATTACGCTTAGTGAAGCAAGTCAAAGACAAATACCATAGAGTTTCACTTACATGTGGAAACAATTAGACTGCAATCAAACAATATTAACTTATCCATTAAAAAAGAGGCACTCTTAGAACACTAAGAGTGAATCCTAATGTAAACTCTGGAATTTGGGTGATAATGATGTGTCAATGTAGGTTCATTAGTTATAAGAAAGGTACCACTCTGGCTGGGGATGCTCCTAATGGGGAGGCTATGCATGAGTAAGGCCAGAGAGTATACCAGAAAGCTAATAAATTTTGCTGTGATCCTAATTTTGCTCTAAAAAAAAAAAGCCTTTAAAAAAGGCACTTACTCCAGAAAATTTTAAAGCTCTAAGTAGAGTTCTTACTGAGGCTTCATTTAGTTTACCCTATTTTCATTGTTGTTCCAAGTGGTTTGCACTATTTTGTAAATTCTTCAAGCAAACTAGTTGATTACAAAGCAAAATTAGATAAATGTATCTTAAATTCTGTTATACTATGTTATATATATATTAGTATATGCTATATAGGAACTATTATACTATTATTATAAAGTAGACTTTAAAGATCTACTTTAACAAAGTTTATGGCAAAGATTCTAGACTTGTATACAAGATCCTATTACCTGATCATATTACCTTTCTAATAAATTATATAAATGCTCACTGCTGATAAAAAAAAATAATGTTCACCAATATGTCATATGCATGGTTAGTGTTTTATTGTTTGAAGAATGGTTCTGAAACATCACACTAAGTCAGGTTGGAAGGAAAAGTTTAAAATAGTTTTATAAGGATATAACACATGTACTGACTGTTCACTCTACAAAGTCTTGATCATAGAGCTTATGATACACCTAGTTAGCAGTAGCACCCAGGTTTTCCAGATAGTCATTATTTCTCTCTTGTTTGCATAGACTTCTTCTCATTGGCTGCCTTCTGCTTTTGTTGCATGATCTCAGAGTCCCTATAATGGGGAAAAAGGCTGTAAGTCGTTACAGAAAAACTATGTTCTCCCTTGTATTCTATAATAATCCATTCAGTGTCTTAGAAGACAATTAAAAAGAAGATATACAATTTCACGTCTTTCCACTTTCATGGCTGGAGATGGAACGGGAAGGCAAAGAACGGAAATTTCTTTGAAGTCAGGTCTCATTTTGAATACAATTTGTACTCAGGTATATGTGTGTGTCCTAATGTTTCATATATAGCACAGATATACACATCATTTGACATGAGGCAGTTATATGCAGAAATAATGGCGATTATTCTTGATTGTCAACACAGTTAATTCACTCTAAATTTTTTCATGAAAGGGGCATTTCTGAAGTGTTCCAGATATCTTAAGTGATGCCTAGGATTAGGACATAGATGTCATTATATTAAGCAATTCAGTTTCTTACAAGCCAAAAGCCAAATAGCTAGTGATGAAAAATGGATTACACTCCAGCAGGATATTCAGGGCATTTTCTTAACCCTTTGTGTCTCTGGTTGAACCTGCAAGTACTGTGAACTAAGACCAAACTACCTGGGCTGGATGGTCCATGAGCCCATATTAAAAACATATTAAATCACTATATATTCAACAGCTCCAATGTGCCAGGCACTTTGCTGGTTCTGAATTAAATCCCACAACAACTTTGAGTTATTGTCTTTATGTTTCAGGTTTAAAAGTTAAAGGCTTAGAGCTTTTCTGCCTCAAATCACATAAAAACCAAGGTCTGTCCAGTTTCAAAGTCTAGGCTCTTTACTATATTGTCACTGCATATTTAATATTAGGTTTTAGTTCAGGATGAGTGGCTCTGTCCATGTCATTAAGACATTTCTGTAAAGCCAAAAGCAAAAATAAAGAATGAGAAGGAAGGAAAAACAAGACAGTTACCCTAAAAAATGAGGTATCCTGAATAAAAAGTTATTCTCTGTTTGTAACCAAACTCTGCTGTGTCCACTGTATGACACTAGCAGTGTTACTGACGTTCAGAGCCTCAATCTCTCATTGCATGCATTGAGGCTAATACCGCTTTTCAGGACTGGAATGAATAGAGGTTAATATAGAGCACCTAGCACAGAGCTTTGTAAACAGTGGGTAGTCATTAAACAGTGGCTATCCCTAAGCCGAGCTGTACTAGGTCTCCCAGCAAAGATATTATTTCAGGGTTACTGACCTGTACCACTCCACTGATTGGTTCAGCTCTACTCCTATCTAAGCAAATTGAAAGCAAAGCTGATCACTTTAACAATAAATGTCATAGAAAGACAGTGTGAAGTGGTAATTAAGGGATTCAACCTCATTAAACTCTGGCTGTATATCAGAATCACCTAGGGAACTTTTAAAATCAGGTTTAACTTAAGTATAATAAAATGTACTACCTAGAGCACCTTTTGGGGGGGGCTATGCAGAATGGTGGCACACGGGATCTTAATTCCAGGACCAGCACAGAGTCTTAGCCACTGGACTACCACGGAAGTCTCCCTAAAGCACCTTTTAATATCCAACCCCAGACCAATTAAATCAGGACTGGGTGCTCAAACATAGGTTTGAGCAGATGTCGAGGTTTCCCAGGTGGTTCTAATGTGTAGCCAGGCTTGAAGACCACGGAGAAGCCATAATGAAGCCTGTGCCATCAATTATTCACCTCATCTCCAAGTTTCACATGGACCACAAAATTTGATTTTAGAATAAAATTTCGCTTTTTTTTTTTTAGGAAAAATGAATGATTTTCCTAAAAAAACCCTTAAGCTGTAGTGTTAAAGTATTTCTGTAGCAACTTTATATTGTCATTTATAGTCATTTATCAAGGCTGCACATCTGCATTCTCTCCAATTCAGGGGCTTCTGAAGATATAGCTACATATACTTTGTGTCTCTCTCAAAAGAGTTATCAATATAATTGGTGACCTGTCATACAGACAAATATAGGAAGGATGTCTGCTTTGAAAATGTTTATCCTTAGCACCTAACAATTCTTTGCACACAGAAGCTAAGTGAAATTCTTACGGTTGTTGTGGAGGTGAATGAAATTCTCTGCAAGACAAATTATAGCTTGAGAGCTTCAAATTCTTCATCCATGAGTTGGGCTAATGACTACCCCACATAGTTTCAGTATGATTGGCACATAACCGATGGGCAGCTGTTACCTGTTCCTGCAGGTTAGGCCTCATTCTACTAAGAACTTAAAAAGTGCTTTCCATTCTTCAAAAATGAAAACTTCTGTGACTTGAGAATTCCTTCAGTATCACTTACCGCTGCTTCCTCTGAGAGGTAGTCAGGCTATCCTCTTTTCTTTTTCCCTTACTAATTTCCTGGGATTTCTTCATGTTTTTCTGGCGGGCAAGTTCTCGTTGATTTCCACCTACAAAGAGAAACAGTCATGTTATTTTTCCATCTCCAAAATTAATAATTCCATTCTAAGGCTCTTATTTAAAAGGATCTGAAGTTTGCTTTTGAAGAGATGAGCCAGCAGCCTACTGCATGGAAAGGTGTTTAGGGATCTGACGACAAGGAGGAAGCTTAAAGGTAAACACTTCAGTTCTTAACAATATTATGGAGCCCATTAAGGTGCTCACTTACTATCAATACCAGACCTCTTAAAAGAGGCATCCCAATGGTCTGTCTATATGGGCCAGTATCCTAAAATAAGGTCGGCTTTTTGAGATGAAGAGAGAAAGATCCACACCACAGATCATATCTCGCACACATTTTGTTGTTTTCAGTCGCTCAGTCGTGTCCGATTTCTTTTGCGACCCCCGTGGACTGTAGCCCGCCAGGCTCCTCTGTTCATGGGATTTCCCAGGCAAGAATACTGGAGTGGGTTGCCATTTCCTTCTCCCGGGGATCTTCCAGACCCAGGGATCGAGCCTACATCTCCTGTATTGGCAGGCGGGTTCTTTACCGCTGAGCCACCAGGGACGGCCTCGCGTAAGTTGGCCCATTGTAATTCAACTGTTAAGCGAGCAAATACAGATGTTTCCAAGACAGTACCTTCCAGGGCCAAACAAAGAACTAGGGAGGAGGCCCTGTGCCCATTAGGCCTCCGGACTTTAAGTATTAAGTACCAGCATAGACCACCTCCAGACCTAGCACCTCGCTCCCAGGGATCTCCTCCACACGGCTCACCTCCGGGGAGGGGTTCCTTACGTGTCAACTCGCACCTGTGAGGCAGACACCTACCTGCCGGACCCTTCAGGCCGGACCAGACTCAATCGCCCCTCTCCCTCCGCGGACTAAAAGCCTGGTCCGCGTAGCTGCTAGACCAAAAAGGTTTCACCAGCCCGCCCCTGCCTCCTCGCCCGCCGCGCCGCGGAGCTCGACTTCCTCGCAGGACACTCCCCGCCGCTTTCTCTACCGGTCCGCACACTCACGGGCCATGATGACAACCGGACCGAGCCTGGAAGAGAATGACTCGGAAAAGCAACGACCGCCTCGCACGCTCAGCCGCCGTCCCCACGCGTGGATCTGGAAGACCGAACCCCCGCCGGCCCCCCGCCGGGATACGCCTGTGCTCTGCCGGCGGCCCCGCCCACCGAGAGCCGACAACAGCCGCCGGCGTGGCCGGCGAGCGACTGCGCGTGCGCGGCCAGGAGGGCGGGGCCGTGCTCTGCTGGGGCTCCCAAGCCGCAGCTGCCGGAGTGGCACCGGAGGTCGGTCTCTGGGGTCCCTTCGGCCGTGCAAGTTTGGTAGCGTCCTGAAAGCGGCTCCTTGAGTCTGAGAGAGGTATAAGCGTGTGCGGATTTCCCACCCCTGCATCCGGGGCACTGGGGCTTCGCTAGCCCCCGTATTTTTGGTGAAGACGTAAACACAACAGTATCTATAACTTTTTCGACAAAGAACATTAGTTTTTGTTGTTGTCTCCCGCATCCCATTGTAGAGGCAGAACGGAGAGAAGGGGGACAGAACAGGTTGAAGGATAATTGTGAAAGGCAATGTTGGCCCTTTACGTATTTTCCTTCTTTATTCACGCACCAAGCCTGCAAGGTAGGCTTGTGCTGTGCGGTGCTTAATTGTTCAGTCGTGGCCGACTCTGCGACCTCAGGGACTGCCATGGGATTCTCCAGGCAAGAACACTGGAGCGGGTTGCCATGCCCTCCTCCAGGGGATCTTCCCAACCCAGGGATCGAATCCAGGTCTCCCACATTGCAGGCAGATTCTTTACCATCTGAGCCACCAGGGAAGCCCAAGGTAGGCTTAATTTTCATTTTAGGAAAGAGGAGCCTAAGACTCTGAGACCAGAAGCGCAGACCTAATAAGTAGGGACTGGTAGAAGTGAGGTTCAAATTTAAAAAGGACTCTCAAGTTTCTTCATTTCCCATTTGATCCCAGTCTGCTTGTCACGGTGGATAGTAGTTTAGAGTTCTGTGGATCTGTGCTTGGGTTGTGTGATGGGGACAGAATGTTAGGGAATGCAGTCTTATCACCAATTCAGAATAGCCAAGAATAAAAGTTATGACCAACCTAGACAGCATATTAAAAAGCAGAGATATTACTTTGCCAACAAAGGTTCATCTAGTCAAGGCTGTGGTTTTTCCAGCCATACATATACACATACACATCCATGTATGGATGTGAGATTTGGACTGTAAAGAAAGCTGAGCGCTGAAGAATTGATGCTTTAGAACTGTGGTGTTGGAGAACACTTTTGAACATCACTTGGACTGCAAGGAGATCCAACCAGTCCATCCTAAAGGAGATCAGTCCTGGGTATTCATTGGAAGGACTGATGTTGAAGCTGACACTTCAATATTTTGGCTACCTGATTGGAAGAACTGACTCATTTGAAAAGACCCTGATGCTGGGAAAGTTGAAGGTGGGAGAAGAAGGGGATGACAGAGGATGAGATGGTTGGATGGCATCACCGACTCAATGGACATGAGTTTGGCTATACTCCGGGAGTTGGTGATGGACAGGGAGGCCTGGTGTGCTGTGATTCATGGGGTCGCAAAGAATCAGACACTGAACTGAGCGACTGAACTGAACTGAACCTTAAACTTACAAAAAAGCCGTGGAGCATCTACCACTGCTAGAAACAGATGTGTAGATGCTTGGTGCTTGTTTTCTTTGTCTATTCCTCTACGACAAACTGAGAAATGTGTAGAGTTTGTCTGGACACCCTAAAATCACCCTATTTTTTAAAAGTCTTTAATTTGGAAGGTTTCATATATACACAAAGGTATAGAAAATACCATGATGGACCACTAAGTATATACGACCAAGCTTCAACAATTTTTATTTCACCTCATAAAAACTACCTGAGGGTTCTGGATGTGGAATATCTGGATATTGAAAGCCCAATGAGTAGGTGTGTGAACTTGGGAATGTCATTTCATTGCATTAAAGCTTCCTTACCTAAAAATTGGGGAGGTAATTGTACCTCCTTCACTCATCGAATGAGTATATGTGAAGTGCTCATTGCTCAGCACAGGAATGTACTCACATGTTAGTTATATTGTCATCATTCTTTCAACCTCCCAGAGCCTGTCCTGCTTACCCCTATCCCTGGATCCCACTCATCCTCCTCAGTCTCCTTACAGGGCAGGTGTCTGTTTCCCCTTGAGTCCTCTTCTGCAGTAACTTGAGCAGGGGAAAAGATTGATTTTCTTTGTAGAGATAAAGAGATCATCTAAAGAGGAAGGGAGAGGAGTTTGGGATTAAAGTTAAGTGGTAAAATTGTTTCTGTGTGTGGTCTTAAGAGTCTAATTGAGTGTTTTCTTTGCAGCTACAAATGTAGTTTTTGAGTTTCAGGGATACACATGATATATACTATGTATACAAGTAATATGTGTGTCTGCCAGAGAAAACTGGGGACTTTTAAAATTATAATACTGTTAAGACTATACCAACTTTGATATGTAAAAATATCTTATGATTTTATCTTAAATAGTAAAATTGAATCTGACTCTATTCTCATCCCTTTACAAATGAGAAATTAAATCCTAGTCATTATTTACTTCTTTACCTGCAGAACTGTGTGAATACCACAGACTCTTAGGTGCAACAGGACACTTGGGGAAAGGTCTGGTGTCTTCAGTGTATACCAGAATATGCTGTCCAAAGCTGTATGGTTCTGGCAGTAGCTCCGAGATTCTTGAGATATCTTCAGCAGGGGTTATTTTTATCAAGTCCTTGAGATTTCTTAGGTGTGTTTGAGGTCTTGTTCCCCTCCAGAGTACTGGAGGGAGCCCACATCAGCCCTTCATTTCCTTCCCAGTCTTAAAGGAATCTCTTCAGATTTTTCAGCCTTGTTTTCCTACTCTTAAAAACACTTGTCTCTTTTCTTTCTGTTTCTGGATGAACTAGCAATCTCTCCAATCAGTTCAGGATTTTATTCCTTTGACATTTTGTTGTTAATGTAGTAAGATGTTCTTTTAGAATTTTCTTCTCCTTCTAAGAAGGAAGTCAGGTCTTTGTTTTCCACCTATGAGTCAGGGGACTTGTATAACCAGTTCAAACACAGGCCCACAGTCTACAGTCTCAGCCTGTTCTCTGGACATTTTCTCTCTCATCATAGAGCACTTCCATAACCACCCTACATAGAGTAAGCCAGCCTTCCATTAACCTCTGTCATAATTTCCTTTAAATTTCTTTCATGGCGTTTAATAATTCTTAAATTATCTTGTTCACTTGAATTTTTCTCTGCCACCCAGTATGCCTTGCTTATTGCTCTATTGCTCCCTCTTGAAGCATATTAAGAATGTTCACATTAATTTACAAAGTTTAAATATAGTAACTTTTAAATTTCTTTTAATTTTTGACTGTGTCTCAAGGTTTGTGGGGTCTTAGTTCCCTGACCAGAGATGAAACCAGTGCCCTTGGCAGTGAAAGTGCAGAGTGCTAACCACTGGACCTTCATGGAATTCCCATTAACTATAATAATTTTTTGAACAGAGATTATAGTCACGTTAAACAGTAAACAAGATATACAGTGAATGTTGTTCTTCCCATGACTTACTTCCCAGAAACATGGATCCCTTCCTGGAAATTAACTATTACAACTTTCTTCACACTTGAATTTCTAATATACATTCTACTCAATTTAGAAGTTTTTTGAGAACTTTATTTTTTGCCTTATTTGTTTATAGCTGTGCTGCTCTTTGCTGCAGCGGTGGGCTTTTCCTCTAGCTGTGGTAAGGCAGGGCTGCTCTAGCTGCTGTGCACGGAGCCATTGTGCTGGTTTTCCGTGTTGCTGAGCACAGGATCTAGGACCCAAGGGCTTCGGGAGTTCAGCTTGTGGGCTCTAGAGTGTGGGCTCAACAGATGTGGTGCAGGGGCTTAGTTGCCCCTTGGCGTGCGGAATCTTAGTTCCCGCATCAGGAATGAGACCCATGTACCTTGCATTGGATCAAGAATTCTTAACCACTAGAGCAGTCCCTTCAATTTAGAATTTTTAAGCCTTAAGATGTGCTGACGAACAGTGTTCTACAGGACCCTCTAAAAATGGCCAGTAGTTTAAAAAGAAATTTTTGGTCACACTACCTGGCGGGTGGGATCTTATTTGCCCAACAAGGGATGGAACCCAGTGCCCTCTGCAATGGGATCACTGGATCATCAGGGAAGTCCCAAGGCCAGCAATTTTAATAATTTCCATCAAAGTGTGGGCTGAGGGATTTACTACTTCCTTCTCCTCCTTTGAACAACTCCTAAGGACCCCAGGAGAGGGAAGAGCACACTGCCCCAAGTCTCTCAGTATTTCCGGTTCCCAGGTAACCAGGCTCCCTAGTTGACAGTTACCATGGCTCCCGTCGCTCTACGTCATTCTCCGGCGCTGGATGATGACGCGGTCAGTTCCGGCGCTCTCCGAGGGCGGGGGAGCAAGGTATAGGAGAAAACTTAGCTATTAGCGTAGCAGGGTCATGAAGAAGAGGCGGCGGCGGGAGATCCCGAGGGGTGGCGGGGGCGCGAAATTGCGGTAGCTGGCCGCTGGGCTGGTGGTGTGGCTTTGTGGGAAGGGCGTAGTTCCTAAAGCCCTCTGCGGGCAGCGGCCGGGGCTCGGGGCTGCGAGCGGCCCTGGGGCCGCCTCCCCGGGCCCCCTGGCTCCGCCATGTTCCGCAGGGCACGCCTTAGCGTGAAGCCGAATGTCAGGCCCGGAGCAGGCGCCAGGGCCTCCACCGCCCCCAGTTCCCAGCGTGAACAAGAGGTTCCAAGGCCGCCGGAGCCTGCCGCAGCCTCTGCTCCGAAGCCAGCGGAATCCACAGATGTGCCCCCGGTGGATTTCGGGGAAGCGGAGCCCCAAGAAAAGACTCCCAAGAGCAGGTAAGTGCTCGCAGAGGGGAGCATTTTCATTTGCCCCCGCCTCTCTGGGAGCGTCATCTGGAAGCTGAGCAAAGAAAGTTTACCGTAAAAGTACTCCCTCGCTTGCGCTAAGCCTGACAGTTGAGGCCCACGAACACGCTGCCAACTGCAATTGTTCCCTCTGACCACGGTGTGGCAGGTGTGGGTTTTGTTACGGGGTGTAGATTCTCGGGGAGAGGACCATGTCTTCAAGTGGTGGTGGGAGGAATCCCGGTCTAACAGTCTTCGGGAGAACTCACACGTGGTACTATTCATTAGAGCATTTAGGTTACCACTGCTTTCATCCTTTTGAAGTACATTGTAGGGGTAAGTTTTTTTTTTTAATCTTGAAAACATTTATTTTTAAAAGAAGAGCAGTGTTATTTTGATTCTGCTGATTTATGTCAGTGGCAAGGAGGTCTGGTTACTTGTTTTGATTTGTGGGTGTGTCCCTTTAACTTTGGTGAACCTGTTTTCTGAACAGAAAAGCATGTATCATGTACCACATTTGGATTCAGGATTCTTCTACTTAATTTTACAGTTTATAGACTTTGCTCAGGCAGAATTTACTCATCTGCAAAATGGGGATAACTCTCACTTCAAGAGTTATTGTGGAGATTAGAGATAACTGATAAAAACTATCTAGCACAGGACATGCGGAATAGTTGCCTATCTTTAGGTGTTTAAAAGTGAGGCAACAAAGTAATTGAAGTTAAGATATGTTAAGCTAATAATGACCTCTGTTTCTATACTGTAAATGTGAGGGAACCAATGAAAATCAACCCTATTAAATGACGGTGAGATGGTATAAATTTCTTTTATACTGTGACAGGAAAGTGACAATTTCTTTTTTATTCTTTTTTTTGGTTTGACTTCTTCTGTTGATCTCAGCTGACGCTTAGTAATTTGCAAGTTTTTTACATGAATTTGTTTAAGAATTTCTCCCAACAGTGGAATACAAATAACAGTTACTGTAGTGTTGAGACCAGCTGTAGTTGGCAGTGTTCCTGGGCTTCAGCTGTTAAATTAATAAAGTTCACAGAGATAATGTTAAGTACATGTGATGCATGATTATTGATAATTTACAGAATTACTCATTCTGTAGTCTTGATCTGTTTAAGTTCAAGAATACAGCTTTCCTAGACTTGACATTTTGGGAATATGCTTTGTTTTTATCATATATTTCCTATTTTTTGGGCGGGTCTTTGCTGATTGTAAGAGCCCATAGATTGTATGTTCTTCTTATTGCAACCTCGGTTTAAGTCATTGATTTTTAATAATTGATTATGATTTTAATAATCCAAAAGGCTTTGCTGTTTTGGATTTTTGTCAGACTAGTTTTTTTTTTTGTCAGACTAGTTTTTAAGACTACAATGTTTCAAAGAAGATCCATAATGCCATTTTTTTTTTCTTTTTAAATATCAACAGTGTTGAAAAGACTGATGATGGGAAGGATGTTGAAGAATCCAGTAAGCCTTCCTCTACTGTTTCACAGAGAAGAAAGCGAATACCAAGTACTTCTAGTCTGGTTAAACCTAGTGTCAGTGTTCCTTCAGAACCTCATCCTTTATCTACAGTTAATCAAGAAGCTCCACAGCCAAACCCTGTTCCAGCAAAAGAGAAACAGCCATGTTCAGACAGATACCGAATATACAAAGCCCAGAAACTGAGAGAAATGTTAAAAGAAGAATTGAGGAAAGAGAAGGTATGGTAGAAAAATCAGAATTTTGACTGTTGCCTGCTAGATTTCTGGTTTTATGTTAGTTTACTGTCATTTGGAGGAAAAATAAGCATCTGTAACATTTAAAAATTTTTTTTATTTGGCTGCAGTGAACCTTGGTTTGATCTTTGTTGCAACTTACGGGATCTTTAGTTGTGGCATGTGGACTCTGAGTTGTAGCATGTGGGATCTAGTTTCCTGACCAGGGATGGGACCCCAGGCCCTCTTCCTTGGGAGCAGTGTCTTAGCCGCTGGATCACCAGGGAAGTCCCAAAGCATCTATAGCATTTTCATGTGGGAAACAAAACCAAATAAGATCCGTCATATTAATAGAGTATCTCCCTTTGTTAAGAGAAGCAGACTGAGAAGCAGATTGGAGTGATTGAGAAGCAGAATGGAGTTATAAGCTATTTTTGCCCCTATATTAATTTTTCTGTATTTAATTATATCTTTCATTGTTTTTGGTGGAGGCCACAGATAGAAGTTTCACATGTGCACACACACACACATATACAGATTCACAAACAAGTGTACTTATAAACTGATCCTTCAGTGAGATTTTTCACAAGGATGTCCAGTTGACGTGAGTTACATTCATTTGAATTATGACAAGTGTAGTTGAGCAAAATGAATTGGTAATATTTTTTAAACTGACAATATGGGAATTTATGAATGGGGGAAATATGTGTGTCTAGGTATAATAGAGTCTGCATTCTTTTTCTGAGAGGGCAATGTAACAGAGTAGTGAAACATGTAACCTCTAGAGTTTGATACTTAACGGCTAAATTTGAGAGTCCTCCCTTACTATTAATATGTGATGTTGAACAATTTAAGTAATCTTCCATGTCTGTTTTCTCACTTGTAAAATAGACTGGTAATAGTATCCATCTCATTGGAAGGTTGTGAAGACTAAATGAGTTAATATGGTTAAAACACCTTTAGACTAGTGCTTACCAATTAGTAAGCCCGAGAAAGGTCAGCTTTATTATTGGTTTGTAGAGTGCCTCCCTTTTTTTTAACTAAGAGGAAGGCGCTTATCTTGGTGCTTTTTTTCGGCCGTGCCTTGAGGCTTGCAGGATCTTAGTTCCCTGTTCCTTAGTTCCCTCCCTGTTCAAAGGCTTGAACCCTTGATCTTGGCAGTGAAACCTGGAGTCCTAACCACTGGCCCTCCAGGGAAGTCCTTCCTTGTGCTTTATGTTTATCTCATTTAAATATCTCAACTGTGTGAAGTGGCTGTCACTATTTATATAGGAGGAAATAAGCTCAGAGCGGTTTTTTCATGCTACAATTTTTTAATCAGTTTACAAAATTTTTCTAAAATTAGGCATAATTATTATGGGAATAATACACTCAATAATACACTTGCAATGAATGTAGTAATGGGCTTATACTTAAATAAATACATCTAAAAATCTTTTTAAAAATTTTAAAAATTTATGTATATTATTTTGGCCCCCACCAGGAATTGAACTGTGTCTCCTGCAGTGGAAGCATGGAGTCTTAACCACTGAACTGCCAGGGAATTCCCCTAAAGTTCTTCTATATTTGTCAAATAACAGTGCATCTCTTTGTGTTTGTGTATCTAGAAGCAATGGAAAAACAAGTATGCCGTAAATGAAACTCAGAGGCCACCAGATCGTTCCAAAATGACTATGAGAGACTTCATATATTATCTGCCAGAAAGCAATCCAATGACGTAAGTAATCTTTATTTCTATTTTACTTTCTTTGAGTATGATTTAAGTGATCACTTTTAGTGATTTAAGTATCACTTTTAGAGTTCATGTTTTCCAAAAACATGTTGATGAAATGTTTAGCACATGTGATGTCCATTTGGATAAGAATTCTTTAACAAAAATTAGTGTTATTTTAGGTAACTATTTTCTTGGGATGGTAAATGATGACCTTTACCTCTGAGATTAAAAATAAAATTAAAAATAAAATTAAATAAAATTAAAAATAAATTTCCTTTGTTATATTACCAAGATATAATAAAAACCAACTAAACAGCTTTTCTCTAATCTGGATTGCCATTTATATTTCTTACATACTATAATGTGGTCTAAAGTGGTGATCTAACTTTTATACCCTACCTCCTAATTAAACATAGCAACATTTGATTAACCAGTCCTACCAGAACAAAACTTCTTTGATCAGAGTTAGTCTGGAGAGGCAGAGAGATTATAATGAATCTCCTCATTGTTGTGTTGTTGATGGTGTAGAAGGTGAATGTAGGAGTACTGGCATATTTTCAGCAGAGCCTGTTTCACATTCAGCAGGTCTTTGGCCTACTTGAGGGAAAGGCCAGAAACTGAGATTTTGAGTTGTTTGACATCTAGGAGTTGGAAACAAGCCACATAGGTTGTTTCATGCTCTTGCTGAGGAATTGAAGGAAGAGTGTTCCCTTCTTAACGAATTATTTATATTGATAACAAAAGTTTCTGAGTGAAAAATTGAGTGTAGGACCACACCATCATTAGTGGTAGTGTTATGGTATATCATAAAAAAAATTGCAAGTTAAAATTATTTGCTTCTTGCCTCAGATAGAATTGACAAACTGTAAATTCCTTATTTATTAAAAGGTATGTTTTTATTTGTGTTTGATAGTTCTTCACTGGAGCAGGAAAAGAAAACTGAAAAATCATCGACACCAGTCCGAACAAGAGAGTAAGCATCTCATCTGTTTTGAATATATTCTGTTATGGGTAAATTTTTTAAAAATGAGATCAAATGATGCTTCCTATTTTAGTTAAATTACACGATAGGAATTTTTAGACTCACAAAAAGAATAAAAGCTGCTTGATTTAAATCAATACGAAAGCCTCACGTTATGTATGTAATTTGTGCGTTACATAAATAGTGTTATGATTTTAAAGTTTTTAGAATTAAAAAGGATTTTCTTTTAGACTAATGATATTCACATGGTACAAAATTCAAAAGGAGCTAAAGTACTGAGAAAAACTTTCTAACTTTGTTTTTGGCCACCTAATCCTTCCTGAAGGCAACAAATGTTACCACACTTTAAATGTATCTTTCTAGTCTAGTCTATGTCTCTCCAAGCAAACCTGTTTTTTTCTATTTCCTTTTCTTTTCTTTGTTTCCCATATTCCCCTTTTGCCTTTCCTTTTTCTGTCTTTCCATTTTTTTTCTTAGCATTCTGTATATACTGTCCTTCAATAGGTATAGTTTTGACACCACTACAGAGTCCCTTTTTGCATACAAGCTTTCACTGTCATATATATTAGTTTATTCCTGAGAAATGTCTGCAAAAGGGACTTGCCTGGTGGTCCAGTGGGTAAGACCCTGTGCTTCCACTGCAGGGGGTGTGGGTTCAATCCCTCGTCAAGGAACTAAGATCCCATGTGCCACACAGCACGGCCCAAAAATAAAGAAGTCCCTCCAAGACACTGGAAGTTATTGTAGAGTTGTAATTGTGGAAACATAGCAGAAACATTGGGATTTCCTGGTTATTATTTCAAGTAACAATTCTTAAGGAATGATTACTTTTTTTTTTTTGGCTCATACCACGCAGCTTGTGGGATCTTAGCTCTGTGACCGGGGATTGAACCCAGGCCATGGCAGTGAGTGTGCCGTCCTAACCACTGGACCTCCAGGGAATTTCCTCTAATGACTGATCATTTTCTTAGAATCTGCATTGTTTTATTTTTTGATTAATTATTTTGGCTTCCCTGGGTCTGTGTTTCTCCTTGGGCTCTCTCTAGTTGCAGTGAACAGGGGCTACTGTTTGGTGCAGTGTGTGGGCTTTCTCTTTGTGGTAACTTCTCGTGGAGCACAGGCTAGGCCTGGAGGCTTCACTAGTTACAGCATGCAGACTTAGTGGTTGGGGCTCATAGGCTTGGCTGCTCTGTGACATGTGGAGTCTTCCTGGTCTAGAGATTGAACGCATGTCCCTTGCATTGGCAGGTGGATTCTTATCCACTGTAGGGAAGTCCAGAAATAGGTTTTGTTTTTATAGATTTATAGGTTATGCTTCTTGCAGTAAGACCTGAAAGTGATAATCTAATTGAATGGAAAGTATATGGAATTTGGAACCATTATTTGGAAAACTGTGTTTGGCTTCTTGGTCTTCTCTTATTGTTGTGTAGTGTAGACCAACAGTAATTTATCTTCTCCAAGCATCGAATGGGTGTGAAAATCCAACCCCCAAGGATTGTTCTGAAGAGGTAATAAAATGATCTGAAAATTAATTCTGTATGTGTTATTTTTTATTAATTTTATAATATCTGTATGGTTTACTCCAGTGCTCTATTGAGATAGAATAGATGAGCATTTATTTCTCTTTTCAAAGAGAATAAAGACTCCTATGAAATGCTACTAGATAAAATTTGAGGAACTCTTATAGCCATGGTCTCAGTAACATAGTATTTTCAGTTAGGTTATAGTGAAAGTGGAAAATAGCTATGAACAGAAAGTTCAAGGTGTAGTAGTTTGTTTTAGAAGTTCATAGTATTCAGGGGATGTTTCTGATGGCTGTATGAACTAACCTACCTTGACATTTGGTAGGCAAGAAGGCAAGACTACTCCTGATGGTGAAGATAATGAAGAAATAGAAGAAGAGTTGGATGATGGGCCCTTGCTGGTTCCTCGAGTAAAAGTGGCAGAAGATGGTTCTATTATTTTGGATGAAGAAAGGTAAGTTAAGAGAGAGAGAGAGATTGTGGTTTTGAGAACAGATGAGTTTTGTCTAATGAGCGAGATTGAATTTCCATATTTCTTACTGTCACGTTGGCTGATGTTTATAATTGCATAATGTTATAAATAGAAGGGTGGGTTAGATTCATTTATAATTTTTAGCAATTTTTTATAATTGTGTCCTTTATATGAGAAGATGGTACTGCTGACTGGCCACCCACTAACCTACTACCATTGTTTTACTAATTTTACTGGTAGTTGAAATGAGCTATTGAACTAATCACATGCTGTCAGCAACTAAGCATACATTTCAAAGAATAATTCAGCCTTGATGTCAATATTTATTAACTATTACCATATTCTGGTGTGTGGTGTTAACTGTTGAAAATTCAGTGAAACATATTTTATGGTTTTTAATTAACTTTCTGGCTTAATTTCTTAGTTATAACATTAAATTTCTCAAATTTGGCAGTGTGAAACTTACTTGTCTTTCCAATGTGTGTCTCTTAAAAAAAGAAGATAAACTAGTGAAAAAAAAAAAAAAGAAGAAGAAGAGGGATGGAAAGTCTCCTTACAGTTTAATTAATAATAAATTGTTTTACATGATATAAATTCTATGATAAATGAAAATATAATGCTGTTAATAGTAATTGTTTATGCATGTTGTTTTCCATTTTGTGATGATGATTTTATTGCTCATTAAATTGTTAAAAGCATACTTAACTGCTTTGTGTGTAGGAATATAAAATATAAATATAAAATGCTTATATTTCTCAATAACCCCCATTGGGTATTGCATGATAAGATATGTTAAATGTAGGAGACATGCAGAAGTCAGTAAAAAACAGTTATTTAGGTGGCCCAAAGATATTTTGCAGATTTTATATTGCTATTAAGGATTTTGAAAACAAGTTGGCTTTAATTTTTGCTCCCTAGCAATCACATTTTAAGTGAATATTGGCAGATTCTTGGAAAATATGCATGCTTCAGATGTATATTACTTTTTTGTTTTGTGTATTATACTTCTGATGTGGTTTTTGCCATGGTAAATTTCAGAGTATAACTATTGAATCTCTTTTACTGTTTCCTTATGTGTTTAGTGTGGATTTATTTAAAAATATGTTTCTTTCAGTTTAACTGTAGAAGTTTTAAGGACAAAAGGTCCCTGTGTTGTTGAGGAAAATGACCCCATATTTGAGCGTGGTTCTACAACTACATATTCCAGCTTTAGGAAAAGCTACTACTCTAAACCATGGTCAAATAAAGGTAACTGATTTTCATTTTAAATTATGTAGATTATTTATTGGAAATGAAGTGAATTTGTTTCTTGATTTCTGTGTTATACCAGGTATCCCCTGAGTAAAAATAAATAAATAAAATGCAAACCTGCTAGTTTCTTCTCTCTAGCTAATTTTATTGGCACCTTTCCCTGTCTCCCGCCATGGAACTATGTCTCTGACTTTATCTTAGACATCTTTTTAGGGGTTAGCCTTATGATCATTTCAGCTGGAATATTCTTCATTGTCAAATCCTTGTGCAACAAATATAATTTTAATGAAAAATAACCAGTATTTTTAATGCTCATGATAATATTCTACCTCACTATCGTATAATGCAGTCTTTAATGATAAAAAGTACATGTACATGTAAAAAAAGAAAGTATATATTACCTACTGCATGCTGTTTGTTTTACTTACTTTTTTAATAGTACAGTTTGTTTTGGGACAAAATTCAGACACAACAGAGTAATACAGAATGAATTTCTGACTTCCCCAGCCCTGTTCTCTTGAGGCTAGTTCTGTTCCTAACTATTTTTCTAGCTACTTTCCTTTCATGTACTACTTAGCACATCTTAGTTGCTTACATAGCAGCAATATACTGGTTCTTTTCTTTTTTTTCAATATACTGGTTCTGACTGAAAGTTTTCTTCAAGGCACTTGAGACCAGATAGGCAGAATGTCTTTTTAAAAATTCTAGCTACTTTAGTATGAACATGCAAATTTTTTAAACCATATTTTTATATAAAAGTTTAAAGGAGGTGTTTTTAGGTCCATGAGGCTCCTTGCAGTAAAATTGAACTATGTCTGTGTATGTGTTCTTAGGTATATTTCTGTGATTAAAGATTTGATGGACTTTAATAAAAACTTCAGTATTGTCAAATTTACTTTTGCCTCAAAATATATACGTACGTAGGGCTTCCCTGGTGGTTCAGATGGTAAAGAATCTACCTGTAATGCAGGAGACCCAGGTTTGATCCCTGGGTCGGGAGGATCCCCTGGAGAAGGAAATTGCAACCCACTCCAGTACTCTTGCCTGGGAAATCCCATGGACAGCAGAGGTTGGTGGGCTACAGTCCATGGGATTGCAAAAAGTTGGACACGACTGAGCAACTTAACACTTTTATATACTTATGTAAGATTTTTTTTCCTCTGAAATATTCATAAGATTAATTCTCAGTCTTTCTAAATCTTTTATTTTTACAGAGACAGATATGTTTTTTTTAGCCATCAGCATGGTAGGAACTGACTTTTCTATGATTGGACAGCTTTTTCCTCACAGAGCAAGAATAGAAATTAAGGTAAAGTAAACCCATTGCATTTGTTGATTGAAAAGAGATTAAAAATGACTGTCTTTTAAACCTATGGTTGAAATCTCAGTCCTTCCTTTTTTACTACTGTGTTTTTGGTACATCTGTCCTTCTTTATCATTCAAAAAGTAATTAATATAATATTTTTCAATTCTAAAATGAGTACTGTCTCTTTAACCTCAGTATTATATGTTTTTTTTTTTAACCTCAGTATTATATGTTCTTATTTATATCTTTCCACTTCTGTAATGGATTTGAGGGCATACCAACAAAGCCAATGAAACTGAGGTAAAAGTAGAGTTAGATAATGAAGAGGAATAAATGTACCAGAATTTAGGGGTTAAGGATAGATTCTGAACACAAAATGTATCTTTGAATTTTCTGGGAAAAGAACATGGTAGTTCTCGAATTGTTGCTTTCCTAGGCCACTTTAACTTTGAGGAGAACCAGTGATACTATATTTTGTTTTTTTTTTAAGTGATACTATTATTAACAACAGCAATGATGTTTATCAATTAGTGCTTTAATATGCCTAAAAGAATGATGTTTCTCTGTCTTATGGTTCTTTTTGTTGGGAAACCTCTTCATAAGTTTCCTGGGTTGGAGTGCATTTGAGTGCACACTATTTGCTATAATGCATTTCTAATTCATAGTGAGATTTTTATGCAACCATGGGCTTTCTTTTTCATTAATTAAAGGGACCATTAGGAAAGTTAGATTTTTTTTTTTAACTAGACCAGGCATAGACTGATTTATTGGAACCATTGTATAACATAATGGTCTTTCTATTTCTGTAAAAGATGAGGGATCTTGACTTCTCCGGTAGCTCAGGCGGTAAAGCGTTCTACCTACAGCGTGGGTAGCCCTGGGTTCGATCCCTGGAGAAGGGAGTGGTATTCTTGCCCACCCCCAGCCCCCAAAACAAGGGGCTCCATGGGACATTTTAGGCAAAAACCACTACAATATTATAAAGTAATTAGCCTCCAACTAATAAAAATAAATGAAAAAAAATTAAAAAGATGAGGGATCTTTTATATTCTTTATGTTCCTTTTTAAATATTGATCTCTGATATAATGAGAACAAAATGTTAAAGTTTTTGAAGGCTAGAAGTTGATTGTTTAGGGGAGCTCTCGGATCTGAGTAACTAATGATGAATTTGTCACTAGACTGTTCATGGGGTTTCAAAGAGTCGGACATGACTGAGCAACTGAACTGAACTGCGACTGTTTCTCTTAAAAATAGTTTAGACTCTTCCCTTAAAATTTTAGTGTGAAAAAACAAAAATTTAGTGTGGTCCCAGCAAGTCTTTGAGCAAAGTACAGAAAAGTAAAAATGGACTAGTAAATTATATTGAGTTTCAAATTTTGAACCAACCTTGTATTGCTGTGATAAATCCCAGTTAGTCATAGTGTATTCTTTTTATATGTTGCTGATTTTTAATATATTTTCTTGAGGATTTTTTGTATCTTTTGTTCCTGACAGTATTGTTTTGTAATTTGCTTTTAGTGCCTTTGTGGTTTTGGTACCAGCATTTTGGTGGTCATGGAAAATAAGTTGGAAAGTGTTCCCATCCTGGAATCTGAGAAACTTTATTTAGGATTAGTATTATTTCTCCTTTTAATGTTTGATATAATTTACCAGTGAAATCATCTGGACCTATAGTTTCCTTTGGAGGAAGGGTTTTCATTATAAATTCAATTTCTTTAATACAGATGGGGTATTTATATTTTCAGTTTCTTTTTGTGTCAGTTTAGATGCTAAGTTGTTGAATTTATAGGCATAAAAATTTTATACTGTTCACTTACCATTTTAATGCTTGTAGGATTTATGGTGATATATCTCACTGATTGATGATTTGTCTTTCTCTCTTTTTTTTCCTTGTCTTGCTAAAGGTTTTTGACTTCCAAAGTCTTTTAATGAATCAACTTTTAGCTATGTTATAAATTGTATGTGTGTTTTCATTTTTTTTAAAGTCTAGCATTTCCTTCCTTTTCCAGGCATACCTCATTTTATTGCACTTCATACATACTGTAATTTTTTTTTTAATTAAAGGTTTGATGATGGTTTGTATTTTTTTTGTATTTTTTAACAATAAAGGATTTTTAAATTAAGCATATACATTGTTTTTCTAGACATAATGCTATTGCACCCCTAATAGACTACCTCAGTGTAATGTAAACAACTATTTTGTGCACTGAGAAACAAACAGAAATCTCTGACTTGCTTTATTGCAATATTCACATTATTGTAGTGGTCTGGAACTGAACCTGCAATATCTTCAAGGTTTATGCCTACACTTACTTTGGGTTTAATTTTCTCTATTTTTTTCCTTAGCTTCCTTAGATGAAAACTTAGAACGTAGATTTTAAACTGTTCTTTTTTTAATTGAAGACATTTAAAGCTATATAGTTTCATATAAGCTGTAGATTAGCCTATAATATTGATAAGCTATTTTCATTGTCATTCAGTTAAAAATATCGTTTAGTTTCCCTTGTGATTTCTTCCATGACATGTCAGTTGTTTAGAATTGTGTTTAATTTCCAATGTTGGGACATGTCTAAATATCTTACTGTTATTGTTTTTTTGACACTGTGCAAGTCACAGGACATAATCTGTAAGATTTTAGTCTTTCTGAAGTTTGTTGAGATTTATTTTAAAGCCCATCGTACTCTCATCTCAGTGAGTGTGCACTTGAAATGAACATGTATTCTGCAGTTGTTGGGTGTGGTGTTGTCTGAGAGAAGAATTGACGCCTCTAACCACAGTTATAGATTTGTGTTTCTCTTTTTAAATTGATCAGATTTTGGTGTGGTTTGAACTTCATGTGTATTGAAGTTCTTTTATTGGGTGCATTCACATTTTAGCTTGCTGTTGAATTGATCCTTTTATTAGTAGGAAATGTCCCTATTTATCTCTGCTATCATTCCCTGTCCTAAAACAGGGGTTAGGTCAAGAATATGAATATAACTTCTGGTTGGCCTTTTGTATCTGTGTTCCGTATTTCTGGTACTCCACTTATATGAGTTAGTTTGCTAGACATTGTACTACAGATTACTAATGCTCTGTCCATTTTTTTCCCAGTCTTTTTTCTTTATTTCAGTTGGCTAGTTTCTGTTACTATGTTTACAGGTTCACTGATCTTGTCTTCCACCGTCTTCAATCTGCTGTTAAGTCCATTCAGTGACTGTTGCATTTATGGGATTTCAGCTTGGTTACTTTTCTTAGTTTCCATTCCTATGCTGAGATTTCTGTATCTGTTCATTCCATATTTTCCTTTGAATTCTTGAACATATTTATAATAGATGCTTAACTTTCTGGTCAGCTAATTTCAACATCTGAAATCTGTTTCTATTGACTCTTTATTTCCTTGACTATGCAACACCTTTTCCTATCTTTTCTCATGTTTTTTTGTGGATTTTTTTTTTTTTTTAATTGCAGGCTGGACATTGTGGATAATGTGTTACACAGTGTTTGGATTATGTTGTTTTTATTTTTTTCCTTCAGAGTGTTTATTTCTATATTGTCAGCTCTCCTTATTCTTATGAAATCTTGGTTTTAGGGTTTCTTAACACTGATCCTTACTCTAGGTTTCTCTTCTGAATTACAGAAGATAATTTGAGTTACTGTTTTCTGATTTTTCCAAGAACGGTCATGTTATACCATTCTAGATATATAGGGAAGAAGATATAGCAGATCCCTTAGGGCACTGGGGCTTAAGTCTCATGCTCCAACCCTGACTGAGAAAGGCTGCTCTAAGGTGTGATCCCTGTCTCTGACTGGTGGTGGTTCTCATGTTTGAGGTGGATACGTGGGTGTTAAAGTCTTTGCATTCAGGTAGGATGAACCCTGTCATCTCCCTATGTTACGTGGCTTCTAGGATCTTCTTTCTGTTCTGATTCCCCTAGTAGCTGTTCTCTACTAGACTTTATGCTCAGGGCATACGGAACCCCAGTGTAGACCAGCCACCCATGGGATACCTCTACCAGATTCAAGAGACTCCTCTTTAAATAGCTCTCTTCTCTGTAGAACCTGCCGCCGAAGGTACTTTACTTCCTCAGCTCAATGGAATCTCTGGGCTCTGTTTGGCTTTTCTCTCTCTTCCATTGGTTAGGAAATTTAGCCCAGGCAGAGGGTCAGGGTGAAAGCTGGTGTATCTTTTGTGTTCCCCTTGTTTCTGGGATTGTCGAATTGTGGTCTTGCTCTCCCAAGATTGTAGTCTTGTCCAGTGCTTAAAAATAGTTGATGTGTTTATTTTGTTCAGTTTTAAAGGATTTATGGTGGGTTGGATGTGTGCAACAAGTCCATTACCAGTTACTTTGTCAAGGCCAGAATGGAAGTTATGGGATTTATTTTATGATCATGGAATTTGGCTTACAGTGATTCCTGCATGAATTCAGTGACTAATATCAGGGAATTCCCTGGAGTTCCAGTGGTTGGAACTCCATGTTTTCACTGCTGGGGCCCAGGTTCGATCCCTGGTCGGGGAACTAAGATCTCACAAGCATGACGAGGCCTAAAAAAGAATGATTAATATCAATACATTCTTAAAAGTTTTAAATTGTTCTGGACTAGATTCTCAATTAGATAAAATATGTTGTAGCTGTGTTTTAGAATTGAATAATGCCTAAAGGCTATTGGCATTCTTCAGGATATTTAGTGATTGTAGCCTGTCACTTTTTATGTGACTTCTGTTATATGTAGATATGACTTTTGTTAACTTTTGAGGAAATGTTTAAAGAATAATATGATCTTTAAGGGAGAAAGATGATCTTCTTTGGAAACTTCTATTTTACTTGGTAATAAGGGTTAGGAAGAATGGAAAAGAGGAATAATCTGTAGATTGAAAAATGTTAGTCATATAAAAAAATGTTGTTGTTCAGTTGCCCAGGTGTGTCCAACTCTGCGACCCCATGGACTGCAACACACCAGGCCTCTCTGTCCCTCACCACTCCCAAAGTTTGCCCAAGTTCATGTCCATTGCATCAGTGATGCCATCCAGCCATCTCATCCTCTGATGCCCTCTTCTCTTTCTGCCCTCAATCTTTCCCAGCATCAGGGACTTTTCCAGTGAGTCAGCTGTTCTCATCAGATGACCAAAATACTGGAAAATATAGGAAAGGTTAAACTATAGAGCCTAATGCTGTGCCCTCTGATGTTGAACAGTAAGGAAATGCAAGAAAGTGATTGTTTTAGTCAGGTTAGTGGGTAGTTTCTTTTGGAGGGAAGAAGGGGTCAGTGAAGAGGCTATTGTGTGTGATTTTTCTCTCTTTTTTCAATAATATGATTTTTGTATTCTTAATAAAAGCTTTTAGAGCACTGATCTGTAAAGGGAGAGATTGGCTAATCATTCCCTCCCCTAGGATGTGTATGTGTATGCCCTCAGACTTTCTGAAGATCTTAGAATGCATTGAGCCTTAAACCTTAACCATCTCCATCTTAAAGGAGGTAATCTGGAGTAAAATTGGGAATGGGGCTCTTTGGTGCTCAGGAAAGCATTAGGGAATGTTCCTTCATATAAAGGAGGCTCTAAAGATAAACTTGGCAAGCTTCAAGGTTTTTCTCAGCTGTTTCTTTGCAGTCTCCCCTTCATGCTGTTAAAAACATATTAGAATAAAAATGTAAGAGGTTTAACTTTGATATAAGTATACTAAATTTTAAAGAGTTAATACTAGTTAGCTTAATTGATCACAGTTTGATCTGTTTCTGTGCTAGTCAACTTTATTTTTTATTTTCTGTCCTCTGTAAATCCAGCTTCCATTGTTAATTCATGTTCTTGATCTTGAGGAGCACAGAGCTTAGTAGAAATCTTTCATCTCTATTTTTTAAAAGCTAAGGGTTTAAGTAATTTCCCTATTAGCAAGTAATTTATTATTCTTTATTTATTAGAGAATCATATGCTATTATAAGAATTTTACTTTGATGTAATTTTTTAACATAGTCTTCACTTGTTTAACAGGAGAAAATTACCATAGGGTTTGTTTTGTTTTGTTAACAGAATAAATTTAAACGTGAAGAGAAAACAAATGGATGGAGAATAGACAAGGCATTCCGTAAGTATTAACGCCTCTCTAAGAATGGATGGTTGGAAGAGCCCCACAAATGATCAGTATTTTGTCTTTGGTTCCAGTGTGTTTTAGGTTTGTTTTATCTCCTTATATTGTCATAGGAAGAGTAGCACTGGAAATTTTTCTCTTTAGCACTTCAGGTCTGGCAGTTGATATAGATTTGTAGGCAAGGGAGTAACTAAAACATCAAGAAGCGATTAAGCAGGTTTCTGAGTCTCAAGAAACTAGAGGGACTGAGGAAACCACTTCTAAATGCTGTTTATTCTGGGGGAACTATATTGAGGAAGAAGTTCCTTATTTCTGGAAGACACTATTAAATGATTCCTTACAATGGTAAGTCCATTATTCAGTCAGTAATGCAGACCACCTGCCCTGTGCTAGGCACTGAGAATATCATGGTAAACAGGGAAGATGAGAATCCTGCTTTTAGAGCCTTAAGTCTAAGTGGGTGGGGGAGGAATATAATTGGTAAGCAGGATAATTTCAGATAGTGATTAATTGCTAAGAATCAAAAAAGAGGGGGTTTGGATATTCAGGGAAGGCCTGTCTAAAGGTGTGACATTTGAATTTAGACCTGATTTGAAGAAATGATGTATACCTTTCAGTTTTTAACTAATCTCATTAAAATGAGGCTGTTAGTTTCTCTTTAAGTCCAGAGAAATACATCAAGGGATCTGTAAAGAAAAACAGAATTAAATGTACTGTTTGAAGTAGTTCCTGTATTCTTTGTTTGGAAGATAATTACCAACATTTCATGATTAATGTGTTCTATGTTCATTTGCTGTAGTGCTAATCTTAGAAAAAAATTCTAAAGAGAGGTACTTAGATTGTGTAGCTCTGTATGTTTATTTTCTGAGTATAGACACAAAGGTAGATGAGTGGACACTGCACCTTATCTATGTGGTATTGAGTCCTCAGGAAAACCATTTCCAGGAATGGCTCCTGGAGGATCTGGAATGTTGTAGTCCTCAACTCTCTCCATTTTAGAGAAGTGGTCTTGAAACTTTTCATTAATCAGAAAAGAATCCATACATCTACGAACAGTCTTTATGGGGTGTGGAGTCATTGTTAGACCGTTCTAAAACCTTTAAAATTCACTGTTTGGTGCTTTATAGTAGAAATTGTTTTACTGTTAATGGGTATTTAGTGGAATGGTCCTGATTAATGTTCATTTACTTCCTTCTCTGCTGATATTTGAAAGAGTAGAGTTAATAGTGAAACACTGTAATAAAGTGAGGACATGAAGTGGGTGGATAGGCTTTTGAGAACTTCTTAGTCATTCCAGTGTTTTTAAAAAGTATATTTATAATTATGCACAGTGCAATTTATAGTTTGACTTCGGATAAATAATTCACCTGTGTAACCACCACTCTAAACAGGCCATGAAACATTTTCATCACTCCAGAAAGACCCCTCTTTCCCCTTTCTAGTCAGTCTCCACTCCAAATCCCAACCCAGGCAACCACGTTTTTCATTTGAATCATCATAGGTTAGTTTCTCTTGTTCTAGAACGTCTTATTTTATTGTTCAGTGGGATTCTGTTATGTGATTATACTATAGTGATTAAAGTTGTTTGTTCCCTTGCTGATAAGCTCATTTGCTTTTGATGTTATGATACTTAAGAAAAATTAAAACTTAGAAGTTCTTTTCCTTTTTTATTTTAAATAAAAACTTGAAGGTTCTTTTTTTTTTTTAAACAGAGGAAAAGCGCCCTTTTGACTTCGATTTTTTTGCTCATTTGCTTCAGAAAGTTCTTGCCGAAGAAGAGAAAAGAAAACAAAAATCTGTTAAAAATCAGAGTTCAAAGGAGAAGAAGTCCTCTAAATCACGGAAAAATGTAAAAGGTATTTATTGAAAAGAGTTATTTTACTTAGTAAGAATAGACTTACTGTATTGTCCCTGAAGTCTTAGGGCATTCATACATAGTTCAGGTAGTCGAGATCATTGAGTCATCTGATTGGAGGGAATTGGTTTTTCTTCAGTCTTCTAGTTAACTGGCCACAAACAGCAGCTCCCTTTATAATTTTATAATTGGTGTAACTGGGCTGTTTGACATCTTTCTTGTATCTGTGGCATAGTTATAGCTAATACAGGAGCATCAGAATTTTGAGGTGTCATGTTTGCTTACTTATTATTTTTCTGGGTAAATCAAATCTGGCTCAAAAGTCTAATATAATGAAAACTGGAACTCTAATACTTTGAGCTTGTGACTAAATTGTATTGTTTGAGCACAACTTATTTCTGAGGGGTAATGTTGACTTATACCAGGTAGGAAATTTTTTATATGTGGGTATTTCTATTTTTAGGCTTATATTTTCTTAACTATTTGAATTTTGATCTGAGGACAATGTTTAGCTATAATCTTATAATTTAAAGGATCTTTGAACTATAGGGAACCTTATGTGTTAGCTGTACATCCCAGCCCCTTTCCTTTTGTTTTACTAACCCAGAAATAACCTCAGAGATCCTGTCATTTTTTCTTAATGTATTAACGTGTTAGTAGTGACAGCAGCAGAACTCAACCCATGACTGTGAGTCTGTGATGGGGGACCCCAAGAGGACCCCCAGATTCAATTATTTGCTGAGACTCACGGGATTCTGCGTATGTTGTACAAATAGCTGCGATTCATTACAGTGGAAGAATGCACAGCAAAACTGGCAGAGGGGAGACACAGAGGTCACAGTCTGGGGAAACGGGCAGGTGTCCACCCGCCACATGGATGTGCTTGATTTCCCAGCATCATGTGGGAATGAGATGTGTGAGGGGGCCCAGTGCTTAAGATTCCACCCTTCCAATGCAGGGAGCATGAGTTTGATCACAGGTTGGGGAACAAAGGTGCTTTCCTGGTGGCTCAGATTAAAGAATCTGCCTGCAGTGCAGGAGACCTGGGTTCAGTCCCTGGGTTGGAAAGATCCCCTGGAGTAAGGAAAAGCTACCCACTCCAGTGCAAGATGATCCAACCAGTCCATCCTAAAGGAAATCAGTCCTGAATGTTCATTGTAAGGACTGATGCTGAAACTGAAACTTCGGTACTTTGGGCACCTGATGTGAAGAACTGACTCATTTGAAAAGACCCTGATGCTGGGAAAGATTGAGGGCGGGAGGAGAAGGGGAGGACAGAGGATGGGGTGGTTGGATGGCATCACTAACTCAATGGACATGAGTTTGAGTAAACTCTGGGAGTTGGTGATGGACAGGGAGGCCTGGAGTGTTGCAGTCCATGGGGTTGCAGAGTTGGACACGACTGAGCTGAACTGAACCCACTCCAGTATTTGGCCTGGAGAATTCCTGTATAGTCCGTGGGGTCGCAAAGAGTCGGAGATGACTGAGCGACTTTCACTTTCACAAATGACATTGAATTTTATTTTTTGTTTTTTTAAAATGTAATTTATTATTTTATCTTTTAAAAAAAATATTCATTTATTTTTGGGGCTGTGTTGGGTTTTAGTTGTGGCACTCAGATCTCCTTAGATCTTTAGTTGCAGCATGTGCGATCTAGTTCCCTAATCATGGATCAAACCTGGGCCCCCTGCATTGTGAGCATGAAGTCTTTGCCACTGGACCACCAGGGAAATCCCCATTATTTTACCTTTTTGATACAGTTAACTATTAATATATCTTCAAAGAAAAGCACTAGAAACTGTTTAAAAATCTTTGCTAATAAGGTTGTTCATTGAAAAAGAATACAGAAAAATGAAATTCTTGAACTCTGTCTCCTACCCTGCCCTCAAGTCAAATTCTTCAGCTTTCTTAGGGATAATTATTAGTAAATTACGAGTTAGTATGAAGGTGGAAAATGCTCAGTTGTGTCCGACTCTTTGTGACCACGTAGACTGTAGCCCTCAGACTCCTCTGTTCATGGGATTCTCCAGGCAGGAATAGTGGAGTGGATTGTCATTCCCTTCTCCAGGGGATCTTCCTGACCCAGGGATGGAACCCAGGTATCCTGCATTGCAGGAAGATTCTTAACCATCTGAGCCACCAGGGAAGCCTTTTAGTTAGTATAGTGACTCTTTTCTATAACATGCCTATATTTTTGTGTCTTGGAATATATGTAATTGTTTTCCTTAAAATAAAGATGAGATGATACTGTGTATATTGTTCTGCAACTTGATTTTTTAAATGCAACAGTAATTTTTGAATTCTTATACATTACTGCATATAAAGCTGCCTCATTATTTACTGCCTAGATTTCTATAGCTTAAATGTATTGTAACTTATTTAGTCATTCTCTATTGGACAGTTTAAGTTGTCTTTAAATTTTTGCTAGGACATCCTTAAGTATTTATCTTCTCCACCTTTAAGCATTTTTCTATAGGTTGTTTTTGTAGTTATAACAATTTCTTTTACTTTCAGTGAAAAAAGTTGCCAATGATGATCGAGATGAGTCTGTGAGCCCTAAAATTTCAAACCCAGGAAGGTCACAAAAGGATGCTCAGACAGTTGAAGAAGAACTGCAGTCTCTGACTTTATCTGAAGAGAATTCAGAACAGAATACGTTAGAACTAGACGTAAATCAAAAGAAAAGAAGAAGAAAGAATCAGGGTGAAGGTAGTGAACAAGAAGTGCATCTTTCAGGAAGTGCCACTGTTCAGCCAGGCTCTTCTAAAGGAGAAAAACACAAAAGTAAGTTTATTACATATTTTAACAGCCCCTATATTACTTGCAAAGATGTGTATAACTTAACTGTGCTCCTTCTGATTAATAGCAGCTAATGATGAGTATTCATTGGCTCTGTATTCATGGTACTGTGTTAAACCCTTTTAATTTAAAGAAAAAATAGTTTATTGTTTAAAAAAATGAAGTTAAATGAATTTTTTCCTCTAAATTGTATCTTTGAGAAGTGTTACCTCTTAGGTACTCATATTAACAAAGTTCCAAGTCACATGTATATAGTTAAATGTGTACTGTATCTGTTAATAAATCACAGTTTTTCATGTCCTACCTCTACAGAGCCCCTCTATGAACCCAAAATAAGTTGTTTAATTTGTATAAAAGGGATGTGTATGTGTTAAGTAGCTTCAGTCGCTCCAGGTCTTTGCAACCCTATGGACTGTATAGGCTGCCAGGTTCCTCTGTCCATGCAACTCTTCAGGCAAGAATACTGGAGTGGGTTGCCATGTACTCTTCCTAGGAGATCTTCCTGGACCTCGGATTGAACCTGTGTCTCTTATGTCTCCTGCATTTGCAGGCAGTTTCTTTACCAGTAGCGCCACCTGGGAATCTCTACTGAAATAAATACTCCTCCGTGTTTTCTTTTGTTGACCTCCCGAGAATGTAGACATTTTGACACTTCCGAGTTCCTGGGAAATGAGAGCTAAGAGTTAAGGGACATCTTAGTCTCTTTCTTTAAGAGTTAATATATAGATTACTATATATGTAAATACATATATATATATATATAGATTACTATATCTAAGTAATACAGATTACTTAAAGTAGATAACCAAGTAAAGAGAGGATAAAAAGATAGTAGCAGACCAGAACAGTTTTTCTGTAGAATTTAAATTTTATGTGGTTCAGCTTCACCAAGATTTTAAGTGAATCCTGATAGGTGACATAGTGTGATTTATAGGCATCATAATATTATGCTCTTTTGTGGCTTACTATTAAAGATATTACAGATAAAGGAGAATTAGCTCAACTATTAAGAAATTTCACTTTGGGCCAGTTTCATAATCCTTACTATAAAGTATAGGGTTGTATGTGAATTCCTTTGTGCTTTTAAAAATGTTTTTGCTATCACTTTTATAATAACATGCATTTTGTATTAATAGATAAAGGCCTGTCTTTAAGTCCTGAGATTAATGAAGATGAAGCCAGTAAGGAACAAGAGTTTCCCTGTGTACAGGACACAGATGACCTTGTGGATTTATCCTCTAGTGAAGACGCTGAGAAAAGAACTGACCCTGTTCTTTCATCAAGGTACTTTTTGTATGGTTACTCACTTTCTCTCCATCTTCTCACAGTTCCTGAAGGAGGAGTGTGAAATCTCCACCTGTAATTGTGAATTTGCCTATTTCTCTTTTCAGTTCTGGTTTTTTTTTTTCATGTCTTTTGAAGCTCCTTTGTTAGGTGCGTACATTTCTAGGATTGTTGAATCTCCTTGGCGAAACCACCGTTGCATCACTCGTGTGATATCGTCCTGGTCTTGCTCTTTGTTCTGATGCTTGCTATGCCACTACAGCCTTCTTGTGGTTAATGTTTGCAAAGGTTTATCATTTTCTATAAATATTTTCTCTTAATTTTGGTTTTCAGCTGTTTGAATGTGATATATCCTGCTGAGAGTTTTTTGTTTGTTTTTACTCTCAGTAAAAAACACGTAAGATGAGATCTACTCTTCTAAATGAGTTTTTAAAATGTACAATGTGGTTAACTCTGAGCACAGTGTTGTGCAGCATGACTGAAACTATCTATTGAACAGTAACTCTGTTTCCTCCCCATCTCTGGCCCCTGCTAACCACCATTCTACTTTCTGTTTCTGTGAGTTACTTTAGATACTTCAAGTACCTGGAATCACATAATATTTGTCCTTTTATGAGTAGCTTATTTCACCTAGCATAATGTTTTCAGGGTTCATCCATATTAAAGCATATGACAAGATTTGTTTTTATGGTCAAATAATATTCCTTTGTAGGTATATATCACATTTGCTTTATTTGTTTGTCAGTGAATATTTACGGTGTTTCCATCTTTTGGTTATGAATAATACTGCAATAAACATGAAATTGAAGAAAATTCTATGAGATCTGTTTTCAGTTCTTCTGGATAAATACTCAGAAGGAGAATTGCTGGATCATATGATAATTCTGTTTTAAATTTTTTGAGGCGCCTTCATACTGTTTTTATTATGGCTGCATTTGGGCTTCCTTGGTGGCTCAGAGGTTAAAGTGTCTGCCTCCAATGTGGGAGACCTGGGTTCGATCCCTGGGTTGGGAAGATCCCCTGGAAAAGGAAATGGTAACCCACTGTAGTATTCTTGCCTGGAGAATCCCATGGACGGAGGAGCCTGGTGGGCTACAGTCCACGGGGTCGCAAAGAGTCGGACACGACTGAGCGACTTCACTTTCTTTCACATACTGTTTTTATTGTGGCTGCATTTTACATTCCACCCGGAGTTCATAAGTATTCCAGTTTCTCCACATTCTTGCCTGCGTTATTTTATTTTTTTGAAATTAGTATCTGTATATTTTAATTAATATATTTTAGTTAATAACATTTTAAAAATTAATATAACAAGCTCCTAATAGGTGTGAGATGATAATTTATGGTTTTGATTTGTATTTCCCTGATGATTGTGATATTGAGCTCTTTAAATGCTTAAATACTTGTTGGCCATTTGTATATCTTCTGTGGAGAAATGTGTATTCAATTCCTTTTCCAATTTTTTAAAAAATGTTTTTTTATTTCTTTCTTTTTTCGTTGTACCTTGCAGCCTCCTGTGGGGTCTTAGGTCCCTGGCATTGAACCCCTGCCCCTGCAGTGGAAGGGCGGAGCCTTAACTTCTGCCAGGGAAGCACCCTTTTCCAGTTTTTTAATGGAGCTATTTGTTTTTCTGTTACTAAGTTGTAGAAGTTTCTTTTCTATTTTGAATATTAAGCGCTTGTCGGATACATAGTCTGCATGTCTTTTCTCCCATTCAGCAGGTTGCCTTTTGACTTTTGACTGTTCCCCTTGCTGTACAGGTTTTGGTTTAACATAGTCCCACTTGGCTATTTTTGCTTTTCTCACCTGTGCCTTTTGTGTCATGTCAAAAAGTCATTGCCAGCACCAGTCTGATGAAGCTTTTCCCCTGTTTTTCTTTAGTTTTATCCTTTAAGGTGTTCCCTTTAAATGCAGTGGACCTGGGTTCAGTCCCCAGTCCGGGGACTAAAATCCCACAAGTTGTGTGGCACAGCTGAGAAAGGGGAAGAAAAAATGTTACCTTTAAATTTAATACATGTTGAGTTAATTTTTGTGTATAAGATTAAGGTCCAGTTTCTTGTGTGTGTGTGTGTATTTCTAGCTTTCCCAACATAATTTGTTGAAGAGATTATCCTTTTCCTATTGTGTAGTTTTGGCACCCTGTCAAAGACAATTTGTTTTTTTTTGTTTTTTTTTTTAAAAAACTTAATATTTTTTAATAGATCTTAAACTGTTACAGAGTTCAGAGTGGACATTTAAATTTTTTTTTTATGAAATTCTACTTTCTGAGGCTTGTCCTCAGAGTTTTTATTGTGACAAAGGCTGTGCTGGGCAAGAGGCGATGACATAACTTCCAGTGATTTTTATTAGGTTGGTCAAAATTTCATTCGGATTTTTCCATAGCATCTTATGGAACATCTATCAAGGAAAATTTGTTAAATAAGCAACCGTCACTTCTTTAAGATTATTTCTGCAATACATTTAGCAGTAGGTGTAGAAGTGCTACTTCTGAACCTCTAGAGTCCATACCAGCTGAGATGCCTTCCTAAGTGTCATTCTTGCTTTTTTTTTTTTTTTTAATGTTGATTATGGTGTTTTTTTTTTTTTTTTAATTTTTTATTTATTTATTTTTTTTTATCACAACCATAGTGTATCTTTTTTTTTTTTTTTTTTTACATGTATTCCCCATCCCGGTCCCCCCTCCCACCTCCCTCTCCACCCAATCCCTCTGGGTCTTCCCAGTGCACCAGGCCCGAGCACTTGTCTCATGCACCCAACCTGGGCTGGTGAACTGTTTCACCCTAGATAATATACGTGTTTCAATGCTGTTCTCTTGAAACATCCCACCCTCGCCTTCTCCCAGGGTCCACAAGTCTGTTCTATACATCGGAGTCTCTTTTTCTGTTTTGCATATAGGGTTATCGTTATCATCTTTCTAAATTGTATATGCATGGGTATATTTCTGGGTTGTTTTTCCTGATCTGTTGGTCTCTGTATACCCTTTTCTGAAAAATCTGATGAAAGCCACTTATTGTCATGTAAAATAAATGTATGCACACATGCCAATTTATTCACACAATTCAGAAGATTAATAGATTGTTTGAAGACAAGCCATAGACCTCAGGTCTTTTGCTGGGTGACCCTAAGTTTTAACCTCAGACACACAACTAACTTCATAGACTATGCACAAAACAATACTGATGACTTTTTTTAAGGGGGGAAAACAATCCTGTTATGACTGTTTAAATTCCACTGGTTTTGTAAAACAGTGAGCTGATTCTATAATTCTTAAGTCTGTAAGAGTGAAGGGTCATGAATGGTAAAGACAATTTTGGAAAACAACTCTGGAGATAAAATGTATTAGCTTATTCTAAAGCTAGATCAAAAGTGTGGTACTGGAAAAGGACAAGTTGAGAGGAACTGGATGTAGAATATAGGAGGAGAAATTTAGGAATCTGATAGATGGCAGAGGTAGCATTAGCAGTTATCTCCCATATCTTATGATAAACCATAATGGAAAGGAATATTAAAAAAAGAATGTGTGTGTGTGTGTGTGTGTGTGTGTGTGTGTGTGTGTGTAACCAGATCACTTTGCTGAGTAACAGGAATTAACAATATTATAAATCAGCTGTACTTCAATAAAAATAGATAAGAAGAAAAATATATATGGTAAAAAAGAAATTAGCAGGTAAAGATTAAATTAACCATTCATTAAATGGTGTTTAGATATGAAAAAAATGATAGTAGATCCCTGTTTTACCCTATGCAGTAACTTTCATAGATTAAAGATGAGATATATAAAGCAAATCTTTAAAACTTTTAAGAGAAACTGTAGAGAAATATTTTTGATATGTCAAGGTTTTCTTAAGACATAAAAAGCACAAAGTTTAAAGGATAAAATTGATAAATTCAACTGCAATAACATTAAATACTTCCATTGACAAAAGGCTCCATGAAGTAAAATACAAGCTGCTGATTATGAGGTTTTACATGTAGCATCTAACCAAAAAAAGAATATACAAAGAGCGCTGGGAAAAGAAACACCCAGTAGGAAAAAAAAAGAAAAGGCAGCAAAAAATAAAGCATGACTAAATGTGAATTTGTGTTGAAATTGAATGCTGGCCACTACCTAGTCATTATTTATATTATCGTTAGTTGAAATATTTCATGATACAGCGATCCTCTCCTTCCATGGTGTACTGTGAACTGCAACTGGTGCGTATTGCAACTGTGCCCTTGATTCCCATGACTCCTGGGTAACGAGGTAGTACTGTATGAAGGACTGCCGATGATAAATTTTAATGAGAAATAATTCCTAAACTTTACACATACATTTGATTTGTGAACACCGTGTAGTTAAGAGTTTTTCATTTTGTAACTTCTTGAGCACTTAACCCTGTTCTGTGGCTGTTGCTGTCTCCTAAGGTACAGTGTTTTAATAACATGTTTCAAGAAGGATCTTAGAGAAACCAAATACCTGTTTTGTTTTTTCCGTGATATGAAGGATCATCTGCCAAAGTTTTGACTTTGTATATTTTAAAAAATCTTTTAAATGATTAGTAGAAGATGTATATTACTAAAAGGTTCTTTTCCCAATATATTTTCATTTCCTTCATAGTCAACAAGATGTCATATCAGTAGCAGCTGAGACTGCAGAATCAAACACTTCAGACTTGCCTTCATCAGAAGGCGGAGTTAGAGCATTGTGTGAGGTGAAGAGTGCTGAGGGTAGTTGTACAGAAGAAAGAGATGTTGACCTAAAAAGTAAATCACTGTAAGTATTTTACGTGGTAGGATTTTAAAGTTTGTGTTTAAAATTTTGATAATTTATCATTAAAAAGTGATAATGTTGTTTTCTTAAGGGATTAGGAGGGTACTCTAGACCATTTAGTATGTAATTGTACTGTGGACTGAGAGACATCAAAATTTTTTACTTTTGTATTTCATTACAGAAAGATTATCTTTTTTTATCTGATATATAGTAGTGATAGGAGTTATAGGAAAGTGGTAACTTACAATGAAATTCTAAAATAATTTGGAAATGTAAATATTTGCTATGAGATTTAACTTTTACTTGGTCTGAGTTATTTTTCATACCTGTTGTCAAAGTAGTAGATTTTGATATTGATACTTTAAAGAGATTATGTGTTATGCTTGCTGGTGTGAAAATAGTGGTTAAATTAATACCTTCAGTAAAAACAATAAAAGCACTGCAAGACTCTTCCTTTGAAAAGATATCTCAGAAATTCAGATTTCCTCTTTGTCTCCTCAGATGGGCTTAAAAGGTGTTTGTTTAGTTTATGAATTTTTATTTTCAGTAAAGCATGGTCACATTGAGAATCAAATTTATTTATTTTTAAAATTGTTTTTGGCTGAGTGGCTTGTGGGATCTAAGTTCCCCGGCCAGGGAGCAAACCTGTGCCCTCCACAGTGAAAGTGCAGTCCTAACTACTGGACTGCAGGTAATTCCCAAGACTTATTTTTTTCCAATAAAATTAGAAACTAGTCTTTGGAATAGGCAATATATTCCTGGGGTTCAAACATTCAAAAGTACAAGAAGTTATTTAGTGAAGTATCTCTTCTACCATGTCCCCATTTACCCAAACAAGTAAACAGTGTTACTTATTTCTGACATTCTTTCAGAGATTAAAACACAAATAACCAAAAAAACCCCAAAACGGACATTAAAGCTAATACAGATACACAAAGTACATATTTTTTTTTCACTCTTTTCAAAAACTTAGTGGTAGAATAGTATATTTGCTGTTTTGCAAGTTTTTGTCTTATATCCTCATATCTTTACGTCAAGGCCTTCTTTATTCTTTTTATAGTTGGCATACTGTTCTGTTGTATGGATGAATTATAGTTTATATTATCTGTGCCCTGCTGATGACTATATATGTTGTTTTACAGGCAGTGCTTAGAAATTTATACCTCTGTCCTTTCACCTTTGTGCAGTGTATTTGTAGGTTAAGTTTCAAACATGAAATTGCTAGCCCAAAGGATATATTTGTATGTAAGTGTGTGTACATTTGTATACATTTGTGATTTTAATAGATGCTTCCAAAATGCTCTTCATAGGAGTTTTTCTAGTTTATATTTCCACTAACAACATAAGAAATGTCTCCCTTACCAACAAACAGTGTTACAAACTTGGATTTTTGCCAGTCTTGATAGATTGTAAAAGAAAATAGTATCTCAGTATGATACATATACCTCCTCCTCCTTTTTGACCAGGCGTAAGTAATTCTATTATTTTTTTCCCCTTCAGTCGCTTTTTAAAAAATTTTCTGTACCTAACAAAAAGTCAAAAGATTCGAATAATGAACATTTGTATATGATTCCCCTTAGAGTCTCTGATTCTTAATATCTTTTCACATTTGTGCTTACTTGCTCTACTTTTAATTGGTATTCAGTACGTTTTTCATTGGGAGTGAAATTGAGCATCTCTTCATATTTCAAACCTATCTTTATTTTTTTTTCTGTGAATTCATACCCTTTGTCCAGTTTTCTAATGAGTTATTATTTTTTTTTCTAATGAGTTATTATTGGTGTTATTTTGTAGGCAGACTTAACATTTTAGAGAGGTTAGTCTTGTAATATGAGTTGTAAAACATGCCTTGGTTTGTAGTTTGACTTACAACATATCTTTTGGCCATATAAAAGCTTTTGATTTTTATATTGTCAAATTTCTCTCTTTCTCCTTCTTTTCTTTTTTTTCCTTTTATGGCTTCAGATTTTTTAATCAAGTTTTAGAAAGGCTTATCCTATTTCAAATTACAAAAGAATTCATTCATATTTTCTCTGTGGTTTCACTTAAATCTTTGATTCATTTGGAATATATTGCAAGTACAATGCAAGGGATGAAACTTATTTTATTCCCTAGTATTACTAGTTTTCCCGTCACCATTTAATTGAATATTTATTAAAAAGATTTATTACTTTTGTGTTCATTTCATTCTATTTTGAAATGCTAAATTTATTGTATACTAAAATCATATGTATTTTCAAATTATCTCAGGTTTTTTTGTTAAAGTTATCTGTTATTCATGTATTAGTACCACAATATTTTAATTATCAATGCTGAGTATTGTAAATATCTGATAAAACAAATTAGTAATCCTTCATTGCTCTTTCTGTTCAGTTTTCTTTGCTACTTTTATTGTAAATAAGCTTAAAAGAGTTCTTTTCTAGCTCAAAATGAATTTTTAAAGGATTTTCCAGAATTTCTTTTGAATACGTCTGCATGTTGGTAAAATTTGAAGGGTGTTAATTTTCTAGGGAAACTGATCAAACAGAAACTGTTAAACCAATGACAAGAGGACGACTTCAGAGACCTAAACCCAATTTATCAAGGGCAGTTGGGAAGAACTCAGTCCTTTCACGAGCTAAAACAGATGCAGAGGACAAGAGTTTACATAAAGAAACTCCTGTTGAAAAGGTATGGAGTAAGAGGCATATGGAAATTAAAATTATACCGTTTTTTTCCTAAGTAGTTGGAAATAAAAATGTTTAACTTGTAATTACAAAGTAAATGATAATAAAGCCAAGATATAAGAAATTCACACATTAATAAATTGTGTACTAGCCTCATACATTTTCTTTAGAATGTCAGATGTATCATTTTGAACATCCTTAGTAGTGATAAAGCTATCTTTTGTTTACTTATATAATATTTTTATTAAAAGTATTTTTTAAACCAGCTATAGTGAAATTATACCCACAACTCTCTTTTCTAAACACAGATGTAGTCCTCTGTCTTTCCTTTATAGATTTTCTCTTTTTATGAAAATAAACATTTCTGTACTTTTTAGTTATATATTACATTTAAAACTTTTTTCTCTGAAACTATTAATTTATACTGTCTTGGGGCTAGTTGGTCTTTTCAATAGCTGTATCAGATTAATATTGTTATTTTACCTACCATTTCTCTGATGTTTAGGTTGTTTCCATTTTTTTTTTTAACTCCATAAGTAAAAGCAGTTTTGTAAATAGCAAAGAATAAATTTCTAGAAGTGGTAGGGATTACTGGGCCATAGTATTTAAATGTATTTTTGGCTCTTGTTAGGTATTATCAAACTGACAGTCAAAAAAAAAAAAGAATCTTAGGAACTCGCTGATTGTCCAGTGGTTAGAACTCAGTGCTTTCACTGCCTGGGTCTGGAGTCAATTCCAGGTCAGGGAATTAAGAGCCCACAGGCTATGTAGCCCCCCCCAAAAAGTCTGTGTACATTTCTATCAGCATTATGACTGTTTGCTTCATTATATCTTTGCCAGTATTATTAAAAATGTTTTAATTTTGCTAAAATAATTCTTTAACTTTTAGTCTGCTTTTTTCCTCTTATGTGAAATCTTTCCATACTTTTTATAATATATTATTATATTCTCGTAAGATGTTTTTAAATTCTAGAAAATTGGGAAAATACAGACTTATGTAAAAATTAAAATGGAAATTAATTGTTTAATCCACATGCAACCAACTGTTTCAGGATATATCCTTCCAACTTTTTTTTTTTTTTTACAAAGTTGAGTAGTATTGTTAATTCAGTTTTGTATACTTTGGTATTTTCATGTTTCATGAATATTTTTTCACATCATTAAATGTCTTTGAAAAACATGATTTTTAGTGCCTTCATAATTTTATAATATTCCATCTGTGAGGGTAACTAAATTTATTTAACCGTTTATTCATTATTGGATATTTGTCAGTTTATAGTATTTCCTGTTTTGCATAATGTTCCAGTGATCATCTTTGTACTTAAGTCTTTGTCTATATTTTCTTAGAATAGCATCTAAGAAATGATATTACTGGGTCAAAGAATATGAACATTATTAAAGCTCTTGATAATATTGGTAAGGATATATCAGTTTGTGCTTCTGTTAGTAATGTATGAGATTATGTGTTTAAAATGTTTCATCTGTGTTTATGATTTTAACTCTTTTCTAATAATTAGAAGTACAAAAAGAAATTTTATTATTTCCACTTATTTATTTATTATAAAGTTTTTATGTTAAGTAGATTAAATATAAAAAATTAAATTTGTAGAATCCCATGGAAAAGGATGGTATTTCTGGAATGGAGAATACAGAGAAAGGGAACCCAGAACCTGACACTGTATCTAAGTAAGTATTTAGGGAATAGAATAAAAATTGTAACTCTTAGGAATGATTGTAATGGCTTGTTTTTTACTTGCTAATGTCTGAATTTTATTTTCAGCTAGTGTAATTAAGTCCATTTTTAATTATAGGGATTGTTGAAACATTTAATAATGCTGTTTATGCTTGGTATTACAAGCATAATAAATATGCTTAAATAAATTTTGGTGTGGGTCCACTAGTTAACCAAATCTTGTTAGATAAATTAATGGTTAAGATGTATGTTGATGGATAATCTTATTTATAACAAGGGGTTTCAAAAGGGCATATTTAGGGGAATTCCCTGGTAGTCCAGTGGTTTGGGCTTTGTGCTTCCCCTGCAGGGTGACACATTTAATCCCTGGTTGGGGACCTAAGATCCTACATGCTGCTTGGTGTTGCCAAAAACAAAAAAACAACAGAATATTGAACATGGAGTGAGAATAGAATAGGTCTTGGTCCAGTATAAATCTGAACCAATGGATTCTGGACTGTATATTTATGCCATAATCTGCGTCTAGTGCCCTGAAGGTGTATGTTACACAGTGGTGTCCTGAGTGGGTAATAATGTTCCATACTTGTCAGGTATAGATTTTTTCCAATTTTGTGGTGAAAATTTGATTTAAAAGTGCTTTTTTATAGTCATGCTTCTAGGACTATGTTCTAGAGAGTTAAGGTATTAGAGGTATGTGTATCTTTGCAGGTGTTCTTGACACTTGTGAATTATTTTGTATTCCCAAATGGTTTACTTATTTATACCTGGGAGAAGGGAGTACTGAAAATAAGTCTCTCTGTGATATACGAGTAATCATGTGACTTCAGAATAACCATTGATTTTATTCCTTTGTAATTACTGTAGTTTGAGTGAAAAAACTTGTCTGCAGGAAGTTGATCAACCAAAGGCTTTCAGACCTGCACGACTAATGCGGGGCTTATTACAAAGGCCAAAACCAAATGTAGGTAAAGCTGCTGAAAGAAACGAAACTCTTACATCACAGGAAAAATCTGGTGCCAGTATAGAAAAGAATGAAAATGAATCCTGTATCAACAGAGATGTAAGTACTCTGATGACCTCCAGTTTTTTGTTAAACAAAGCATAAGCCTCCTTTCATCTCCTTTTTTTAAAACATCAGTATTATACAATTATCTACACTGTTCTTTAAATTTAATGCCCATATGTCATAGCCAAAAGCTTTGCTAATTGTGAAGACACCTAGCTGTCAGCTCTGTGGATTTTAAACATGTATATGATGAATCATCTGCTTTCACCTTATGCATGTTTGGACTTGCTTTCTTCCCCCATCACTCAGCAGGTGTGATTACACTTCCCTTTCGAAGGGAATTACAGGCTTATACTTCTCTTTCGAAAATATAGGTAGGTGTCTGAATTTTAACACTGACTTAAACAAAATAGAATGTTAAAAGCTCCTTACTATAATACTCCAATAACAAAGATTATAAAATTTAGATATTTACATAATAACTGGTCTTTGTGATAAGAGTAAAAATTGGTATGGTTTGAGATTGAAATTTTCTTTTATAGTAATTCCCAAGGTCTATAATGTGATTATAATAATCCAAAAGATTTAGAAAGACAGAACCCAAGGGATAATTTTAACAGATTACTTGCTTTCTGACTGGGAAGCAAAGGATAGGGGCTTTGAGATGAGATAAAAGGTGTGGCTTATGAAATTTTCTATATCTTAAGAAAAAACATTAAAAAGTGCCTCTTAGGAAATTCCCTGGTGATCCAGTGGTTAGGATTCTGTGCTTCTGCTGCTGGGGGCCTGGGTAAGATCTGCTAGCTGCACAGCCCAGCCTGGGAAAAAAAAAGTGCCCCTTGAATATCATTTTACAGTTTTGAAATGTTTACCATTTTCCTTGTACTCAAATTGTACATCTTTTTCAGTGAAATCTTTTATAAATGGGTGTTTTCATTCTAAAATCTAAAACTTTTTTAAAAAGGTGTTTGTTTTATTAAGACTCCTGAACAGATAGAAGATCAGTCATGTGAAAATTTTGAGTGTGAAGATGTTGCATCACTATCTGGAAAAAAAGACAGTTCCTTTCAAAATGTGCAGTCAGATGAGCCCAAGGCTGTTAATGAGTGTCTGAGGTAAGCATCGTCTTATTGATGATATAATATTTGAATTATATGTAAACTTTTAGAAATTATCCAGCATTTTTTAAAAACAATAGCAATAGCAAATCAGATAGATTTGTTATCTGTTTATCAAGTTACATAATATTTGCAAACATACATTCACCTTTCAAGGCAGTTTATCTCACTGTCTTCATGTTGATTTCTCACTTGTATTTTGATGAATTTTACCCATCACAAATTAGACCTTGAGTTATTAATAACATGGATAGTTATTCATATCACTTGATAAGCATATTAAATTATGTATCTATATCCAAATGTGAAAATGCTACTTACTTTAGTATTTGTTTCTTTAGGCTTAGATTGATCACACATACGTAAATCGTATGTAATACTTCTGTGTATAAATTGATACCTTTTTACAGCCAAAATTCTCTGTATTTGTTATTTCCCCTCTGGAGGATACCAAACTAGATCAATAGAACTATTAGTATGCTTTAAGATTTTTTTTCCTTTAGGGAATATTCAGTGCACGAAAGTAGTGAGAACAGAATAACAGATTCCTGTGTACCTACTATCTAGTTTCAGCAGTTATTCATATTTTACCAATCTTTGCATTCACAGTGTGGCCTATTGTATACTTTATTAAAGCTATATGAACCCGTTTAAATACTGCCTAACCTATGAGTGAAAGCTAGGTTTCCTGAACTACTCAAAAGGTCTCTGTTAGAAGACAAAAAAATTCCTTTATTCCTCTCATCTTTCTCTGTTCCTTTGCTTCTTTCTTCCCTCCCTGTATCCCCTCCCTACACCCCCAGCCTGTTGCTCTGCGCTGCCCTAGAGATTCTGGGTAGAACCCTGGACTTAGAGCTGCATTGCTGCTGCTCTTCAGTTGCTAAGTTGTGCCTGACTCTGCGACTCCATGGACTCCAACCCACCAGGCTTCTCTGTCCGTGGGACTTCCCAGGCAAAAGTACTGGAGTGGGTTGCCATTTTCTTCTCCGGGGATCTTCCTGACTCAGGAATTGAATCTGCGTCTCCTGCACTGGCAGGCGGATCCTTTACCACTGAGCCACCTGGGAAGGCTGTACAATTGCATTATTAGAAATCTCTGGTCCAAATATTAATTACAGCCTGACACTGTTGAAAAAAATCTAGGGACTGCAAAAAAGAGAAATATCCCTACAGGCAGGTGCCCCAGAGAAGGGCTATAATGTAGGTGAGGTGGAGACAGATTTGAAAGAAACTGGAAGAGCGATTTCCCCAAGGGAGAAGATAGTGGAGCTGCTCGATGCCACTGAGGAAGTCGATTTAGAAGACTGAAAGAAGAGAAATGTCTACATCAGAGAAGGTCTGGGAGATCAAAATAGTACCCAGTCACTAGGTGGTTTTTCATTCAGTTACACATCTTTATTGGTTTTACCACCTATTATTATGACAAAGCACAAGACAGAGTGTGCTGCTGCTTTTTTGGAAAACAAGGTACTTGTAGTAGGTAGTGATTGTTATGTGCCCAATAGCATTCAGCAGACTGCAAAATGTTGTTTATTTTCTCTCTTGTTTCGTTCCCAGTTTATATTATGAAATCACAAGCATTGAGAGAAATGACTGTACAGGAAATCTCAGTTTGAATTGTTTCTAAAAAGTGAGGAGGGGTAGACTTAGTTTTTAGTCATAAGACTGTATCTTATTCAAAGTACACGTCCATCCAGCTATTTGAGATCTTGGTTAGTTCTGGCCATATAAATGAGTTCTTTAACTCTTACCCAGACATGTGTCTGGATAAAGGATAGTAGGGGTGAAAAGGTAGGCATAGCAGATGCAAATTAGTGTAACTCCAGGTAGAGAATGCAGAGCCTTTCTCAGGAGGCATTTGCCAGCGCTGATGTGGGCGGCAATTAGCAGGAGGCTGTTGAGGCCCGGTTTGCCGTTATTCTGATTGACCTGGGCTTCTGTGGTGGCTCAGCGAAGAGTCGACAAAGCACCTGGGCGCAGTCCCTCGGCCAGAAAGACCCCCTGGAGAAGGGGGTGGCTGCCCGCTCCAGTTTTCCTGTCTGGAGAACCCATGGACAGAGGAGTCCGACGGGCTGGAGTCCGTGGGATTGCAGAGTTGGACACGACTCAGTGACTTAACACACTTTCACTCATTGACCTTATTGATAGATTTAATTATTTTAAAAATTTACGGTAATTTCCAAGAATGGAATTTTTTTCTCTCCTTTAATTTTTAAATTTGACCCAAAGAGTCCTGGTGCTTCATTATTGTTATTTTTTTTTAATTTGAGAGTTCCTGATTTTTCAGTAGTAATTTCTTAATGATCACATCTTCAATTGACAATCTGGTTTAAAATTTGATCGTGTGTGTGTTTTCTTTTTCTTTTTTTTTTCAGTATTCAGGAGGATAATAGAGCAAATAAAGATGTTCGAATTCCAAAGACTCGATTTCAGAAACCAAAGCCAAATATAGGAAGGAGAACTGGAAGAAGAGGAATTTCCTCAAAGGAAGAGGTACCAAAGGAGGTAATTGCCTCTGAGGAGATGACAGCAGCTTTGAGAGAAACTGCAAGACTGGAAACCTCACTAAGGGAGAAGGAACCTGTGGAGACTAATGTTACTAAGGAAATGGACTCAGATTTAAAAGAAATTGGAAGAAAAGACATCTCTTCCAGGGATATAATGCCAGAAATGAGTGATGTCTCTGTGGAAATGGAGACAGATTTGAAAGAAACAGAAAAAAATGACATCTCTCCCAGGGAAAAAATGCCAGAAATAAGTGATGTCACTGTGGAAATGAGGACTGATTTGAAAGAAACCGAAAAAAATGACATCTCTCCCATGGAGAAAATACCAGAAATGATTGATGTCATTGCAGAAATGGAAACAGATTTGAAAAAAACTGGAAAAAATGACGTCTCTCCCAGGGAGAAAATGCCAGAAATGAGTGATATCATTGCAGAAGTGGAGACAGATTTGAAAGAAACTGGAAAAAATGACATCTCTCCCAGGGAGACAGTACCACAAATGATTGATGTCACTGCAGAAATGGGGACAGATTTGAAAGAAACTGGAAAAAATTACATCTCTCCCAGGGAGGAAATATCAGAAATGAGTGATGTCACTGTGGAAATGAAGACTGATTTGAAAGAAACTGGAAAAAATGACGTCTCTCCCAGGGAGAAAATGCCAGAAACGAGTGATGTCACTGCAGAAACGGAGATGGATTTGAAAGAAACCAGAAAAAATGACGTCTCTCCCAAGGAAACAGTACCAGAAGCTATTAATGTCACAGATTTGAAAGAAACCGAAAAAAATGAGATCTCTTCCAGTGAGAAAATACCAGAAACAAATGTTATCACTGCGGAAATGGAGACAGATTTGAAAGAAACTGGAAAAAATGACATCTCTCCCAGGGAGAAAATGCCAGAAATGAGTGATGTTACTGCAGAAATGGAGACAGACTTGAAAGAAACTGGGAAAAATGACATCTCTCCCATGGAGAAAATACCAGAAATGATTGATGTCACTGCAGAAATGGAGACAGATTTGAAAGGAATGGGAAAAAATGACATCCCTCCCAGGGAGAAAATGCCAGAAATGATTGATAGCATTGCAGAAACGGAGACAGATTTGAAAGAAACCAGAAGAGAGATTTTTCCAAGGGAGGAGATAACAGTGTCGACTGATGCCACTGAGGAAAGAGAGACAGATTTGGAAGAGACTGAAAGAAGAGAAATGTCCCTACAGGAAAATGCCCCAGAGGAAGTTGATATTATTGGTGAAGTAGAAACAGGTTTGAAAAAAACTGAAAGAGAAATTTCCCCAAATGAGGAGATACCAGAGATGCCTGATGCTGCTGAGGAAGTAGAGACATATCTAGAAGAAACTGATAGAAGAGAAATATCTACACAAGAAAATGCCTCAGAGGTCAAAACTGTAGGTGACAAAATGGAGATAGATTTGAAAGAAACTGGAATAGAAATTTCCCCAGGGGAAAGGGTATTAGTGGGGATCAGTGCCACAGGGGAAAGAGAGACTGATTTGGAAGAAACTGGGCAGAGAGATGTTTTTCTGATGGAGAAAGCATCAGGAAAGGTGGCTGCCATTGAGGAAATAGAGGCAGATTTGACAGACACTGGAAAAGAAATTTCCTTGACGAAAAGCAGATCAGAAGAGATTGAGGAAAGCCTGGCAGATTTGGAAAACATAGAAAAAATAGACATTTCTCTAAGGGAAAAAGAACCAGAGGAGACTGGGACCTCAAGTCGAGCTGAGGCAGATTCCTTGCAGACCAGTAGTGGTGACGACAGCACTGTGGCTTCACAGAGTAATAGAGTATGTATTTTTCTGTCCTTTAAAAATATCTTTTGAATAGTTTCTTTGGAGAAAACTTATCAAAGTAATTCCAGGATCATTACCCTTAAATCCAATGACATATAAAATCACTAAAATTTTTCAATTGTGGAAAAGTTACTGTTCTTTTTAAAATTTTTTTAAATTCTTTTTTTTTTTAAAGTTACTGTTCTTAATGTCAGTTTAAAGTTACTCTTAGATAAAAGGAGTGTAGGAAATTGGACTGAATTTGTGCTAACGCTAATATGAACATACAGTGGAATTATTTCTTTTGACTGTACCTGTATTAGTTTTTCTCTTTATTTCCTGCCCCACCTCATTTCACTTTACTTTTAAAAGTTCCTTTTATTAAAATTTTCCAGTTCATTGAAGTTGAAGATATTCTAACATTTTCTAGTTTTCTAATTTTTTTTGGATAGGTAATGGCATTTGTAGTTTGGAAAAAACACAATGTGCAATATATAGAAAGACTTTCCCAAGTTCTGTGTTTCAACATTTGTAAATTAAATTTCATTTTATTTAAAAATGAAAAACCTCCAAACTTACATATTTTTAGAGACAATAGAATATATAGGCTTTTGTTTGAAATGTATGACGTGGCCAAAAAGTTGATTTCAGTTTTACCATAGGCTCTTTTCTCATAGAAAAGTCTGAATGAACTTTCTGGCCAACCCAATATATGTGCTGATTTATTTCCAGGACTTGGGCAGGGAAGTGCTGTCCGTGGTTCATACATCTGTAGAAGAAAAAAATTCTGAAAAGGAAGTGTCAAGTCAGTTGAGTCATTTGAACATTTCTTCGCAGTCTTCTGAACTTGATAAAATAGAAGACCAGAGGATGCGACCTCCAAGTGTTCCAGAGCAGTTTTCAGATATTAATTTAAGGTACAAGTATATAGGTCTGTGTGCTTTTGAAGAGAAAGCATATAAAGTTATATTTGCAGATTATGTTAAAGTAAGGTTTTAAGACATACCATCTGTAGCACAGTGTTGAAAATTTTAAGCTGGTTTGGGGGAAAACTGGGAGAAGTTGGAGGTCATTTTGACAGTAGATGGTGAGAATCACCAACATTCAAAATTGTGTGCAACACATACTTTTAAGTCAGTGCAGGTGTGACAAACCTGTATTTTCTTTGTGCAAAGATGATACAATTCTTGGGCTTATTCCTGGATTGTACCACTCATGTTTTTCAGCATCTACCAAATAGTCCGATTTGTTTTCCTGTTAAGACTTAGAATTAAATATTTACTGCCAGTCTCTAAGGTTGTCCTAAGACTCCACTCCCACTGCCCCTTCATTTCATCCTAAAGCTTGATAATCCTTGTTCCAAAAGCAAATCTCTTCCTCAAGAACAGACGCCATGTGAAGTTAAGCTGACACCTTTTGTGAGAAGTAGATTCAAAAGACCTAAACCAAACTTAGCAAGAGCAGCTTCAAAAAGAGAGACTACGAAAGCAGAAAAGCATGCACCTGGGAAGGAAATGGAAGCTGAGAAAACGGAGACTGTTGTGATACAGCACAACTGTGAACAAATGAGTACTCTCCCTTCTCAACATGTGAGTGTTATTTAAAATGGAGGTTTTCTGTCTTAGTTATTACAATTATTAAAGTAAAACACTTGGAGTGAAAAGTTGCAAATTTTTTCTCGTTATTTTAAAAAACGTATTTGATGCTTTGGGTCTTAGTTGCAGCACATGGTTTTTGTGGGCTTCTATTTAGTTACACTGTACGGGCTTAGTTGCCCCGAGGCATACGAGATCTTAGCTCCCTGATCAGGAATCAAATCTTGAGTTCCCTGCACTGGATGGTGGATTCTTAACAACTGGACCACCAGGGAAGTCCTTCTCATGTAATTTTTACTGTGTTTGATATTATTGTTGCTGTACTTAATGTACCTCGTTATTCCACATGGTTTTTGTAAGAATCTCAAATCTCTGATGATGGACAAATATCAGGGGAAGGATTTTAAGAGGCCCCAACTGTAGTTCAAGTTATTGAACTGCATTATGTGACCTAAAATTCATTATGTGACCATAAGCCATGTAATGCAGCCACTTTCTTCTCAGGGAAATTGAGAATGACAATCCATCTTTATTTCACTCTGTTGTGAAAGTGAAATAAAAAGTTAAAAGCTTGATATGAGTTAAAGGAGATTATTTTTATTTTCTTGATTAACTTAGTCTGTAAGAGATCAAGAAGTATGATACAGCATCAGAAACCTTGAAATAAAATGTTCATACTCATAAGTTGAGTGCTGTAAGTGTACAAAGTACGTTTTTGAATTAAAGTTCTTTTATAGCTTAATTCTTACTATACTTGAGAACATTTGTGCTTTTTCCTCCTAATCTTATATTTAAAGAAGATAAATCATGGAAATTCCCTGGCAGTCCAGTGGTTAGGATTCTGTGCTTTCACAGCTGAGGGTCTAGGTTCAGTCTCTGGGGAACTAAAATTCCATAAGCTACATGGCATGGCCCCCTCCTCAACCCCCTAAATCACTTTTGTTGATTATTTTATCCAATTATAAAAATTTCAAATTAAAAAAAAAATCATCTAAAAAGTTAGTCCTTTATAATGTTCCATCTCTTCCTCCCAAGTTAATCCCAAGTAGCAATTTTAAATATATCTACCTAAACTTTTCTGTATAGATACTTATTTATAATAATAGAATGTGTTAGTATTTTCATTGTCTTCCAAAAATAGCACCATATCTTATATTTTTTTCATATACAATATTGTGAACATCTTTTTGGATCAGTATATACAAGTTAAACTTCTTTTAAGTGACTGTGCTATTACATTGTAAAGAAATTATAATTTATTTATTCAGTTGCCTACTGATTTGTCTTATTTCCAGTTTTTTTTTCTTTTCTTTTTTGTGGAGCTATTATATTGCTACAATAAATATCCTTATTATAATTTATTAGATACTTATTTGAGTGTTTTTATAAGATACATTTCTAGAAGTAGAATTGCTGGGAATTAAAATTATTGATTGATACTGCCCTATTGTCTACAAAGACTGTATCAGTTTATTCTTCTAATCATTTATTAAAGTTCTTATTTCCCTATACTTTTACCAACCCTCGATGAATTTTTTTAATCTACCTTCTAGGATGTGGCTTCTCGAATGACATCAAGAGAAAAAGACAAATTAGATCACGGTCCAGAGGAGACTGTGATATTACAATGTGTGCAGACTGAAAAGGACCTTTCACCTTCGAGTTCTTGTGAATCTAAAGCAGAGTCTCAGTCTACACAAGCCCAGGAAAAGGAATTACTTGTCTCTATGGGGTAAAAAGTGATAGTTTTTAAAAAATCTAAAATAGAATCAGGTGTTCATTTTTTTTAAGATGTGTTAATGTAGTTTAAAAGTGAGTATCAAGAAAAGTTGGTTTATTTTCTATTCATGTGACAGACTGCCTAAGATAGAAAATCAGTTTTAGTTCAACACGTTTTAACACTTGCCTGCCTATATTCACTGTTAGCTGCTTAGAATCTTATACAAAGCAATGCATTTAAAAAATATATGTGTATAAGGTATGTATTCATTACCTCTTTAAAAATTATAGTCAATGCAGGAGACGTGGGTTTGATCCCTGGGTTGGGAATATCCCCTGGAGAAGGAAATGACAGCCCACTCTAGTATTCTTGCCTGGAAAATCCCATGGACAGAGGAGTCTGGCAGGCTACACGCGCGTCAGGAAAGAGACATGACTTGGCAACTAAACAAAACCAAAGATACATATAAAATTTACTATCTAACCATTTTTTAAGTGTATTGTTCAGTGGCATTAAGTACATCATCAGTGTATTGTGCACCATCACCACCATTTATCTCCAGAGCATTTTTCTTCCCAAACTGCAACTCTGTATCCAGTAAAGAGGAACTTCGCGTTGCCCCTTTCTCCAGTCCCTTGCAGCCACCACTGTACTTTCTATTACTATGAATTTGGATATTGTAGGTAACCTCACTACTTTTTGCGAATTGAAATAACTTTTTTAAAATAAAATGAGATATAATCAGAAAGTAATTTAATTTTCATTTACTGTGCAAAATGTTTTTATAGTTTTATTAGATTCAGATTTTATATTTTTACAGTAGTTTTCATCTTTTACAATCAAGCTTTCTTTCTTTTCTCCTGTCTGCTTTTCTAGGACTCATAATATAAACACTTTTGAACAAGGAATAAAGGACAGGGTTATCCAAACTGCTCCACTAGTAAGGGGTCGACTTCAGAGACCCAGACCAAACTTAAGAAAGGCTGGCCCGAGGCAAGTAATAGAAAAAAGTGAAACCAGAGAAACAACTAAGGAAGAAAAGACACTACAAAAAGATGAAACTGGAAAGGAATTCCTGACTGTGGTGAGTTATTGCTGTATAATTAAATCAAACCCTTTAATGCATATTAGAATATCAAATGGTAGCTCAGACTTGGCTTAGAATATAAGCACCTGATATTTACTCTAGTTAATTAACACATAACATATTTATTTTGTTTCAGATTTACTGTTGTGGATTTTTTTTTTATGAAAATAGATTCCCCTCCCCTCACTAATGAATCTCTTCATTACAAAAATGTTCAATCAGTACAAAATAATACAATAATTACCCCAAAGTCTCACCACTCTGAGGCAACCACTGAAAACCTTTTGATATATCTTACCAGATATATCTCCATGCATGCATGTGTGCATACTTACATATATTTATATAATAAAATCATTGTATGCATATTATTTTGTGACTTACTGTTTTTCTCTTGTTTTACTAAGTGGTTTTCCATGTCATGAGATAGGAAGGTACATAATTTTTAACTGCTGGGTAACATTCTGCTATTTTGAATGACAATTTAATCAATCTCTTATTAATGGAGCTTTTGATATTAGAAAGAAATCTTAAGCAGTTTAATGTCCCATTTCAACAGATCTTGTTTTTCTGTTCTTTTTTTCTCTGCTAAGAGAAAATCTACATTTAAAATAAAGTGATTGTAATCCTTATTTGCCCTCCCCCCCCAATTAAAAACAAACGTATTGAACTCTTTGGGAAGGAGATTCGCAACAGTTGGTTATTGTAGTTTTTAAAACATTACATGAATGTATTACTGCAGTGATTGAAAATTTCTCTGTGAATTGGCAATTTTGTTTTGGAAATTTCTCTGTGAATTGGCAGTTTTGTTTTGGGCAGCAAAACATGAGCATTGCATACACAAGTTTGAGATTTCATTTTAAAAACCTAAATACCTTTCTTAATGATGGAAATATTTTAGGAAGTATGTTCTATTGCTAAAAATAAAAAACAAAAAACAACTAATATAGTTTTGTCATTTCAGGCAAATTCTCAAATTGCAACCGAAATTGAAGTTGTATCCTCTGAAGTATCAGAAGGCAGAATGTCTGAAAACCAGAGTCAGGTTCTTTTAGAAAACCTTCATATTAACAAAGTAGATGTTTTAGGTGAAAAGATGAGGTGAGTTTGCTTTTAATCAGAAAATCGTAAAACCTTTCAAAGATAAAGGTTGGCTATTTGAATAATTGGTTTTATGTAATTTCACATTTCATAAGTTTTTTGAAAGAAAAATAATTATGAAATTAGAATATTTTAAATCTGCTTCTTGGGACTTCCTTGGTGGTCCAGTGGTTAAGAATCCCCCTGCCAAGGCAGGGACACAGGTTCCATCCCTGATTCTGGATCCACATGCTGCAGGGCAACTAAGCCTGTGCACCACAAGTACCAAGCGTGCGCCCTGGAGCCCACATGCCCTGGAGCCCATGCTCCCCAATAGGAGAAGCCTGCAGTGAGAAGCCTGTGCAGTGCAACTGGAGAGTATCCCCTGCTCACTGCAACTGGAGAAAGCCCATGCGCAGCAGTGAAGACCCAGCACAGCCAAAAATAAATAAATGAAATTTTTAAAAATCTGCTTCTTCAAATACTGTAAGAATTGCATGACTGGTGTTCTCTTAGTTTATAACTTAGCTGAGAAGTTTGGCAAGCATCCTCATTTTTAAAGTAAACTTTTATGGGAGAGGTTCTTAAGTTCCTTTCTTCTTTAGAAATTTACAACCTACTGATAAAATTCATAAATAGGAAGTGCTGTAAAATACTTCCCATGTGCTGTCCTTAGAGTTGTGTCCCATGCCAAACGATAAGAATGTTATCTTTTAAATGGAACGCTAGATGTTGAAGATATTTTAGGACTAATCCTTTTATTTATTACTTGCAGTCTACTTTATTATTGATACACGAGCCCGTGGTGGCTCAGACGGTAAAGAATCTGCCTGCAGTATGGGAGACCCGGGTTCGATCCCTGCGTCGGGAAGATCCCCTGGAGAAGGAAATGGCAACCCACTCCAGTGTTCTTGCCTGGAGAATCCCATGGACGAAGGAACCTGGCAGGCTACAGTCCATGGGGTTGCAAAGTTGAACACAACTGAGCTACTTCACTTTCAGTTTCTTTTATTATTGATGATGTTAAATTAGGATTTGTTAGTTTCTTCTTTTTTAATGTATAAGGAAAATTTTAAAATCTTCTCTTTCTTGATATGGTTCATGGTCCATCTAATTTTAGTTTATTACACTATTTTTATAACTAGGTCATGTTTCAGTGAATATTTATTAGTTTTCCTCCGGAATGTCTTCAGCACTTGCAGATTGATTTTTGAGCATTCTAGCTTTAATTATATGGAATTAAGTTGATTTTTGGGAAATGAAAAAGAAATGGTACTGTATCATTTTTTCACTCTCTGTGAAGCTGTAAGAGTAGGATTTGGGCATGATATCATCTGTTTGAACAAGTTATGCTATTGATTTAGCTTAACTTTATAAACAGTCTACTTTCATTAAGGCAGACTTCTTACATGAAGCATTTACTGTTTTACTATGAATTTCTGTCATTTCTTTTGTTTCCCTTTATGTGTGTGTATGTGTGTCTTAAGATGCCTTTTTATATTTGTTTTTCTTTTAAGACTAAGTCTTTAACTTTAATTTTAATTAGCACGTGATAAGAGAATGCTTCATTGCAAGGGTCCCCTTGGAGAAAAGCCCTAAATGAAGTGCAGGAGCAAGTCAAGGGATTTGTGGGGAAAGAGGGAACAGCAGTTGAGAAGTACTTCAGGCAGAACCATGTCTGACATGTTTGAGGGCCAGCATAAAGGGCCAGTATGAAACAGGGGAAGAGAGGAGCAGTTATATGGAAGGTAAAGACTCAGTGGGAGAAGCACAGGTTATGTGGGACTACTGTCAGGATTTTGATTTTTGCTCTAAATGAGCCTTTAAAGACTAGTGACCTTTGAGTTCAGCCTTTCCTAATACCTCATTTATTTTATTTTATTTTTTTTCATTTATTTTTATTAGTTGGAGGCTAATTACTTTACATCATTGCAGTGGGTTTTGTCATACATTGAAATGAATTAGCCATGGATTTACATGTATTCCCGGTCCCGGTCCCCCCTCCCACCTCCCTCTCCACCCGATCCCTCTGGGTCTTCCCAGTGCACCAGGCCCGAGCACTTGTCTCATGCACCCAACCTGGGCTGGTGATCTGTTTCACCCTAGATAATATACGTATTTCGATGATGTTCTCTTGAAACATCCCACCCTCGCCTTCTCCCAGGGTCCACAAGTCTGTTCTATACATCGGAGTCTCTTTTTCTGTTTTGCATATAGGGTTATCGTTACCATCTTTCTAAATTCCATATATATGTGTTAGTATACTGTAATGGTCTTTATCTTTCTGGCTTACTTCGCTCTGTATAATGGGCTCCAGTTTCATCCATCTCATTAGAACTGATTCAAATGAATTCTTTTTAATGGCTGAGTAATATTCCATGGTGTATATGTACCACAGCTTCCTCATCCATTCGTCTGCTGATGGGCATCTAGGTTGCTTCCATGTCCTGGCTATTATAAACAGTGCTGCGATGAACATTGGGGTGCACGTGTCTCTTTCAGATCTGGTTTCCTCGGTGTGTATGCCCAGAAGTGGGATTGCTGGGTCATATGGCAGTTCTATTTCCAGCTTTTTAAGAAATCTCCACACTGTTTTCCATAGTGGCTGTACTAATTTGCATTCCCACCAACAGTGTAAGAGGGTTCCCTTTTCTCCACACCCTCTCCAGCATTTATTGCTTGTAGACTTTTGGATAGCAGCCATCCTGACTGGTGTGTAATGGTACCTCATTGTGGTTTTGATTTGCATTTCTCTGATAATGAGTGATGTTGAGCATCTTTTCATGTGTTTGTTAGCCATCTGTATGTCTTCCTTGGAGAAATGTCTGTTCAGTTCTTTGGCCCATTTTTTGATTGGGTCATTTATTTTTCTGGAGTTGAGCTGGAGGAGTTGCTTGTATATTTTTGAGATTAATCCTTTGTCTGTTGCTTCGTTTGCTATTATTTTCTCCCAATCTGAGGGCTGTCTTTTCACCTTGCTTATAGTTTCCTTTGTTGTGCAAAAGCTTTTAAGTTTCATTAGGTCCCATTTGTTTATTTTTGCTTTTATTTCTAAAATTCTGGGATGTGGGTCATAGAGGATCCTGCTGTGATTTATGTCGGAGAGTGTTTTGCCTATGTTCTCCTCTAGGAGTTTTATAGTTTCTGGTCTTACATTTAGATCTTTAATCCATTTTGAGTTTATTTTTGTGTATGGTGTTAGAAAGTGTTCTAGTTTCATTCTTTTACAGGTGGTTGACCAGTTTTCCCAGCACCACTTGTTAAAGAGGTTGTCTTTGTTCCATTGTATATCCTTGCCTCCTTTGTCAAAGATAAGGTGACCATAGGTTCGTGGATTTATCTCTGGGCTTTCTATTCTGTTCCATTGATCTATATTTCTGTCTTTGTGCCAGTACCATACTGTCTTGATGACTGTGGCTTTGTAGTATAGTCTGAAGTCAGGCAGATTGATTCCTCCAGTTCCATTCTTTCTCAGGATTACTTTGGCTATTCGAGGTTTTTTGTATTTCCATACAAATTGTGAAATTATTCGTTCTAGTTCTGTGAAAAATACCGTTGGTAGTTTGATAGGGATTGCATTGAATCTGTAGATTGCTTTGGGTAGTATAGCCATTTTGACAATATTGATTCTTCCAATCCATGAACACGGTATATTTCTCCATCTGTTTGTGTCCTCTTTGATTTCTTTCATCAGTGTTTTATAGTTTTCTATGTATAGGTCTTTTGTTTCTTTAGGTAGATATACTCCTAAGTATTTTATTCTTTTTGTTGCAATGGTGAATGGTATTGTTTCCTTAATTTCTCTTTCTGTTTTCTCATTGTTAGTGTATAGGAATGCAAGAGATTTCTGTGTGTTAATTTTATATCCTGCAACTTTACTGTATTCGTTGATTAGCTCTAGTAATTTTCTAATACCTCATTTATGACTGACTGTAATTTATAATGGGGCTTCCCTGGATTTAAATGGCTTGCTCAAGGTAACATTGGCAAGTTAGTTTTTAAACTTAACATTTTTAGAATTTACGACTTTTAGACTAGCGGATTCCTTTTTACACTCAGCCTTCCTATTTTTTAATAAGCAAGATCAAACTTTAAAGTTTCTATATGGAAACCCCTTACCCACCTGCCCCTTTTAGCTTATTTATTTAGTTTTGGCTGCCCTGGGTCTCTGTTGTTGCCGAGAAGGCTTTCTCTGGTTGTGACGAGTGGGGGTCACTCTTCATTGCGGTGCTTGGGCTTCTCATTGCGGTGACTTCTCTTGCTGCAGAGCAGAGGCTTTAGGCTCGCAGGCCTCAATAGCTGTGGTGCATGGGCTTAGTTGCTCTTCAGCATGTGGAATCTTCCCAGACCAGGGATTGAACCCAAGTCCCATGCATTGGCAAGTGAGTTCCTATCCCCTGTACCGCCAGGGAAGTTCCCCACCCTCCTTTCCAGCTTTTAGCTTTACCATCATTGATACTTTCTTCAGAGTATATATTCAGTCTAGTTTTAAAGTTAGCATATTCTTATGTCAAGCAGTTTCTTACCTCTTTTAACCCTAGTAGCAGATTGAGCTTATATATATATTTAATAATTCTTAAGTACCTTTGTAGAATCACATTTGATTGTAAGTTACTTATGCTTTAATATAACACGTTTTCCCAAATACATTAGCCTACACTTGAATGTGTTAGCTAGCATCATAACCTTGTTACATCTTATGAACTTCCTTGGTGTTTCACTGCTAGATGAACTTAGCAGGATTGGAACATTTAGAAATGTAACTACTTTGTCATCTAGGTAATTTATTAGAAATATTACTTAGGATTAGTCTTTAATGCAGCTCTTAGTTTTAAACTTCTTAATTCGCATTGTTGCCAGTTATTAAATATTTCCCAGGAAACTTTAGGATAGCTGTTTGTGTTGCCTTGGGAGCCATGGCTACTGTATTGAATGTTAAAACTTTGTCTTTCTCTGACTTGGCAGATACATATGGGTTTATTTTGATCTTTATGACATTGGCTGTCAGGAAACCCTTTTCTCTGAGCTGACAGGCATGTGGTGGCAGAACAGACTCTAGCTTTCAAATCTGCTTTTGAACTAGAAGAATCAGGGTTGTTGGGACCAGTGTATATTTGTGCATGCTTCAGAGCCCAGTTGAGGGATTTATTTAAAGTGTCATTATGAAGTCCATCTTCAACTACTGGCATTTTTGTTTTGTATCTAGTTATTTCTCTGAAAATTACTTAAAGTAGCATGAAACCACACTCCAGAATCAATGAATGAAAGTTAAGAAAGATTGAATATCAGTATATTAATGTGAGACTATTCTTCAAGCTAAGTGGAAATTATAAAAGCTTTTAATGTTCTTTTATATCAGCACATGAGATTTTGTTTTATATGTTTAGTTTTATAGCCTATTTATAGTCCTTTGAACATAGAATTGGTTTGTACCCAGAATTGTTTAACTGCAGTTGCATCAACAGGAATTCTGAATGTGGTTCTTCAGCATGATTTGTATTTCATTCTAGACATGGACATGAAACATATATTTCTAGTCCACCACAAATGGTAAGAAGACAGTTGCAAAGGGCTAAGCCAAATTTGGGAAGAGCACAAAGTAAGAAAGAAGCATCAGACGTAGAAGAAGATCAGAGGAAGGCAAGGAAGCCAGAAGATAGTTTGTCACAGCGTGAAGATTCTGACAGCCAGCTTCTTCAAAAAGTAAGTTTGAAAAAAATTTTTTTTATTAGTGGGCTCTGTTTATCAATATCATGAAAGAGAACATTTAAAAAATAATTTTGCTTTTTGTATTGTAACTATTTTCATGAAAGCTGATAGACTCTCCTAATATTTTGATAGTTTAGAAACCAGTCAGTTGTGTATATGTGTGCAAGCATAGCGCTTTAAGCCAAACTACCAAACCAAATTACCATACAGATTGTTTCCATGATAATATCAGCTGTTTATTCTTAAATTTAAGGGAAAACCTGAGTTTCTGACATCTCCAGAGGTTTCAGCAAGAAAAGATTCTGTAGGTTCCAAGGAGACTGGATTGGCAAAAGAAGATGCTCCATCAGAAGTTGAATCATCTGGAAGTGTTGGAGAGAAGACTGGAGGGGATAATTCTGTGTGTGCAGTTGTTGAAAAGCAGTGTATCAGTAAACCAAGGTAAAGTTTTGTTTAACAAGTGTTTTCAGAATAGTAAATACAAGTAATATTCCTTATGGATGCCCTACTCTAATTTATTGATGAGTAGAAAGATGATTTGTTAACAGAAGTATGGGTTGTTTTTTATTGACAGGTCTGTTTCTTTCCCACTTTTGATTTTTATTTACTCAAATTTACTTTTTAAAAATAATCTCTGAAAGATTTTTCTTTCCTACATTTAAAATTTCTGGGTATTGAGTATATTAGGCATGAGCAGAAACCTGACTAAAGAGTAGTGTGTATTGCCTAAATAACTAGGATGCTAATTTGAATGGAGTCACAAACACAAGTGAAGGGTACCCTTTTCCCACAGTTTTCAAGGAAAGTGGAAGGGAGCCTGAGTTCTAAAAAAATATTGCTATGATAGATTTCCTTCTTCTTTCTGTTTACCTAGTAAGATAAACCATATGACTTTTTGATCTCTTATTTTGAATTTATTGGCCCAATGTTCTTTATCCTTTTTTCTTCTAATGATTTCCAGTCTTGTATTTCATCATCACTTAAACAACAAGGGGAAAAATGGCTCACAATTAAAAACTTATTGTGAAAAATTTGTAGCTAGATAACTAAGATTTAACTCTTGAGTGAGAAACTAGTAACTGTAAATTCCTCTCATTCTCTTCACAGCATGTGTTGACAGAATGGGTGGTGAGCATTTTATATTAATGGCTTGAATTGAGATTTCACTTTAAAAGTTGAGATTTCATTATAATCATCCTTGTGCACATAATGACTATGTTGCTATTTTGATTAAACATCCAGCTCCCCACAATTGTTAAAAGAACCAGATAACTCTAGAATTGTTCTGGATCGAAGAAGAGCTCTCTCTTCTGCCTCTGAGCGTGAGATAGATCATAGTAGAAGGCGAGTACGTCGGAAGGTTAAACCGAGCATCCCCAAAGGGCGTGGCTCAAAACGAAGCCGGAGTAAGACCTCGAAGAAGGAGCCCAGAGCTTCCAGGTCTGTGCTGGTGACTCTCCGAGCTTCCCAGGAAGAAGACGAAGATGACGGGGAAGACTTTGAGTCTGACTATGAAGAAGAAAGCTATCATCTTGCTCCCGAAGAAGTAAACAAAGCTCCAGTGTTTGTACCTATTGGTCTCAGATCTCCCGAACCTGTTCCTGTTCAGATTGAGGAAACTATGGAAGAGGTAGTTTGAGTTTGGAATCCTTGGAACTTTATCTTACTTGTTTTTTGCTTTTCGTGGATCATTATTTCTCTTAGTGATATTAGAATCAGGATTACTAGTGTAATTTGTTTGGGGCCTAAATTAGTAGAAATAGACTTGTGTGACCTCCTGTGTTTGGTCAGCCCCTGCAGCTCAGGCCCAGCTCAGGGTAGTGAGTATAACAATACTAAGCCAAATTAATTTCACTTGCAGGCAGGGACCAGCTTGTCTTATTGAGCTATGTATTCTTGTACCTATAGCCCTCTTGTTTTTAGGAAGCATTTCATAAATGTTGACAGACTGATGAGAGAAATTGTGGGAAAGTAGGGACAAGTTGGGGATAATGGAAAGTAAAATACTAGGTACTAAGAAGACTGGCTCTGGAGGTTTTGCTTTCCGTTCTTAAGAATCACAGACTCTTAAAAAACCTTAAATGTTTCATTTTTGCCAAGATGATGTCAATCAATAAGAATTACTGTTTTTTAGGTTTTTAAATTGTATATGAATGTGAATTATCTCTTCAGTTTAATATTTTATTTTATGATTCGTTTTGTTTTCCTGTGATGGCATGCCAAAATGAAATAATGAAACTTTTCTTGTTGGCAGCTTGTAATCCCCACGAATGTCACAGATGTAGGATGCATAACTGTTGTTGAACATCAGCTTTCATCAAACATAGATGTGATTCCTCAAGAAATGAGACAAGAAGAAAATTTGACTGCATTATCAGTTGTAAGCATCCGTTTTATTATGTTTTACCTGTAATTCTTTGTTTACTTTCAAAAGACGCAAAGTTTATTTTGAAAGCTGTAGGTTTACAGTTAGTTCTTAACTAGTATGATCGGCATTATTATTTCTAGGAGCTGAAAGTGTAAATGGTAGAAACTAGTGAATAATTTATAGATTTTATATTTGACTTGAAAAGTATAGATTTTTGTGTATGGGATTAGCTCTTAATATCTTCTTAGACTTATGTTAAAATTCTGATGCATTAAATATAAACTGAATTTCAATTATCTAAAACATACTTAGTTGCCTTTTGCTTGGCGCACTCTTGCTCCTTTATTTGCTTGGTATTTAACTTGTTTTGATAAATGAAGTCTTAAAACTTTTTTAAAAAACAGCTTTATTAAGATACAGTTGATGCACCATACAGTTCATCCATTTAAAGTATACATTTCATTGGTTTTTAGATATTGGCACAGTGAATTTTTTTTGTCACCTCAAAAAGAAGTCTTATGCTCATTGACAGTTGCTCCTCATTTCCTTCCAACTTTCTCCAGACCTAGGCGACCAGTGACCTATTTTTGTCTCTATAGATTTCTCATTCTGGACGTAAACACACAGTATGGTCTTTATTCATTCATCTGTTCATGGACATATAGATTGTTTCCATCTTTTGGCCATTATAAGTAATGCTGCTATGACCATTCGCATACAAATTTCTGTATGGACATATGTTTTCGTTTCTCTTGGGTACATTCATGGAAGTATAATTGCTGTGTCATATGGTAACTTTGTTTAATCATTTGAGGAACTAGCAGGCTGTTTTCCAAAGTTACTGCATCATTTTATATTCCTACCAGTGGTGTATGAGAATTCCAGTTTCTTCACATTCTGACTTTTTTATTTTTTGGATGTAACTATCCTCAGTTCAGTTCAGTTCAGTCACTCAGTCATGTCCGACTCTATTCGACTCCATGAATCGCAGCACGCCAGGCCTCCCTGTCCATCACCAACTCTCGGAGTTTACTCAGACTCATGTCTATCGAGTCGGTGATGCCATCTAGCCATCTCATCCTCTGTCGTCCCCTTCTCCTCCTGCCCCCAATCCCTCCCAGCATCAGGGTCTTTTCCAGTGAGTCAACTCTTCGCATCAGGTGGCCAAAGTATTGGAGTTTCAGCTTCAGCATCAGTCCTTCCAATGAACACCAGGACTGATCTCCTTTAGGATGGACTGGTTAGATCTCCTTCCAGTCAAAGGGACTCTCAAGACTCTTCTCCAACACCACAGTTCAAAAGCATCAATTCTTCAGCACTCAGCTTTCTTCACAGTCCAGCTCTCACATCCATAAATGACCACTGGAAAAACCATAGCCTTGACCAGATGGACCTTTGTAGGCAAAGTAGTGTCTCTGCTTTTTAATAGGCTATCTAGGTTGGTCGTAAGTTTCCTTCCAAAGAGTAAGCGTCTTTTAATTTCACGACTGCAGTCACCATCTGCAGTTATTTTGGAGCTCAAAAAAATAAAGTCTGACACTGCTTCCACTGTTTCCCCATCTATTTCCTATGAAGTGATGGGACTAGATGCCATGATCTTAGTTTTCTGAATGTTGAGCTTTAAGCCAACTTTTTCACTCTCCTCTTTCACTTTCATCAAGAGTAGGTGTGAAATGATACCTCATTATGGTTTTAATTTGTATTCTCTAATGATTAATGATGTTGAGCATCTTTTCATGTGCTTTTATTGGCTATTTTTATATCTTCTTTGGAGAAATGCCTGTTTGGAGTCTTTGCCTATTTAAATTTTTTTTGGTCCATTTGTCTTTTTTTCTTGAGTTGTAAGAATTTTTTTTATATTCTTGATACAAGTTCCTAATTGTATATATGATTCTCAGATGTTTTATCTCATTTTGTGGGTTGTTTTTAATTTTCTTGACAGTTTTTTATTTTTTATTATTTTTTTCTTGACAATTTTTTAGAGTACTTGGAGTTCCATTTATTTGTTTTTGTCGTTGTTGCTCATGCTTTTACTGTCATATCTAAGAATTCTTTCCCAAAGCTAAGGTCTTAAAGATTTACTCCTGATTTACATTTAAGTCTTTAATCCATTTTGAGTTTTTTTTTTTTTTTTTTAGCCATGCCATGCGATTTGTGGGATCTTAATTCCCTGACCAGAGCTTGAACGCGGGTGCCCAGCAGGGGAAGCACCAAGTACTAACTGCTGGATTGCCAGGGAGTTTTCCTCATTTTGAGTTAATTTTTATATGGTGTGAGATTAGAGTCCCAGTTCATTCTTTTGCCTATGACTGTCTAATGGTTGCATCATTTCTTTGAAAAAACTGTTCTTTCCCCATTGAAGTTTTTTATTTTTGTCGAAAATTAGTTTGCTGCAGATAACGTGGACTCTCGGTTCTGTTCCATGGGCTTATTTGTTTGCCTTAATACTGGAGAGGCTCTGTTGTTTTTTGCTGCTCTGTAATAAGTTTGGGAATTTAAAATAGGATGACTTACACTTTTTTTTTCTGTTTTTAGGATTGTTTTGGCTGTTGTGGGTCTGCTGCAATTCCATATGAATTTTATTTTTTTTTTTTATATGAATTTTAAAATCAACTTATCAGTTTTTATAAACATGTCAGTTGAGATTCTGATTGGGATTGCATTGAATTGTAGATAAATTGGAGGAGCAGGTATTGCCCTCATAACAATGTTGAGTCTTTCAGTCAATGGACATGGAATATAGTCCCATTTACTTACCTCTTTGATTTCTTTCGATGGTGTTTTGTAGTTTTCATAGTATGAGCTTTGCACTTCCTTCATTTGCAAGTATATTTTTATTTTTCATGCTATCGTGAATGGAATTATTTTCTTTAATTTCAAATTTGGCTTGTTTATTGCAAATTTATAGGATTGCATTTGATTTTTGTATATTGATCTTATATCTTGCAACTTTGCTGGACTCATTTATTCTAACAGTTTTTTAGTGGAGCCCTTAGGATTTTCTACATACAAGACTATGGCATATACGAATAGAAGTAGTTTTACTTCTGCCTTTCTGTATTACTTTTGTAGGGCTACTGTAACAAAGTACCATGATCTGAGTGGCTTAAAACATTAGACATTTATTCTGTCGTAGTTCTAGAGGCTAGAATTCCCAAATCAAGGTGCCCCTGCTGATGGTCCTTCTGGTAGTTCCTGACAGTCCTTGTCATTCCTTGGCTTGTGGCAACACAATCCAGCCCTGCCTCCTTTGCCCATGATGTTCTTCTCCCTGTATGTGTGTCTGCTTTTCTTATAAGGACAGCAGTCTTATTGGATTAGGGTTAGCCCTAATCCAGTATAACGTCATCTTCACTTTATTATATGTAGGAAGACCCTGTTTCAAAAAGAGGTCACATTCACAGTACTGGGGGTTAAGACTTCAGCGTGTCTTTCTGGGGGATATAATTCAATTTATCACACATTCCAGTCTGGATGTCTTATTTCTTTTCTTGCTTTAATTACCATGTCTAGAATTCCAGTACAGTGTTGAATATAGGAAGGGAAAAGCATCCAGTCTTTCACCATTAAGTTTGATGTTAGCTGTGGATTTTTCATAGGTGCCCTTTTCCAAATTGAAAAGTTCCATTCTGTTCCTACTTTGTGTTGAGTGTTTTATCATGAAAGACTGTTGGAATTTGTCATATGCTTTTACTGCACCTCTTGAGATGATCATGTAATTGTTGTCTTTTTTTGTATTGATATGATGTAACGCATTGATTTGAATTTTGGATGTTAAACCAAAAAACTGCATCCCCAGGATAAATTCTTCTTCGTCATGGCATAGAATTTTTATATGTTGTTGGGTTCAATTTGCTAGTATTTTATGGAGGGTTTTTTTTTGTCTGGATTCATAACAAATACTAATCTATTATCTCTGATAATCTGATACCACATTTTTGTGATCTCAGGAACTGAAAGCCCTCCAGCTGTGGCCTGCAGGGAAAAGGGGCCCAGTTTTCTTGGCTGCAGCAGCCTGAGGTAGAGTTTCTGCCTCACTCAGCTGAAAGGAGGGGGAGAACAGTCTTAGTTGAAATACCACGGATTTTTACCTTTGTTACTGAAGTTTCAACAATTTTTCAAACATCTGTGCATCTTATGCCCTTAAGGTCCAGAGGCTTTAACTGGTGGCTCTTTAATAAACTTCGCCAGTTTCACTGGGGAGAGGGCCAGCAGAGCGCCTCATGCTATCATGCTGCACATAGATCCTGTAACTACTTCTCTTTAAAAAAAAATCAGAATTTTAAATACATTATTTATTTATTTAAATAATTACTTAATTTTTGAGGCTGTACTTAATTTTTGAGGCTGTGCTATGTCTTCACTGCTGCACTGGTCTTTCTCTAGTCCGCGGAGAGCAGGGGCTCTTTCGTTGTGGTGTGCGGATTTCTTATTTTGGTGGCTTCTCTTGTGGCAGAGTAGGGGCTGTAGGGCACACGGGCCTCAGTGGTTGCAGAATGTGGGCTCAATAGTTGGGACTCCCAGGCTCTGGAGCACAGGCTCAATAGTTGTGGGGCATGGGCTTAGTTGTTCACGGCCTGTGGGATCTTCCTTGATCAGGGATTGGAATCCAAGTCTCCTGCATTGGCAGATTGATTCATTACCACTGAGTCATCAGGAAAACCCCCATACATTCTTAATTTGCTAAAATTTATTTAAGTTTGAAGCCAACTAGTAGTATAAAGAATTCATGATATTCTTCAGACTTTGGTGTCCATTGGGTCAAAACTAGTAGCAGATATGACTAAAGTTGAAGGATTATGCAAGTGAATAAGAAAGGCAGGTGCTTGTTACATACGACCATAGTTAAAATTTGCATATAAGGAAAAGGTAAAAGAAGGAGCACGAGTTGAAAATATTTGACTGTTAAACTGCATTTCTGTTGTTTATGAAATGTTATAAATAATATAAATTTCTACTCCATTGTAACCAAAGGCATTGAAAGACCTGTAAAATGTAGTGCTTTTTGATATATAGAACATGTATTTGGGAAATTACAGAAGATATTATTAATACTTTTCTTTTGCTGTTTTAGGAAATGACTGTAGGTGAACATTCCCAAGCTGAAACAGGTAACTGTTAATAAGGAAACTGCTAAAAATTCTTGGTTAACCCCAACAAGCACAGTGATTTAGCAGTGGTGATAGTAAATGAGTCAGCTTGCTGAAAAGTTGAAGGAGAAGATTTAGCAGGTGAATGCATTATCTCTAGGAGGAACTTGGATTCTTGGAATGCTGCTTTAGAGAGTGATTAACTGTTGAATAAAGAAGTATGTATTTTCTCTGTTAATGCACAGATGTGAATATTTCCTTTGAAGGTATTGAGTTATTTAATGGGAAGGAGGCACTTTCAGTGGGTTAAAGTCAACAGTTGACACTTTCTTTGTTTGTAGTATATAAACTGAATGAAACACTACCTTTGTAAGGGGTTAGTGGTATGGAAACTTGTTAATAGAGGATAAACACCTACATTGAAATTCTTTTCTAAGCAAACAAACTTAATTTTCCAGATTCATTCTTCTATTACTGTTGGTTTGGTTTTTCAGAAAATACCAACGATGGGAGCACTGAAGCTGCCATAGCCCTACTGACTATGGGAGATCTGGTGTTGCAGTCAGAGATTAGCCCAGAACAGAGTGATGGTAAGAATAAAAGAGGAGTCCTAACAAAAGAAGAAACCTTTAAAATACGATGTCCAAGAGATTATATTCATATTTGAATATTGAGTGACTATCTGCCTTTTTATATTTGAAGTTAGTGTCACTTTGTTGTTTTTCCAGAAAAGGTAATGTGTATGAATATGATCCCTGGGTTGGGAAGCTCCCTTGGAGGAGGGCATAGCAGCCCATTCCAGTATTCTTGCCTGGAGAATCCCCATGGACAGAGGAGCCTGGCAGGCTACAGTCCATGGAGCCGCAGAGAGTCAGACACGACTGAGCGACTAAGCACACACAAGCGCACGCACACGTGTATTGATCCATCCTGCTTACTTGGCCCTCCAATGTAGTGGCCTCTATGTCCACATAGTACGCTGGGTTTACTAAGGATAATGTGTGTGCATGGAGTAGTTACTCTACTGAATCCTCTCCCTTTATCATCATAAGTATCATTTGTCAGCTAAGTTCATTGGTCACTGATCACTTTATACATGTTTCTTTGGCAAAGGAGCTGCTGCTTTAGATAGACTTCTCAATTACATGGCAGTCAAATACAGTGTGAAGGGATAGTAGCAGTCATTGAGATTATTTAGACTATTATGTTAGTCTAAATACGTGTCAACCAAGACTTTTAGTATTTTATTTTAGTCTATGGTCTTTACTATCAAAGGACCTTCTACTTTGTGTGAGTGTACGTGTGTGCGCGCGCATGTGCTCAGTCATGTCCAACTCTTTGCGACCCTGTGGACTATAGCCCTCCAGGCTCCTATGTCCATGAAATTTTCCAGGGAAGAATACTGGAGTGGGTAGCCATTTCCTACTTCGCAGGGATCTAACTGTATCTCTTGCATTGACAGGTAGATTCTTTTCCTCTGTGCCCCCTGGGAAGCCCACTCTACTTTTAAGTATATTAAATGGATAATTATGTTAATAATGCTGCTGTTAATTATTTTAACTGCTGATGAGCGACATGCCATTGAAGTGTCAGCCTTCTAGGCCCATAACTCTATAGTCATCAGGGAAGTCTCTTGATTTGTGTTCTCTGTAGGACACCTTTTTCAATGGCAAAGTATTGCATTGCAGTATGTCACAAATGTCTAGCACATAAAATACTGGTTTTAAAAAATCATAAATGAAGATAATCCTGTCTTGAAATTCATCTGAGGTTATATAGTTACTGAAAGCAACAAAAAGATTTATTTTTATTTATAATAACAGTTTCAGTCTATAAGAATTTTTAAGCTTAGAACATGTCAAATTGCTTGCATGAGATATGAGGTCATAAATTTAAACTTGGAGCCAGAAAAAGCATACTTTAAAAATAATACAGATATTTAGTTTCTCAAATGTGTTTTACCCATTTTATCATTCCTTTGGTCCTCTCCTTAATGAATTTAATAAATCTTTAACACAGTGTTCACTCAAAAAAAAGAAAATATTAGGGACTTCCCTGGTGGTCCAGTGAGTAAAACTCTGTGCTTCCACTGCAGGGGACATGGATTCAGCCCCTGGTTAGGGAGCTAAGATCCAACATGCTGGGCAGTATGGTGGTGACTGCATTCCCCCGCAAAAAAAAAAAAAAAATATATATATATATATATATATATATATATAAGAAAATAAAATAGAACTTGGCAGTTGCTGCATGTTGAAGGATTTATTTGGACATCTATTTGTATTGCATCAATTTTAATTTTCTGTGTTTTTTTTGCAATAGGAGTATGTATACTTCCTGATGCTCCTTCAATCGATCAAAGCCATGTTCCTTTTAGCCCAGATAATGTAAATCTCAAAATTGTTCATGAATGTCAGGAACCTTCTTCACCTGTCCATAGTACATCTCCATTAGTAGAAGAAAACAAGACTATATTGGATGTGGATAAACAGAATACTAAAGAAGAAATTGGTTTGACAGAAAAAGTAAAGGAAAGCACTACATCATCCAGGTTTATTTTGCTTTATTAAACTATTACTGTTTTTTGAGTTTTACAAAATAAATTACAGTGTTTAATTAATAAATATATGTAAACCAACCATCAGTTTGGCTAATAGCTTTGAGTAATAGTTTATTAAATGTAAAGTGGGCAGTGCTAATTTTTCACCCTTTAAAAGTAAGGATTAGCTGATTTTGATTTTAGTTTAATGGTTTACATATTAAAATGAACAACAATGCATGTTTTAAGCTTTAAAGAAACAGTCCTATGTGAATGTAGTCCCTGTTTTACAGACCTGATCCAGATTCTCTTCCTTTCTCAAAGCTTTTAGATATTTCTACCATGTAATAATTTTAAGAACACCCTAAATGATGTAGCTCCTGAGAAGGTGGCATTTAACTCTACCAGTGCTGGATAGAGGGAATCAATGTGAGAGAATTTTTCCACAGTTGGTCAATTTCTCTTCTCACCTATTTCTAGGACTACAACTTCTGAAGTGACCAATAATTTGAGAAGGAGAAGTAGATTTGCCAAGCCCAAGCCAAATCTTAAGATTTTAGGGACCAAGAGATTTGGTGCTCATCAGAAAGTTCCTAGTCTGTTTGTAACTAAAGGAGAAGAAGTGGAAATTCAAAGAGGTAAACTTTATTGTTCCCTTAAAAGTTACAAAATTACTTTGTCACAAGAAGTTTTATTGTCATTTCAAATGGGATATTCAGTTGTTGCAATTATTTTAACTTAACTATTAAAAAGTTAAAACATACAGAAAGTAGCATGAGCTATAAAATACCCATAAATCCACCAACTAGTTTCAATAACTATTACCCTTTCACTATATTTACTTGATCAGACTTTCTCTTTATATATATATATATATTTCTCTGTGTCTGTTTATATATGAATACTCAAGTGTACATTTCTTAAGCATACATGCACGTGGCAGAAAACAAGACAGGACCCAAAAGGGAAAAATTTTAAAAACTCCTTCCTTTCTTGGTTCCCGGTCCCCTAATCCCATTTCCAGTATCAGTTTTTATTATAGACTTCTAGGAATGTTTTACCACATGAGCATCTAAATAAGGTGTATGTATGTATATATATATACACAGACACACATGCATGTACACACATGTATATTCCTTTCATAAAGAACAAAAATATATGCATATTATACCTACTGTCCAGCATTTCTTGAAAGTGGCAGTTTTGTTGAGATAACTCACATACCATAGAATTCACCATTTAAAGTGTACAATTTGGGAGTCCCCTGGTGGTCTAGTGGTTAGGACTGCATGCTTCCACTGCAGGGGCATGGGTTCAGTCCCTGGTTGGGGAATTAAAATCCCACAAGCTGTGCATAGCCCCACCCCCACCCCCAAATGTACAGTTCAATGGTTAGTATATTCACCTTTTAGATTTTATAAATAATATATTTCCGCCAACATTTGGTGAGAGTATCAATTTCTCTGTATCCACCCAGACCTTTGTTAGTATTTGTCTCTTTGAGTATAGCTGTCTTAGTGGGTGTGAAGTCCCATCTTGACAGTTTTGATTTGCATTTTATTTCCCGTTTGACTAATGATGTTAAGTATCTTTTTATGCACTTATTTGCATAACTTCTTTAGAGAAATGTCTCCCAAGATCCATGCTCATTTTAGAATTGAGTTGTTTTTCATTATTGCGTTCTTTATATGTTAGTGCATTCCATTTTTAAAGATTATTATATTAAAAAAAGTCTTTCCATATGATTGCATAGTGCTCTTATTCCATTTTTTCAATTTCATTTATTCAGTTTTTTCGATGGCCTCACTGTATTGTGACTTACATGTTGAACTGTAGTCCCACTTCCTTTTACATCTGCCCTTCCTGCCAAGGTCCCAACCCCTTAGGGAACTGGTGGGAGCAGGAAAAGCAGTGGTAGGCTGCATAGATTGTATTCAGTTCTCTCCCTGTGTAGAGGATCTGAATATCTAGCATGATTTTCCCCCTGTTTTGGAGTTCCTGGTTTCTAGTATTTTCTTTGAGCCAGCAGTGCCTGTGATTCAGTTAGTAAATTCATTCCTTTGGCTTGAGCAGTACCCAGAAGATCTCTTAGTGTGCAGGGCCCAGTTACCTCTTTATATAGATGTCATTGTCTTCCCATTTGTGACATTATTCTTTACAGATCAGCTCCCTCCCCAACACTTCCCTTAGGGTACAACCAGCCAGACCTCATGAGTACCTACCTCTAAACCTCTTTGTATGTGTGTTTCTGATTATACTGCTGTTACGATAAAGTAGAAATAATAGTTGCTGGTGAAGGACAGGGAAGCCTGGCGTGCTGCAGTCCATGGGGTCTCAAAGAGTTGGACACAACTGATTGACTGAACCAAACTAATAATTGTTGTGGCTGCCAGGAGTGAAATAGGTGTAGTGCAGATTCATTAATTATCTCATTTATGTTAAAAAGTGTAATTGGACCAGACCACCTTTCTGCCATGTGAAAAAGCTTGCTTTTTGGATTAAGAGAAGTTTGGAAGAGCCACTGTATAGTGATCTTTGAAAAAATATATTTCTGGTGTGGAGATTTTGACTTTAGTATTTTGTAAAGTCTGTGTTTTAAATGTGTTTTTTATTTAAGACTCTGAGAAAAATGCTTCTCAAGAAACAGAATTAGAAGATAAAAACCTTGGATTGGTTACAGCAACAGAGAGTGCAGAGCAGAGCAAAGTGGCACCTGTACATGGTATTGAAGAAACCAGTATTTCACAAGAAACACACCTAACTGAAAGGTAAAAGAGGAGAGATGTTCTGGGATTTGCTTCATATTCTGTGTCAACTATGACCATAAGCGGTAGCTGTAAAAATTTGTTCTATTGCATTTAGTATATCTTAAGTTGGAAAACCATTAAATGAGATGAATCTTGACATACCAGCTCTAAATATTATTCTGTGGCTGTCTGCTTGATTTCAGAGATATACTAACCTGTTTTTCAGAGGTGAAGAGCAAGAAGGGCGATCTGAAGAAGTTCCGATACCATCAGTTGCTCCAGCTGTTTCTTCTGAGTCAGGGCCCCACACACTTGGTTTGGGCATGGGTCTTGGTGAGAGCTCTGTTGAAGAACCTCTGGGAAAGGACTTTAATGGAGACCCTGTGCTTACACTAAATGTGCCAAAGGTAAAAGAATGTAAAATATAACAGAGAGTGACTAGCTAGTTGTAATTTACACACAATAAACTTCACCCTTTTTAGTGTATAATTTGACAAATTTTGATAAACATATATCGTTTTATAACTGATACATAAACAATTCCATCACTCTCAAAATTTTCCAGTGTCCTTTTTTAGTCACTCCTTTCTCTCTACCTCCAGCTTCTGACAGCGACTAATCTTTTCTTCTTTCCCTGTAATTTTGCTTTTATGAGAATGTATGTGGTAGAATTTTTATTGAGTGTGTTTTTAGTCTCTGGAACATAGAGATAAAATAACCAATGGCTAGCTTTGTGTACAAGCTTTAAAAAAGGAAGTGTTTTGTACAGAGAGAACTGTTGTTTCAAGTTCCCATAATTATTCTAATGTGCATCCAGCCCTGAGCAAATCCTTAATCTGGAAGAACAAGTACGAATTAGCCAGGTGAAGGGAGAGGAACATGTACGAAGAACAAGTGTGAAATAGCATGACATGCTCAGGGACTCTATAAATAGTTGTGAGTGGAATATAAATGAGAAAAGTGCTTAGAGATGAAGTTAGGCAGCCTGGGGACATATCATAAAAGGAGTTTTTATGACTTGCTAAGGAGTTTGGGTTATATCCAAAGTTACAGAATTTTCCCCTAATGCCCAATTTTTTTAATTTTTACTTTTTATTTTGAAATAGTTTCAAGTTTAGAGAAAAGTTGCAAGAATTTGACACAGAAATCTGTTAACATTTTGCCTCATTTGCATGCATTCCTAGCTGTACACATTACTCTCTGTGTGTGTTGCTCTCCATCTTGGTAGATACTTTAAAAAAAGCCAAACCATTTGAAAGTAAGCTAGAGTCCAAGCTAGTTTGCAGTCTGGATTTCTTTTATTGCTTCCTCATTATAGATTCAAGTTACGTGTCTTTTGGTGAGAGTTACTATGTAGGTGATGTTTTACTCTTTTGTGTTGCAGTCCATGGGGTTTCTAAGAGTCAGATACAACTGAGCAACTGAACTGAACTGATCATATCAGGGAACGCATAATGTCAGTTTATCCCATTACTGGTGATACTAACTGATCACTGGGATAGAATGGTACCCACTAGATTTCTCCGTTATAGTAGCACCTTTTCCGTTTAGTAATTTAGTGTGCATTGATGATTCTTGCCTTAATCAATTAACTGACATTGTTGGTTGCAAAATGAAAGTTTCAGGATCTTTAGCAGTGGAGAATTATAATTGGAATTGCATTTGAGAGAAAACAGTGTTTACAGTTTTGTGGAAAACTGATTGGATGGAGCCATGCTGGAGGCAAAGAGACCAGTTTGTTTCCATGTACATGTCACCTCCTGATGGTGTGGTGGCTGCTGAGATGGGGATAGAGAGAAGGTTGAGGGCTTTGTGACTCCCTTTTCTGTTACTTCAAAAATCGTTTCATATTCCACACATACTTAACAATTTATTCATAATTGCTTTGTGTATATATGTGTGTTTATTTAAATGAATCAACATTTTATTGGTACATCTGAAAGTTTCAAAACACCTGAAAAATTCTCTGCTTAGGTTAGCTAAGTTGTTGAGTTTTGAAACAATAACTGTTCACATTGTAAGGAATTCTTTTTAAAACTTAGATTTGGTTAACCTTACTCTTTTAATTTTTTATGGCAGTGTATACCAACTAGTATTCCAGAAGTCCAGCAAGAGAATGTAAACAATCTTCAAGATCTAACAGGTATGATAATCTGCTTCAGTGGTATCATAGAGCTTAATAATATGTTTTTTACTTACTTCCCATTTGACTATAGAAAAAAAGAAAAAGCAGTTTTGTTGGTCTATGATGGCCTTAAATTTTTTTAAAAAAGACACTTGAAATATTTTGTATATAAGCTTTGTTATTCAGAATTATAAATCTTATAAAAAAAGAATTATAAATCTTCTCAATAGAGAATCATCTTTATCTTTTACGAAATTACTTTTTATTTACTTATTTCTTGAGGGGTGTAATATAGTTTTTTTATTCTTTGGGATAAATTATCATGAAACTTTTTAGAAATGAAATAAATGAGTGATTTTCTGTCATTTCACAGTTCAGCTTTTCATTTCTAACTTTTAAACTTTGATAGTCAATCTAGTTAATGTACATCAGGATGGTGAGGATGAACAAGCTTTCATTTTAACTCTGGTGGAAATCCCAACCCATGCAGTAGAAGAATATGCTGATAGCACCATGCCGTTAATGCCAAATCCTTTATTGCCGGCGCCCATATTGGTCAAATCAGCGAATACAAAAGAAAGAGAAGACACGAGGTAATGAATCATCTGACCTGCTTCTGCTAGGAGGAAGGGGTGCTTTGTGAATTGAATAGTATTGATTGAACAAGCCATTGACCAACCTTATTTGTAATTGTCATGGAGATCTTATTTAGTAATTATATGATAAATTAGAGAAAAATTACTGATTTTATATCTGATAATGTTGCCATTTAAATGTATGATACTTTGTGTGAAACTTTGTTGGTATTTTAAATGTTTTGAAAGCTAAAAAAAAATAACAGTGTGGATCATAAAATATCATGTGTTAAAGATGTGGCTACATTGTATACATTTACATATATTTTAAATACTGAAATAAATATACATTCATAGAAATTTGCAAAATAGTACAAAGAAATGTGCACTTTAAAATATTTGTGATACTCATTTTCTTTGCTGTGAAATTCTTAAGTTGTATTTTAATAGTCATTGGTTAAGATGCCTAAGTGTCTATCAAGTAACATCTGAAATTGAAGCCTTTCATATTAGGAAGAAATATTTTAGACTACAATTTAACTTTACTGACAAAACATTTTATGCCTCAGATTTAATTCAGTATTATGGAATTTAAGTGGTGAGCTTTTTTAAGTATGAATGGAGCTGAAAACTAACATTTTTGTGGCCGTGGCCATGTATATATTAGTTACTTAGAAGTTTCTTTGGCATTTCTCTTGAGAGTAGCTCAGCCTTTAACGTCATTAAGTAAGTAATTTACTGTGTGTGTATTTTCTATGCAGTAGCAGTTTTCCAGTAACCTCAGTTGGTCGAGATGACATGTGTTTATCTAATTCTGAAAGAGATGATTCAGAAAAATCTGCTGCTAATTTGGATCTTGTATCTAGGAAGAGATATTGTAACCTTGATGAAAGTGACCATGTCCCTCCTGCCAAAAAAACTTCACTCACTTCCATAGATGATTGTCAAAAATTTACCTCTGAGGTAAGATGGCATCATTAAACAAGTAAGATGGCCATATTAATGGACATATTTCTGTTCTTCCTTTAGATCCTTTATATAAACATAGTTCTAATAGTTTCTACCATAAATAACCCAGATAAAACTGGTTTTGGACTTTTACTTTCAACTAGTTCTAGGTGAAAATTGACGGATGTTACTCAGGAAACGCATTCCCAGTCCATTGTCATTGGCTAAAGATAAGACTGAAAGCATCATACAGATCTGGATTTTGGCTGTACCAGTTAAGAGCTGTGGGATCTTAGGAACGATACTGAATGAGTTCCCTATTGTGTGAAATGGTAATAGTGATATCATTACGGGTGCGTGTCTGTGCGTGCGCACGCGCTCAGTCATGTCTGACTCTTTGCAACCCCTTGGGCTGTAGTCCGCCAGGCTCCTCTGTCCATGGGATTTTCTAGGCAAGAGTACTGTAGTGGGTTTCCATTTCCTTCTCAAGGGTATCTTCCCATCCCAGAGATCAAACCCACGACTCTTGCATTCCTGAATTGGCGGGCGGATTCTTTACTCCTGGCGCCACCTGGGAATATCATCACTGCCATTATTATAATGCGTGAGGCTTCCCATGGCCCTCAGGAGTAAAGCCAGAACCTCTAAGGCCCTGTTTGTTCATTTGGTTGTTTTCTGTGTCTCATCTCATCTTGTCCTGGTCTCTGCCTTACTAACTGTATTGGCCATTTTTCAGTTTCTTGAGTACACCATATTTCTTCATGTTCCAGGGCATTTCTTTTGCTGTCTCTTCTTTTTGAAATGTTTGCTTGCAAAATACACAGACTTCTTGAGCTCAATCATAAACCCCAGGGATGCCTGACAGTACTGCGCAGACTCAGTACTGGCCTCTGTGTTGTAGGTTTGTTTAGCACCCTCTCTGTTTTTGTTTCTGATACTCATCATAAGGAAAGATTAGAATCTATATTCTCAAAAGGATGGTTGAAGACCAGTAGCCCTTAGATTATAGCCGACAACAGAAGTGGTGTATTCTTCTATATCTAATAGTTTAAAAACTGGTATTCCAGAATAATTTTTAATTTCTCTTAGTATGTGTAAAGTTGAACATCTTTTCATATACTTAGGGCTTCCCTTGTGGCCCAGCTTGTAAAAAATTTGCCTGCAATGCAGACCTCAGATCAGTCCCTCTGTTCGGAAGATCCCCTGGAGAAGGGAAAGGCTACCCACTCCAGTATTCTGGCCTGGAGAATTCCATGGACTGTACAGTCTGTAGGGTCACAAGAGTCGGACACAACTGAGTGACTTTCACTTCACTTCATATGCTTAAGATCCAGTTTTATTTCCTTTCCTGTGACATGACTATATTCTTTACCCTTTTTTTCAATTTGGTTTGTTGATCCTTATCTTATAGATTTAGAGGAATCGTATATTTTGAATATTTGTCATACGAGTTGCAAATTTATTTTTCTCAGGTTGCTGTCCTTTTTTTTTTGGCTGCGCTGGGTCTTTGTTGCAGTGAGGGGGCTTTTTCTCATTGCAGCTTGCATAGGGCTTCTCTAGTTGCGGTGTGCAGGCGGAGCCGCCCTGCACATGAGCGTCCCTGTGGGATCTTAGTTCCCTGACCAGGGATCGAATCCTCAGCCCTTGCACTGGAAGGCAGATTCTTAACCACTGGACCACCAGGGAAGTTCCTTCAGGTTGTTGTCTTTTAATTCTACTTTTTGTGATTTTCTTCTGGAGACTTTTTTGCTTAACTTTTTAATATGACAGTCTCGAGACATTTAAAAAGGTAGTTGTTGTCCCTTTGCTAAGTCGTGTCCTGCTGTTTGCAACCCCATGGACTGCAGCACACCAGGCTTCCCCGTCCTTCACTATCTCCTGGAGTTTGCTGAAACTCATGTCCACTGAGTCAGTGATGCCATCCAACCGTCTCATCCTCTGTCATCCCCTTCTCCTTTTGCCTTCAATCTTTCCCAACATCAGGGTCTTTTCCAATGAGTCGGCTGTTGACGTCAGGTGGCCAGAGCATTGGAGCTCCAGCTTCAGCATCAGTCCTTCCAATGAATGTTCAGAGTTGATTTTGTTTGGGATTGACTGATTTGATCTCCTTGCAGTCCAAGGGACTCTCAAGAGTCTTCTCTGGCACCACAGGTCGAAGGCATCTGTTCTTCGGTGCTCAGCCTTTTTTATTGCTAGTGTAGTGTATCCCTATGTATCTGTCATCCAGTTTCAACATTTTGTCAGCATTCTATGCAGACATTGTTTCATTTTATTTTAAAAGTATATTTAATGGCATGGAAAAAAGACCATAGCATATCATTATATGCAAAATTATGCCACCAGTTTATAATATGCTGTTTAACAAATGACTGGCTTCCCAGGTGGCTCGGTGGTGAAGAACCTGCCTGCCAGTGCAGGAGACACAAGAGACTTGGGTTCTATTCTTGGTCGGCAAGATCCCCTGGAGAAGGAAATGGCAACCCATTCTAGTATTCTTGCCTGGAAAATTCCATGAACAGAGAGGAGCCTGGCAGGTTATAGTCTGTGTAATCTCAAGGAGTCAGACATGATTGAGCATAGCACACATGTTAAAAAATGATAGATGTACTTTGGAGTGATTAAATCTTAAAAAAAGGATGTACAGTGTTTGTTGGGCCTATCTGAGGGTTTTATTTTCTAAAAAGTCGAAGTTATAATTTCAAATTCTAGAATGTATATACATTGCACTTAGATATGCAGATGACTTTTATTTTTCTGTAGTCAAATTTATTAGTCTTTTGGGCAATTCCCTGATGGTCCAATGGTTAAAACTTGGCACTCTAACTGCTAGGACCCAGGTTCAATTCCTGGTAGGGGAACTGAAATCCTGCAAGCTAAAAAAAAAATTTTTTTTTAATTAGTCTTTTTATGTATGCCTGTGGAGATTATGTTATACACTGAAAGTCTACCTTGAAAATGGTATAAATTCTTCCAATTAATATCATTGATATGTTTAGAATTTATTTTGGTTTTAAGAAGAGTGGAACCAAGTTACTTTTCCCCAGATACCTGTTTGTCCCAGCATCATTTATTGAAGAGTTCATCTTTTCTCCACTGATTTAAAATTCCACTTTTGGGGACTTCCCTGGTGGTCTGGTGGTTAAAACTCTATGCTTCCATTGCAGGGGGCATAGGTTCAGTACCTGGTTGGGGAAATTAGATCCTGTGTGCTGCACTGCAAAACCAAAAAATAAAATAAAGGTGTAGTTTTTGAAAAAAAAATTAAAAATTAAATAAAATTCCACTTTTGTCAGATATTAAATTCCCATAAATATTTGGGTATATTCCTAAATTTTCCTTTCTTCTGCATTGATTTACCTATTTGTTCTGGGGCCAGTTTCACACTGTTTTAAAATCATTGTAGCTTTTAGGTGCTTTAATATCTTAAAGGAACAGTCTGTTCTCCTCCTTGACCCCCAATACAATTTTCTTTCCAAGATATCCCTAGTTGCTTATTATGTTTTAAAGTTTATATTAATTTTAGCATTTGCTTATCTGGAGCTTAAAAAAAAAATCCAGTTGGTGCTTGTGTTAGGATCATACTATGTTGATGGATTAACACAGAGAAAACTGGCATCATAAATGTGATGCTGAATGTCCCTATCCAGAAACACTGTGTCTTTCCATTTCTTTAAGACTTCTTTTGTGTCTGTCTCTTAATGGTGTTTCACATTTTTCTTCATTTAAATCTGGCTTATTTCCTACTGGGCTGTATCTAAGAATTTTATCCTTTTTTGTTGTTGCTGTTATCATTAAAATTAAAAGTTCTTTGAATCTAGAATGCTTTACTGAATTCCCCTCATTGTGTGTGATATTTTTTCAGTTGGTTCTCTTGAGTTTTCTAAGTAAACAGTTATATCATCTGCAAATATAATTTTAATTCTTCTCTTCTACTTTTTACACCTTGAATTTCTTTCTCTTTTTCTAATTATAATCGCAACTATAACTTTAAAAAAATCAGAAAAACAGTCCTGATATTGGATATCTTTTTCTTATTCCTGACTTCAGTGGGAATACTTCCAATGTTTATGAAATGGGATGCTGGCTTTTGGACTGCAGTAGTCAGTATTTTATATTGTTAGCAAAATAACCTGTTTATTCAATTTTATGTGTTTTTTTTTTTTTTCCAAGAGTGAATGCTATTTCATACTTTGCCTGCAAATAGAGAGATAATGCTATTTTTCTCTTCAGATTGGTTGATTTGTATTAGTGTTTTAAAATACTGAATCATCTTTACATTCCTGAAACAAACTTTTTGGCTGTGTCAGATTATGAGATGTTGGTCCCCCAACCAGGGATTGAACCCATGCCCTAGGCAGTGAAAATGTGAAGTCCTAATGGTTGGGCTGCCAGGGGATCCCCAAACTCTGTTTGATTATGATGTTTTAATCTTTTGATGTGCTGCTAAATTATGCTGGTAATACTTCATTTGATATTTTTTCACTGACGTAAAACTGCTTAGTTGGATCAATATTATGTTTGATCTGTAAAAGGCATTTGTTTTCCTCTTCTGTTATGCTACAGAATAATTTAAATAGTAGCTGCAGTATTTGATAGATGTTTGATAGAAACATCTATCATAATGATTTCATAATGTTCAATAGAAATGTTTGATAGAAATCCTCTGAAACATGTCTGACCCTAGTGCTTTGTAGGAGATAACTGATTTTCTTTACTTAAGATAGAAAGGAGGACTTTCCTGGCAGTCTAGGGGTTAAGACTGCACTTGCACTGTGGGAGGTGATGGTTCATTCCCTGGTCCAGAAAGTTCTACATGCCTTGCAGTGCAGCTAAAAAAGTGAAAAAAAAAAAAAAATTTTTTTTTTTTTCCTAAAGGAAGGAAATAAAATCAATTTTGACAACTATAATTTTTTTTAAATTTTCTTAAAACAGGTGTGTTCAAAGGAATTAACAAATGTTTTGGAGGAAACAGGTGAGTGAAATGATTGTATTTTGCGTAGTACCCCTCATAAGTATCATTTAAATTTGGGATAGAAGATGAGTCTTGTTCATTTTTCTCTAAGAATCAAGCCTTTATTATTATAGGGTGGTTTTTTGGGTTTTTTTTGGTCCCTTCTGAGATCTTAGGTTTAGCACTTTGACAGCCCTGAAAAGCTACTTTCATCCTGTATTTAATAAAAAACCATATAACTCCAGGATTTCCTGTAAAAGCTCAACAGGTAACATTGAACGAATTAGAAAGCTGTGTGTAAGGGAGTTTCTATAGGTCCTTAGTTAGCTTTGCCCTTTTTTGTGTTTAGTTAATTTGTATTGAGGTGTAGTTGATTTGCAATGTGCTGTGTCACTTTCTGCGGTACATCGCAGTGCGTCTGTTACGCGTATACAGATATCCACTTGTAGATTTTATTCGCATGTAAGTCATTACAGAGTACTGCGTAGTGTTTCCTATGCAGCGCAGTAGGTTCTTATTGGTTATCTAGTTTTATGTATAGTAGTATGTATATGTCAGCCCCAGTCTCCCAATTTATCCCACCCCCATTCCTCCTTGGTAACCATAAGTTTATTTTCTACATCTGTGACTCTTATTTCTTTTTTGTAAATAGGTGCATTCGTAGATTGCACGTATAAGTGATACCATGTGATATTTGTCTTTCTGTGTCTGACTTCACTCAATATGACATCCCTAGGTCCATCCATTTTGTGGCAAATGGCATTATTTCATTCCTTTTAATGGCAGAGTAATATTCCATTGTATATAGGTACCATATCTTTGTCTGTTCCTCCACTGATGGACATTTAGGTTGCTTCCATTTCCTGGCTATTGTAAATAATGCTGCAGTGAACATTGGGGTACACATATCTTTTCAAATTGCAGTTTTCTCTGGATATATGTCCAGAAGTGGGATTGCTGAATTATATGGTATCGCTATATTTTGTTTTTTAAGGAACCTCCATACTATTCTCCATAGTGGCTGTACCAATTTACATTCCTACCCACAGTATAGGAGGTTTCCCTTTTCTCCACACCCTCTCTAATGTGTATTGTGTGTAGATTTTGTGGTGATGGCCATTCTGACCTTAGTTTTACCCTTTGATTAGAAAGTGATAACTTTTTCATTTTGTTAGTTCAAGAAATGTTTATGGAGAAAGCTTTTCTAAGTCAAAATATCGATATATTGATATAAGTATTTTATATCTGAACATAGAAGCTGTTCCTCAGCTTTTACCCATTATAATATGCCTGGACGTCCCTGGTGGTCCAGTGCTTTGGAATCTGCCCGCCAGTACAGGGGACACAGGTCCGATCCCTGGTCTAGGGGGAGCCCACGTGCTGAAGGGCAGCCACGCCTTGCACCACAGCTGCTGAAATCCAGGCACTCTAGAGCTTGCAAGTGACACCTGCAAAGTGCCCTGGAGCTTGCGCTCTGCGTCGAGCGGCCACCGCAGTGAGAGACCTGTGTGCTGCAGCTAGGCAGCAGCCCCTGCTTGGCACAGCTAGAGAAAGCCTGCACGCAGCAACAGAGAGCAGCGCAGCTAAAAATAAAATAGGTGACATTTTTAAACAATTCCTTATAGTCCAAGTCACTTGACTGATTTTTAATTTAGCTTACCAAAGTAGGTTCATGATAGAATAATCATGGGTTTTCTTCAGATATTGCAGTATAATTGAATATTAATTTCAACATATGTGCTTACCATTTTTATCTTTTTTGAAGCGGAGTCTTACAAGGGACAGGATATCTTCCCTACCTCAGGAAACATACAGACAATTTCAGAACCTCAAAAAGAGCAACTTGAACCCACTTCTCAGAGTATCAGATCTGGATCTTTTGATAAAATAACAGATACACAGGAAAAGAATGCATCTCAGTTACCTCAGGATGAGATAATGGTGTCTGATAAGGAAGAAAGAACTTGTGCTGCTTCTGAGTCTGAACAAATGGGTAGCATCACATCGTCTTCAAAAACCCCACTAACCAGGTATCATGAGAAAATCTTTAATGTTTCTTTCTCTCCACATTTTGCTCTCAGTGGATAAATTAAACCTATATGGAATAGGTGTAACATGTATAAAGACTGAGTCCAGCACTAAGGATGGTGTTTTGTGAACATACCTCTCTGTCACTAATACAAAGGGAATGGGTGTCATCAAAGGAAATACAGTTAATACCAGACACTTTCAGAGGACATTCTATATGACAAGAGCTTAACTTTCAGGTAAGGGCTTCCCTCATAGCGCAGGCAGTAAAGAATCTGCCAGCAACGCAGGAGACCCAGGTTTGGTTCCTAGGTTGTGAAGATTCTCTGGAGAAGTAAATGGCAACCCACTGCAGTATTCTTGCCTGGAGAATCCCATGGACAGAGGCGCCTGGCAGGCTATAGTCCATGGGGTCGCAAGAGTCGGACACGACTTACCAACTAAACGACAACCACGACTTTAAGTACTGAAACTTTGACTTTTAGATAGAAGATCTTTAGAATTTCAGGATTGCACACTTTCTCTTTCAGATTGTTCATGCTTATTATTTTGATAACTATTTATTCTACCACACGGTAGCTCCCAGTGCAGATGTAGATGGTGTGAGACATAGGGCTGCCATCAGAAGTGGTCTGCAAGTTGTTTCATTGAAATCCCAGATAATGTGTGCATTTCTCTCCCTTGTGGCATACCACAGAGGTCAGCTCTCGCTTTCTCCCTGTAAGAGTAAGTGTGGAATTTAAGCCCAAACCAGCTTCTCCCACATTATTTCCTCGTACTAGAAGCAAGTCTGCTGGCTTATGGACATCTGCTGCCTTAGCAGCAGCATTCAAATCAATAATGTGGTGTTGGTGAATTGAAGAGGGGAGGATATGTACCAGTCTAAAGGAAAGTGGGAGGAAGGACATATATAACTTGAAAAAGCATATTTAACAAACCTGTTCTCTTTGTTATATAAACTACATCTTTTCTGGAATTAGGAATGTGCTAATAAAATAGTCATGGGAGTTTGGGTTAAACCAGTTGAGAAGCAGTGTTTTAGAACAAGGGTTCTATAGAACATTATATAGTATATTTGATTATATAATCATATATACATAAACAAATAAGCATGCTCTGTTCCGATAAACTTAATTGTAGAATCAGTTGGTGGACTGCATTTGGCATGTAGTTCATAGCTTGCTGACCCCTACTCTGGAGTCTTCCTACTCAAAATGTGGTCCTGGGACCAATAGCAGGGACATCATTTGAGAACTCAATAGAAATACAGAACTCGGGCCCCACTCGTCATCAGCTCAGTTGGAACCCTCGTTTTAATAAGCCCCCCAGGCGATTTGTGTGCACTTTAAAGCTTGATAAGTTCTACTCTAGAGAAAGCTTTGACCTTCTTCACAAGTATATGTCATGGCATAGTGATTTTCAGTACCCAATGGCATCAGCACTTTGAAGATGTGCCACTCGTGGTATCACATGTGCCAGTTTAGCATTCATGGAGAGAAGTTGGTATTAAGAATGTGTCTTTCTGGGACTTCCCTGGCAGTCCAGTGGTTAAGACTCCAAACTTCCAATGTAGGGAGTGTGAGTTTGATCCCTGGTGCAGGAACTAAGATCCCAATGACTGGGCAGCAGGGCAAGAGAAAAAAGTTTAATTATACAGGTATTGATGTTGTCCTATAAAATTTTGTACATTCCTGCTTTTAGTTTCTTTACTATAATAATCAGCCTATGAAAAATTTAGTGATTATTTAAAAAAAAAATGTGTCTTTCTGGATATTCTTGAATATCTTTACATTTGCATTTCTAGACCTGGCAGAAGACCCCTGGGATTTTTGTCTTTAATATGTTCAAAGAATAGCTTGGACTCTGATGAACCTACGCAGGTTCATAGTAAGAAACGCCTAAAACCTGTTATACCTGTATCAAGACAAAATTTGAAAAGATCTAATCTGCCTAGTGTAAGCCAGAAAAAAACTCAAGAGTCCTCTGATGTTCCGTCTCGAAGTGTTGTTGACAATACTCAACCTACGAATAATGATAGTTCAGCAACTCAGGTATGTGATAACTGTTTTTTATTAATTTGTATAGAATGGATTGGTTATCAGACTCAACTAGGAAAGACATGGTAATTGCTTTCTTCATCTGGATGTCAGAAATTATTGCAGAGCAACTCCAATCCATCTCCTCCCTATCCTCCCCTACTTACTGGAAGAAGATAAGGTGCTGAATTAGAAAGTTATAGCTAGTTTAGTACAGAGCCATTGAACTAACCATAATTGAACACTTAATTGCCAGTCCTTTTCTACAAAGATCCTTCTGACCTTTTGGCTCCTTTTGTGGAAGCAAAATAAAGCAGTGCTTGCATTTTATTTCCCTGAGGAAAAATGTCCTGACACCTACAGGAATTCACAGAACAATTAAATTAAAATTTGCTTGCATGTTTCATTTCTGTGCATTCTAAAGTAAGTACTAGGGCAGAAAAATCGGGGAACTTACATCAAAGACTTTGGAAGAATATTGGGTGACTTATCTCAACAAAGAAAAGGCTGGTGACTATTATTGGGTAGCATGGAGCCTCAAAGGAAAGAGTATTTTTGTAAAGAATATGTTTAACATTTTAAAAGTATTTTATATTATTTGCTACAATTATATTCTGAGACCAGAATTTTATGAGTCTTTATTATTGTTGCCAAATGACTTTGGAGAATAGTAATTACCAAGTGTAACAGTGCCAGTTTGGCCACATCCTTACCAGCCTGAGATGTTACTCTTCAAAATACACTTGTTTTTCTTATTTAATATAGTGGTGGAGGAGTGGAAATGTAGTTTCATTTTCTAAAACTTATTTATTTATTTATTTCCGGCTCTGCTGGGTCTTGCTGCAGTGTGAGAGCTTTCTCTTGGAGGCAACCAGGGCCTACTCCGTGGTTGCTTTGTGTGGGCTCCTCTTGTTGTGGAACCTGGGCTCCAGAGCGTTAACTCGGTAGTTGTGACACATGGGTTTAGTTGCCCCAAAGCATTTAGGATCTTCCCAGACCAGGGATTGAACCCATGTCCCCTGCATTGGTGGGCAGATTCTTAACCACTGGACCACCAGGGAACTCCTGTCATTTCGATTTTAAAATTTGCATTTTTTCAGTTATTAGTGAGTTGGTCCCCCCCCCCCCCCCCATATATTTACTAGATTCTGTTTCTCTCTCTTTTTAAATTGCTTTTGTTTTGTTTTTTGCTGATTTATAGCTTTCGGAATCTCAGTAGTTTTCTTTTGTATGAGATCTTTACGCATGTAAATAAGCCACATACCTTTTAACTCTTTACTACAAGTATTTTTTCCAAGTTTATTTACTTTTTAAAATTTTGTTACACAAACTTTTAAATGTTTAGTTAAATCTATTACTCGTTTCTTGGTAAGTTAGTAAATTACTTTTATGATTAAAAGTTTTTCTCCAGAGGTATAAAATTTTTAATAATCAGTCTTAAAACTTTAACTTTAGTCATGGTTATTGACTTTGGTATATAGGGTGAGGCAAGCATTTAATCTAAATATTATCCTCACATTGCTACTTTGTTTTTTTTACTAACATATTCCACATGTTTTAAAATGCATAACCCACAAAAGAGAGTTTATAGTAAAATATTTCCCACATCTGTCCTTTAGCTTTGTAATTTGTCCCTTCTGCAGGTATGTGGTATTATCAGATTTTGGTTTACTTTTCCAGAGACATTTTAATATATACAAATATAAACATTTTTCTGTTTTTACATAAATAATGGCATATCATCTCTTCTTCGCTTTTCTTGTGTAGCAGTGTGACTTGGAGACATTACAAAACAGTAGATAAAAGGTTCTCTCTTGCTCTCTCTCTCTTTAAAAAAAAAAAAAATTATTTTTATTTATGTATTTGAGTGCACCAGATCTTTGTTGCAGCATATGGGATCTTTAGTTGTAGCATGCAGACTCTTAGTTGCAGCATGTAAGAACTAATTCCCTGACCAGGAATTGGACCTGGGCCCCTGCATTGGGAGCACAGAGTCCCAGCCACTGGACCATCAGGGAAGTCCTTTGCTCTCTTAAAAAAAAAAATTGAATTATTAACTTTTTATTTTGAGATAATTATAGATTATCATGGAGTTATAACATGCAGTTATAAACAACTATACGGAGGGATCCCATCTACCCTTCACTCAGTTATCCCCAGTGCTAACATCTTAATGAAACTCTCCTCTAGTATCACAACCACCATAGTGACATTACGACAGTCAAGAGACTGAACAGTTCTGTCACTAGAGGGATCTTTTGTTTAGCCCTTTTATAGACACACCCACGTCCCTGCCACCCCCACCGTCTCCTTATTTTCTGGGACTTGCCTGGTGGTCCAGTGGCTAAGACTCTGTGCTTCCAATGCTGGGGGGCCCTGGTGCGATCCTTGGTCAGGGACTGGGTCCCACATGGCACAGTTAAGAGTTCACACGCTGCATCTGAAGATCCTGTGTGCCGAAGTAAGACTGGCTGCGGCCAAATAAGTAAGTAAAATAATTGTGTATTTCTTTTTTAAAAAGTGTGTCACCCCAAGAATGTTTTATAAATGGAATCATGTATTTGGGATTGGTGTCTTTTCAGTAGTGAGTCATCCAGATGGTTCTATGTATCAATAGTTTGTTCCTTTTTACTGCTGGATAGTATTTCATAGTATGGATGTACCAGCTTTGTTTATCCATTTAGCCACCAAAGGACATCTAGGTGGTTTTCAGAGTTTGTTATTATAAATAAAGCTGTGAACTTCTGCGTGCAACTTTTTGTGTGGACATAAATTTTCCTTTTTTTTCAGGAATAAGTGCCCTCATTGTTTTAATGATTATGTAATATTCCATTGTTTGGGTGTACCATAGAGTGATACTGGTCTCACACACAGGCATTTAGGGTATTCCTAATTATAACAACTCATTTATTTTTTTTTTTTCATTGGAAAAAAGATTTTATTTTACCATAAAAATGCAAACTGGAATAAACACCCTCTCTCCTAAGGTGGACGTTACAGCTATTTTTAAGTCTTTCTGAGCTTCCCTTGGAGAAGCCAACAATTATAAAATTTAACAAGTTTGCAGCCTTAAATCTGAAACGTTCCAAGTAAAAATAACTTAGCAAAACGGCTTCTTAAAAAAACCACACAGGCTAACCTTGACTAGAAACGAAAGCTAATTTTAAACCAACCTGCTTTTTTGTTTGTTTTATGCTGATTTGTAAAAAGTGAATGTTTGGATCCCTGTGTACCACTTGACACTTTTTCTCTTGGATGTTGGATGACTTGAACTCGCAGAAAGTGATAACAACTCATTTATAAGTAGGCTGTTTTTCACATTTATAGGTTAAATTCCTAGAAATAGAATTGCTGCTCTAAAGGAATGATTATTCTTTTGACAGACATTGCCTGATTATGAGAGAGCCTTTTCCCTCACAGTAGTATATTATTAATGTTGTTCATTTTTTATCTTCTTCATAGATTTAATGTGATATAGGTTGCAGTTATTTGTCCCTCTGTGGCATTTATCTTTTGATTTTGTATATGGTGGTTTGTGCCATGCAGATATTTTTTATTTTTATGGACATGAATCTGTCAGTCTGCTGTGGTTTGTGGCTTTCATGTCCTTCCTTCACACTCTCTCCCCCACCCTAATATTATAAACCATTTTCCTACGGTATTTTATAGTAGATTTTTAAAAGTTAATTTTGTTTTTGGCTAGCTGGATCTTCGTTGCTGCACAGGGTTTTCTCTCGTTGTGGCGAGCGGGGGCTGCTCTCTGGTTGTGGAGTGCGGGCTTCTCCTTGGGCTGAGCCCTGGCGCAGGCATGGGCTTAGAGGGCACGGCTTCGGCTGTCGTGGTGCGCGGGCTCAGCGCTTGCGGCCTGCGGGCTTGGTTGTCCCTCAGCACGTGGGGTCTTCCTGGACCAGGGGTTGACCCTGTGTCTCCTGCACTGCAGGTGGATTCTTTACCACCGAGCCACCAGGGAAGCCTCTATGGTCAATTTTTTAAAATGTTTTTACATTTAAGTTTATTGATCCATCTAGAACTTGTAATGGTCAAGTATAATAGGTCTGATTTTGTTTTTGTGAGATAGTTATACAGTTGTCCAGTATTATTTATTGGATTATCCACCTTTTCTCAATTTTTTTTGGAAATATCACTTTTATCAAATACTGAATTTCCATCCATATGTGTTAGGGATATTTCTAGTCTTCTATTTTGTTGATATGCATGTCTGTTCCTGTGCCAATACCATGCCATTTAATTTTTCTAGATTTATAAGTATGCTAATTTTTGATAGAATTGCTTTGATTTGTGATATTTCCTTATGTTCTGTTTCATGGGTCCTGTTTTGGTCATTAAAATGTTTTCATTTAGATTTAATACTATTATATTTTCTATATTATTGATTTTTTTCACAGAAATTTGAATGAAGTAATAAACGTGTACACTACAGTTAATCTAGTTATGTCTAGTATATTTGCTGATTTTAATTTTATTATAACTAATGCTGCAAAGCTGATCTCTTACTATGTTTAGGATTATTTCCTTAATATAACAGCACAGAAATTAAATTATTGGGTCAGTGAGTGTAAACATATTTAAAGCTCTTATAGTGGTAAAGAATCTGCCTGCCAGTGCAGGAGACACAGGTTCTATTCCTGGGTCAGGAAGATCCCATGAGTAGGAAATGGCAACCCACTCCAGTATTCTGGCCTGGAAAATTTCATGGATGATGGAGCCTGGTGGGCTACAGTCCGTGGGGTCGCAGAGTCATACATTGCTGAGAGACTGAGTGAGTGAGTACTTATTGCTATATTGCTTTTCAAACAGGTATCAATTTAGACTACCACTATCAATATAAATGTTATGTTGCATACTTACTTTTATTATCTTTTTAGGTTTCTTCTAATCATCCCTTACCGAAAGGAGAATGTAAAGGTGGCCAAAACCGGGTACCTGAAGAGGAGCCAACCACAGTCTCTGAATATTTCTTTAATGATATCTTTATTGAAGTGGATGAACCAGAATAGAAAATCGCCTTTAAAAATTTTTTTTTAAGTCTAGGATTTCCATAATCAGTTACGTCAACAAAGCAGTATTTAGAAAGAAGCATCACTGGCAGTTTTTCTTGAGGTTGATTTTGAGTATTTATTCAGCTTGATTTGAAGCTTTTATAATCAGTGAAAAACATTGCTGGGGTCCTTTTCATTCTGATTGGCTCAGCATTTTGGAAATATCAACCAGTTAAGACTGCTTTCTCAGCCAGAAATAACAGGTCTTGTTTACATTTTGACTTTCTGTATTGAACACACGTGAACATCTTCGAATGTTGTGGATAATGTCTGTGTAAATCACAGTGCTGATGTATTTGGAAGTGGATTGTATTTAACGTTTAGAGAACCTTTTGTGAAGGTTTTTTTATGTTTGCTTAGGGTTTTTTGTTTTTGTTTTAGGATTTTTGGGGGTTTGGGTGTTTTTTTTTTATTTTGGTTTTTTAGTATGGTGAAAGCCTTTTCATTTGCCTCTAAATATATGAAAGGAAATTGTGAAACTCCAGTTTAATATGGTAACTGTTAAAAACTTTTCTATTATCATCTATTTGATTGAAAAGTGTGTATTTTTCTAATTCATATTGATGTAACATTAGTCCTAATTGAAGAACTAGTATTTAAACTTACTATTTATAAAGATAAAACATCAAAAAGCTTATTTATTTTTAAATTTTTTATTTAAAAGAAGATTCAGTTTTAATTTTTTACCCCTGAGATTATGGGTAAAGAAGGCATTAACAATTCATGTTTGTCTCCTTTCCCGCTTTAATTTTAAAGATATTTAAAGTGATATAACTAAAGTATTTGGATAGTATATATGTTTGAATACATTTTTTTCTCATAGTTCAGTATATTGACTTTGTACTGTGAATTTTTTGTTTTTCTTATTTCTTAGATAATCTCAGGATTTGTATGGGAAAAAGAAAACCTTAACCTTATTTATGAGGCAAATTTCCATACAAAACTAGTCTCCATTACATAAACACATGCTCACATACACACATTCCTTTTTTAAAAAACAATTTCTTGTTAGTTTTCTTTCCCCTATTAAATTCTCCTTAAGAACCTAAGTATGTAGGTCTTTACGGACAGAACATAATTGAGATGTTAAAAACGGAAAATAAGATAACAATAAGCCTTTATTAAGTCAGTGATTATCATCAATATGAATTTATGGGTTGGGTTTAAATTTTGTGATTTACATAGGTAATTCCTTTATCACCCAAGCAAATCTCTGGGGTTCAAATTAAACTTCTGAAAAAACAGATTTATTCTTTTATATGAAAAGCCCTCTGGGTTGATAATACCTTGGATCAGGAATCAGAAACATTTTCTGCAAAAATATTTTCGAATTTGTGGGCCAGATGCCCTCTGTGGTAACTACTCAACTCTGCCATTTAAGTATGAAAACAGCCACAGACAATACTTACATGATGGGCATAGATGGATTGGGTCTTTAGTTTGACCCCTATATTAGACAATAGTTTTCTTACTTTAAGGTGCTGATGTCATTACCTATGAGATATTTGTCACTGGAATTATGAGTTTTGCCTAACAATTAAAACTGTTGATTGCATTATGAAATCAGTATTTCAGTTGGGAAGATATTTTAATGTCTGATTATGTTTGTAAATTGAAAAAAATGGTGACCAGTTTTCAGGTTCACTAGTAAAAGTGGATTTGGCTTGGCAAGTATAACAGTAATCCTAATTTATTAAAACAATTGATATTAGAACATTTCTTATTCATTGCCTTATAGTGAAATTTACAGTTTAAACTTTTTTGTCATAAAGGAGGATTTATAAGGAAATTCTCTATAGATATGCATTTATTTATTTCATGTGATTAATATGTTACAAAAATCATGGTCGTAATCACATTGCTATTTTAAATGCCATTTTTATAAATTTTAAAAGTCATATTCTGAAAAGGTTTTTTTATTAGTTCATGTTAGTTTAGGTGTTAGGTTGTCATAGCTAAACTATGATTTTATCCCTTGTTTACTATCACTTTAAATTTGTTAACATCTGTTTCTTGTTCATCTACAATGAGTTAATTTTGTGGAAGATGTAACTTCTTACTGTATAAAGGATAATTTTATCTTTGGGCATTCATTGCATTAGAGAATCAAGTCAGCTAAATTCTCCTACAGTTATATCCTTAAAACTACTCTTAGAGAAAGAAAATCAGTGTCTTTACCTTATAAAGGGGAAAGACTTGTTCACTCCTGTGTTTAATCTGACTCATATAAAGATCATGTGAAGAATTTGTATTTTATAAATTTTCAAAGAGATATGATTAAAGGTCTTTATTTTTTTCTTGACTTTTCCTCCTGATCACTTATATCTTAGCAAGTGATCAACATGAAGACTTAAAAGCCTAATTGTTGGTAAATGATTGAGGCACAGATAAAAATATGAATATCCACTGCTTACCACCATGTTTTTTGAAATATAGGTCACCATGTATACTATCTTGCTTGACGAAGTCTTTGACAAAAAGCAATATCTGTCATTGTAAATTTTCTTGTTCTAAAGAAAGCAGTTATATTCTGTAGATGTAAATTATGTAAATAAAAGTTATTTTATATTATTTGTTGTGTCCTTTTTTTCAAATGACAATAAAGATATTAATGTGTTAGTGAACGAAAAATAGTCTTAGAAGTACAGTTTATACTTCCACAAAAATATAGTATAATTGGAAGTTAATTTTTTCTTTCATTTATGCTATGGAGGATATTATTTTGATTTTGCAAGAATAAAGAATAGACTTTCTCCACATTTGGAACATATGAAAAGTTGCTTACTTTTTGATTTGCTCCTCATGCAGTGAAATTTTAGATAAAAGAACTCAATCTCTTTTACTTTTTTTTTTTCTGGAGAGAAAGGCAAATGGGAAACTTCAGTTATGAATATAAACCTAGACTTCTGACATTGTCTGACCAGACTTTTATACTTTTTGTCTGGTATAAAAGGATTTTTTGTTTTCTTAAAACTCCTCCCCACTCTTTTCCTGCTTTCTCCCAATATGTTAATCACAATTTGGGTTTTCATATTCAGTATTTGTATTGTAATTATTCACTGCTCTACCACCTAATAAACTAAGATGACATTTCCTTTCTGGTACAGCTCTTTGTTTTTCTTGGAGTTAAGAATTGTTTCACTTTTTCATTTGCTTTGGGTTTGTTTTTGAACCTGTAGCTTAACCTTCCATACCCTCCAGCAAGTCTGTTTATACTTTATATATAAATTTATACTTTTCGACATGGTCAAGTTGTCAGATAAATTCTTTCTTTCTTCCCCCTTCTCTCCTCACCCCACTACCACCCCACTCCTGGAAAACTTATGAAAATCTTCCTTCCTGCTTTCATCTTGACTGAGTCTTCACAGGTCTCCATGTGCAGCACAGTTGCCATGCTGGGCCTTCTCTTGTGAATCCCCTACCCTTCTTTTCTGGTTTGAACTCCCTATTTCTGGAGCCCATGTCATTGTTTTTCTTGATTTGGAGAGGTATATCTTCCCTTATTTACTGCAGAAGGGTATGTGGATGATTTTGTAACTTGAGACTTTACCTGTCTGAGAGTTTCCTTTTTCTAGTCTCTCAGTTGGGTTCTGTGTGGGATTCTTGAATAATTCGAAAATAATTTCTGCTTCATTTCAGAATCATCCTCTGATTATATTCTGGTCTTCAGTGTTTAAAAAAGTCTGCTGCCATTCTGATTCCCCATCCTTTGAATGTGGGCCTCTGTTTACGTGTTTTCTGACCCTGGTACTCGGCACAGTGGGCTTCCCTGTGGCTCAGTATCTGCCTTCCAAGCAGGAGACTTGGGTTCAGTGACCAGGTCAGAAAGATCTCCTAGAGAAGGAAATGGCTACCCATTCCAGTATCCTTGCCTGGAGAATCCCATGGACAGAGGAGCCTAGTGGGCTACAGTCCCTGGGGTCCTTCAGATATAACTTAGCAACTGTACCACCACCGTTGTGCACGATAATGTGCCACGCCCATCCCTTCCTGCCCCCACTTTCACGTCCTGGGCCTCTTTAATATGGAAACTCATTTACTTCCCTTCTGGCAAATGTTCTTGCATTATTACTCTGATAATTTCTCTTTCATTTTCACCTTTCTACTGTCTGAAATTCCTATAAATCAGATTTTTAAATCTCCTTTAGTGGTTCCCTAAGTTATCTTTTCTCTGCTATTTTCTACTCACCCCTTATCTCTCCTCATATTTTTGTTTCCCCTTTGTGTGTGTTGGGGGAGATATTCTTAATTTTTACTTCTACTGGAGACAAGTGTCTGTTCCTTTTTAGAAGTGACTTTGTTGGTCACAAAACATAGAAGGCCAAAAGTCGATGCTTCAGACTAACAAATGTGCAAAATTAAGTCACAAAATCTGAGGCCTCTTTGACTTAGTTCATAATTTTGAGTCAACAGTTTTGTCCAGTGAGCATTTTGGGGGCATCATTTGCGTTTAATGAAGGACATAGATCTTAAGTATTCAGTTTGAATACTGACAATGTATACACCTGTGTAAGCACCCCACAGAGACAATATTTTCATCCTCCTGGGAAGTTCCTTTAAGTCCTTCCCCACTGCCACCCACCAGGATTACTTTTCGCCTGATCTTGAACTTTATATTATGTATTCCTTTGTATCTGGTTACTCTTGCTCAACATGTCTTTGGGACTCATTAATTTTGTCCTGTGCTAGTAGCTCCTTGTTGCTAAGTTGTATTCCATTTTATGCCTGTACCACGTATGAATATATCAGAATTGTCTATCCATTTTCCTACTGATTGTTTCCGAATTTTGCCTCTTGAATAAAGCTACTATAAATAGTCTTGTATAAATCTTTTGGTAGACACGTTTTTATTTCTCGTGTGTAAAAATCTAGATTTATTTTTCTAAGTACTTGATGTTCTTTGATGTGTTTATAAATGGTATTTTTAAATGCCTATTTTTATTTGTATGTTTATTCTTGGAACTTAGAGAAACAGTTGATTTTTGTATTGCAATTAAGATTTTAGCAAATGGGGATTCCCTGGCAGTCCAGTGGTTGTGACTCTGTGAAAGTTCACTGCTGAGGCCATGTGGCAAGGCCAAAAAAAAAAATGTTAAGAAATGTGTTTTCACAGTCTTACCTAGCCTTTCCAGCTATTAAAGGAAGCCTTTATATATATATATAGGAATGCTATTTGTTCTTAGAAAACAGACTTAGAAACTCAGTTATTGGGACTTCGCTGGTGATCTAGTGGCCAAGACTCCTAGCTCCCACTGTAGGGGCTTGTGTTCCATCCCTGGTCAGGGAGCTAGATCCCACATACCGCAATCCTATATGCCCTAACGAAGATAGAAGATCCTGTGTACTGAAGCTAGGACCTGGTGCTGTCAAATAAATAAATTAAATGAAACTCACCTATTATAAACAATATAAAGTAAAATTTTAAGTAATAAAATTTAATGCTGCTGAGAAACATTTGCTAACTTCTCATTTAATAAATTTAAAGGGTAGCAGAATATCCTATCTCTTTAAAACATTGTTTTCCCATCCTTCTAATATTTTCTCATTAGGGAATTCCCTGGCAGTCCAGTGGTTAGGACTCTGTGCTTCCACTGCAGGGAGTATGAATTTGATTCCTGGCCAGGGAACTAAGACCCCACATGCTGTGGGGGCAACTGAGCCCACGCTTGCAACTACTCTGGAGCCTGTGCGCCACAACTAGAGAAGATCACGCACCACAAGAGCCCAAGAGCCCTGCACACTGGGACAAAAACCCCGCATGCCACAGGGAAGGTCCAATGTGCCACAACTAAGACACGATGCAACCAAATATTTTTTAAAAATCAGTTGCATTTCTATGTGCTAATACTGTACAAACTGAAAAGGAAATTACAAAAGTAACTCCATGTACAGCAGCCTCAAAAATAACCAAATAGAAATTAACCAAGGAGGTGAAAGACTTGCACAGTGAAAACTAAAAAACAGTGTGAAAGAGATTAAAGAAGACATAAATAAATGGAAACATCTCATTTTCATAGATTGGCAGACTTTAATACTGTTAAGATGTCAATGCTACCCAGTGTGATCAATAGATTCAGTGCAGATCCTATCAGAATTCTGAGACATTTTTTATTTTGACAGAAATAGAAAAATATACCTCTAAAGTTAATATGGAATCTAAGGGATCCCAGATAGTCAAAAAAATCTTGAACAAGAATAAAGCTAGAAAACTTAGGTTTAATGATTTCAAAACCTACTACATAGCTACAGTAAAAAAAAAAAAAATCATAGTTTTAACATAAAAGACAGACGTATGGGACCTAGAATATAATACAAAGTCAGAGATAAACCACTGCGTATGAAATAATTTCTGACAAGCGTGCCAAGACTATTTAATGGAGAATGGACAGTCTTTACAACAAAAGATGTTGGGAAAATGATATCCACATACCAAAGAATCAAGCTAACATTGTATACAAAAATTATCTCAAAATAAATCTAAGACTAAGTGGACTAAGTAAGATAATTTTTTTCTCATTGTCAAGTGTGTGAGAAATTGTGAGGAAGCTCAGATTGTTGTTTCTCAGCCACTCAGTTGTGTCTGACTCTTTGTGACCCCATGGACTGCAGCATTCCAGGCTTCCCTGTCCTTTGTTTCCTGGAGTTTGCTCAAACTCATGTTCATTGAGTCCGTGATGCCATCCAACCATCTCATCCTCTGTCTTCCCCTTCTCCTCCTGCCCTCATTTTTTCACAGCATCAGGTCTTTTCCAGTGAGTCAGCTCTTCACATCAGGTGGCCAAAGTATTGGAGCTTCAGTATCAGTCCTTCCAATGAATACTCAGGTTTGATTTCTTTTAGGATTAACTGGTTTGATCTCCTTGCTGTCCAAGGGACTCTCAAGAGTGTTCTCCAACACCACAGTTTGAAAGTTCTTTGGTGCTCAGCCTTCTTTATGGTCCAACTTTCACATCTGTACATGACTACTGGAAAAACCAGTTTTGACTAGATGGACCTTTGTCAGCAAAGTGATGGCTCTGCTTTTTAATATGCTTTCTAGGTTTGTCATACCTTTTCTTCCAAGGAGCAAGTGTCTTTTAATTTCATGGCTTCAGTCACCATCTGCAGTGATTTTAGAGCCCAAGAAAATAAAATCTGTCACTGTTTGCATTTTTTCCCATTTATTTGCCATTAAGTGATGGGACTGGATGCCATGATCTTAGTTTTTTGAATGTTGAATGTAAGGCAAGTGTGGAGAAAGAGAATGAGCTGGCCAGTCAGGCAAAGAAAAGGAAGTTTATTAAAGGGAAATGAGAGAGTGGCCCTTGAGAAGAACCAGCCCCTTCCCTTCTGGTGGGTCCCTCTTACGCGCCCCCCCCCACCCCCGAGTAAGAAACTGGGTCCCCTCAGGGGTGGTTAGTTTATCTTTATTCTGCAGCTGGAGTTTGGCGGTCGGTAGTCTTGAGAAAGTCAAAGGTGTTCAAAGGTAGGGTGGTCACTTAGTCTTGGCAAAGAGTGCCAGCGGCCAAAACAGGATGTCACTTGACCAATGTGGTCAGTTTCATGGGTCACTATGACTTTATAGTTTATTTACGAGCCATTTTTAACAATGAGATCCCATATAGGCCCTATCATTGAGTTTTAAGCAAGCTTTTTCACTTTTTCACTCAGATCTGTTATAGACAACTTTGCTTTACTTTGCCAACCAAGGTCCATCCAGTCAAAGCTATGGTTTTTCCAGTAGTCATGTATGGATGTGAGAGTTGGACCTTAAAGAAAGCCGAGTGCTGAAGAATTGATGCTTTTGAACTGTGGTGTTGGAGAAGACTCTTGGGAGTCCCTTGGACTGCAAGGAGATCCAACCAGTCCCTCCTAAAGGAAATCAGTCCTAAATATTCATTAGAAAGACTGATGCTGAAGCTGAAACTCCAATACTTTGGCCACATGATGCAAAGAACTGACTTATTTGCAAAGACCCCGAGGCTGGGAAAGATTGAAGGCAGGAGGAGGGGACGACAGAGGATGAGATGGCTGGATGGTATCACCGACTCACTGAACATGAGTTTGAACAAGCTCTGGGAGTTGGTGATGGACAGGGAAGCCTGGCGTGCTTCTGTCCACGGGGTCGCAAAGAGTCAGACACAACTGAGCTACTGAACCGAGCTGACTTGTTAGAGACTAGGTTTTAGAAGTACGTTATAATCGTACATCTAAGATGTACTTTATCACTACTAGAATTTTTAAATTTACTGTTTATGTTCTCTCCGCTTTATAAAAGAGGACATTCTCCAGTGTATCCCCAGCTCCAAAAGAGCGCCTGAATGGGGACTTTGAAGAAATATTTGTTGAATGGACGGTTATCTCCTTTAAAAAGTTTAAGTTCTTAGGACAGTTTAACAAGCCTGTTCGGTTTCCAGCTCTCATATAAGAATAAGCTTTTTCAAGTCCCGGGATACCCTTTCTAGTAGGGAAGAAGAAAACGGCACGTAGAGGAAGCACCTAGACAAGCAAAGAAACGCAGCCGCAGCTCCTCATCTCCGCCCGGCGATTCGCAAGGCTCAGGGGCTCGGGAGGGGTCAGGCCTCACGAGGCTGCATCTCTGTCCCTCATTGGCTGAGTTCGGGGGCCGTGGTGCTCAACACAGACCAATCACGGGCGGCTTTCGCCGACACGTACCGACGCTGGCCGGAGAATCCCGGAGGTTTCAGGCGAGTTGGGACAGCAAGGATCTGGGCCGAGGTGCATCGCTAAGGGGGCGAGTTGGCCGGGAAAGCTTCGGCTCCGAATCGGCGCGGGCCGCTCTCACGCAGCTTCCTGCCTCTGTGCCCGCAGCCATGTGGGCCGCTCTGAGATTAGCCCTGCGGCCCTGCGCCCGCGCCGCTGCCCCAGCGCTGCGTTCCTATCATGGGGACTCCGTGGCTACCCTGGGCACCCCACTGGACTCCAGCTCTGCCATCTACCAGGTAGGGTGGGTGAGCGGCCCGGGTCAGTGATTCCTCTTCACCGACGGGACAAGGTGTTGGCCGGACTGGGGAGCATAGTGGGTAGGCTCCTTTTATCAGCAGCTCCTCTTTTCTCTGGATCCGCAGTCATGATTCTGGGACGCACTAGGAGGTTGTGAAGTTTGAAAAAAGAAAACAAATCAGATACATTTTAGTTCACTTTTAGCACTGGCACTGTCCTTTGTATCTTTAAATCAGTGGTTCTCAAAGCGGGTGGTTCTCCGGGAGCTTGTTCCAATTACCGTAGCCTTAAGCCTCACCCTGGGCCTTTTTGGTCTTCCAGGGTGGGATCCTGATGTTTGCATGGTTAATAAGGTTGGGGGTGAGGAGGGGCAAAGGCCTTGGAGCTTTGGGAGCCACTGGCCTAACACAGCTAACCCTGCTCTGTGGTTACTAGATTTGAAAGAGCTGGTTATGTTAATGGGAAATACTTGTATTTAAATAGCTTTTCTTGGAAGTTGGAGGTGCCATAGGTCACAAAATCAACTCCTGGTTTATGAAATATCAGCTGGAAGTTTTCAGTCTATCCCATGGTTTCTAAGCCTGTACAGATAAAGTTTAAGTTGTGCAGATAACTTTCAGGAGATACATTTTATTTATTTATTTTTTAAAAATTTGTTTATTTTTGGCGGTGCTGAGGCTTTCTTGCTGCTAGTGGGCTTTCTCTAGTTGGAGTGTGCAGGCTTCTCCTTGCGGTGGCTTCTCTTTTTTGCAGAGCACAGGCTCTGGGCCTGTGGGCTTCAGTCGTTGAGGCACATGGGCTTAGTAGCCCCTCAGCTTGTGAAATCTTCCTGGACCAGGGATCAAACCTGTGTCCCTTGCATTGGCAGGCAGATTCTTAACCTCTGGACCACCAGGGAAGTCCCCAGATAAAACATATTAAATAATTCTTCCCTTTGGAAAAGCAAATAGGTTGAAAGAAAATCAGCAGACTGAGGCAGAAACAATATCCAGTGAGAGACTTTCAGAAGTTTTTATATTTCCTGGGATCAAGAGAGAATGTTTCTTTCAGAAACATTAAATGGTTATTGTGATATAGGCTTTCTTTGAAAGTGAAAGTGAAAGTTGCTCAGTTGTGTCCCACTCTTTGCCACTGCATGGACTATACAGTATATGGAATTCTCCAGGCCAGAATACTGGAGTGGGTAGCCTTTCCCTTCTCCAGGGGATCTTCCCAACCCAGGGATCGAACCCAGGTCTCCCTCATTGCAGGTGGATTCTTTACCAGCTGAGCCACAAGGGAAGCCCAAGAATACTGGAGTGGGTAGCCTATCCCTTCTCCAGCAGATCTTCCGGACCCAGGAATTGAACCGGAGTCTCCTGCATTGCAGGCAGATTATCAACTGAACTATCAGGGAAGCCACTATTTAGGTACTTAGAATAGATGTGCAGGAATGGAGTCATATTTTTGTCGGGGAGACAGACAAGAAAGCAGTGCGTTGTGATGAGGGGTGTCTAAAGCCTAGAAAGTGATTGCAGAAAGATAAGAAGTAATGAACGAGTTGGCTCTTGAATGGGTTAAGAACTGTCCAGGTTCAGGGTGGAGAATGGGCCTGTACAACCAAAGGAAGTCATGAGAACATAGGTTCTAAATTATGAAAGCAGTTAGTGGGAGTGAGAACTTGGAAGTCCTGGTGTGGAATTCATGGGGTGGATGGAATTGCATATGCGGCCAGGTAGAGGAGCCATGTGTAGGAGCCATGTTTTGATTTCACTTTGCAGTCTGTTTGCTGAGATATTTAAGTAGAGAAGTGGCATGATGCTGTGAACGTGGTGGAATAATCGGTGGAGCAGCAGGGTAGGGAATGGGTTTCCCACCGTACCGAATATGATTCTTCGTGGTGTGTTCTCTTGGTCGCTGTAGACCTCTGAGTGTTCTCCAGCGCTCCTGTGAGGTTACTTTAGCCGGTTCAGGGTTGCTCTGTGATGTCTCTGTGAGGGAATGAGCTCCTGGAGCTTACTGGTCTGCCGTCTTTTTGAAGTCAGGTCTGGGCTGATGTATTTGATAGCGGCTGCTAGTCAGGGGTTAGGGAGTGTGAGCCCGAGATTATAATTTCTTTCTCTGTGTAAAATGTTTTATGTTCTGGTTTAGTCTGTGAGCTAGTAATTAGAATAGGGAAGTAATTGCGCTATGGTGGAAAAAACACTGGTTTAGTATTTCATGTATATTTAAAAGTAAGCAAGGAACATTTTTCCACAGGGGGGGACATCCTGGAGGAAATGTTAACAGTGGCCCCTTTCAGTGGGCAGAAGAGGCATTGTGCTTTAAGAACAAGATTCTAGAGCTAGTGAGCTTTGGTTTAAAATCCTGATTCTACTACTTGTTAGCTGAGTGATCTTGGGACTAATTACTTACTTCTCTGTGCCTCACCTGTGTTGTGGCATTAATGATTAGGTGTATGTTTCATTTATCAAGACAGTTACAGTGCCTGAAGTATAATAAACCCTCGAGAATTATTAGCTCTTGCTACTTTGCCTCCTCTTCTCAAGGTCATCTCATGATCTGTATTAGCTAGATTTTACTTCAGTAATGCTGAGTAGCAACCAGTCCCAATATTTTAGCGTTCAAAAGAACAAGTATTTAGTTTTCACACTTGGGTAGGTGGTGGCAGTTCTGCTCTAGGACTGCATTAGATTCAGGTCCGCACTGTTTCTTTTCTTTTTTAAAAGTTTGGCTGCATTGTGTCTTCACTGCTGTGTGCTGGGATAGTTGTCCTGTGGCATGTGGGATCTTAGTTTCCCAACCAAAGATTGCAGCCACATCCTCTGCTTTGAAAGGCAAATTCTTAACCACTAGACTACCACGGAAGTCCCTGCTCTACTTGTTTCTTATTCCAGGACCCAGAATGCGGGGGCAGGGGCTGCTGTGGGGTGCTGCTCTCATTATGGAAGCCTGGGGCACAAGAGGAAACAGTGTGGAAATACCTTGTCCTTCTTAAAGCCTCTGCTTTCAGCTGGTACACTGGCACTTTTGCCTATGTTCCGCTTGTCAGATCACATAATGTGGATAGATTCAGAGATTGTGGGGTAGGAAAGTATAGTCTCACAGTGAACCTTGGCAAGGGTGGGAGGGAAGGATGAATTTTAAACAGGTAGCACAGTCTGCCTTAAGGGTACTAAGGCCCAGCTCGAGGTCTGAGTCCCATGTGCAGGGGAGGAGAAAGGGTGAATAGGCAAAAGGACACCCTCACCTGCTTGTCCTCTTTTTTAAGGAGCCTTCCTGGAAGTCATACCTGACAACTTTTGCTTCAAACTCATTGGTTAGAATTTAGTCACATGGCCACACTTGTCCGGAAAAGGAGGCTGGGGTTATTTTATTTTGCTTTTATTTTTCTGGTTTTTGGGGATGTCTCATGGTTTGTGGGATCCTAGCTCCTCAACCAGGGATTGAATCCATGCCCTTGGCAGGGCAGTGAAAGCCTGGAATCCTAACTATTGGACCACCAGCGAATTTCCCTCTGATCCTTTTAAAACATGAAATAGGATCCTTTATCCCCCCGGGCTTTGTTTTTAAGGGTAAATTGTCAGTAAGTGTGAAAGCAAGTATTTCTGAATTGGTTGGCATCTCCTCACAATAGTATTTGATAGGACAGAAAAAGAAAATGGCATTCTAACCCTCAAAGGGTTAGAATTCCCGAACAAAGTAAAACAAGTAGAGGTAAGCTCAATAGACATGTAAGGAGGGAAGTGGTTAAAATGAGTGGGAGCAGCCAGAAATGAAGTTGGAGATGAGATGGAGTATGGATTAGGCTTTAAAAGGGCATGCCAAGGGACTTCTCTGGCAGTCCAGTGGTTAAGACTCTGAGTTTCCACTGCCAGGGGCACAGGTTTCATCTCTGATCAGGGAACTAAGATTCCACATGCCTCGAGGGGTGGCCAATAAATAAATAGATAAATAAATAAGTAGAGGTTGAGATTTATATTGATGGACCAGAGAGGGGTCGTGGTAGTGCAGAAGACATGGAGCAAAGACAGAGAGGCACGAACTAATCTTTTTTCTATGTTGGAGTTGGCTCAGTACAGAAGTGGCCCAGTGTGGATGCTACACATGGTTGGCATCTAATGCTGTGCTCCTTAACCCTCATTATGGTAAAAAAAAAAAAAACACAACAAAACTTCATTGGTTTCCTATAATATTCTCCCTCTTTTTCCTTGCTTCTGTTTTAGGAAAACTACAAACAGATGAAAGCATTAGTAAATCAACTCCATGAGCGAGCACAAAACATCAGACTAGGTAAGCGCACCGTTACTCTTCAGTTTATGCTTTTAATTAAGATGTCTCTTTATTTGTTTTAGAAAAAACTAGTAGCATCAAGGTTTTGACTCTTCAAGACTGTGCATTTGCTGTTAGTGGGAATGTAAATTGGGGCAGCCACTATGTAAGACAGCATGTTGTTGTTTAGTTGCTAACTCGTGTCTGACTCTTTTATGACCCCGTGAACTGTCGCCCACCAGGCTCCCCTGCCCGTAGGATTTTCCAGGCAGGAAGGAGTGGGTTGTCATTTCCTTCTCCAGGAATCTTCTCCATCTAGGGATTGAAGCCGCGTCTCCTGCATTGGCAGGTGGATTCTTCCTGAGCCATCAGGGAAGCCATGTAACACAGTGTGGAGGTCCTTAAAAAGTAAAAATAGAGTTACCATATGATCCAGCAGTCCGACTCCTAGGCTTATATCTGGAAAAGATGAAAACTCTTAATTCCCCAGTGTTCATAGCAGCACTGTTTACAAGAGCCAAAGACATGAAAACAACCCAGATACCCACCAACAGGTGATTGGTTTAAGATGTGGTATACATATATATATATATATGTGGATATATACTCAGTCCTAAAAAGAGAATGGAATATTGCCATTTCTAGCAACATGGATGGATCTAGAGAATATCATACTAAGTGAAGTAAGTCAGGAAGAGAAAGATAAATATTATACAATATTTTATATATGGAATCTAAAAGATAATGCAAATGAATCTATACACAAAGCAGAAACAGACATGGAGCTATAGCCCAGTGGCAGAACATTTGACCGCAGGAACAGGCCCAAAGACAGAAGGAACAAACCTCTGGTTGCCAAAGGGGAAAGGAAAGGGGTGAGAGAAATTAGGAGCGTGTGGTTAACAGAGAAAAAGTTAGTATGCATAAAATAGATACGCAACATGGATTCACTAAACATGGAGGACAGTATTTACTATCTTGTGATAACTGATAATGGAAAATAAACTGAAAAAATATGTATAAATGCGTCCCTTTGCTGCACACCTGGAACTAATACAATCCTGCTATTTAACTATTTCAATTTAAAAAGCCTGCATTTGTTGGCATGCAGTTTATTTTTAACTAGTATTTGGTCAATTTTTCTGCTCAGGTAGCACTGCCATTATTTGGGGGAAAGTAGAAATTCAGATTCATCAATTATTATTTTTTTTTTTTGTCCACACTTTGTGGCTTGTGGGACCTCAGTTTCTCAACCAGGGATTGAGCCTGGGCCCTGGCAGTTAAAGCACCAAATCCTAGCCACTAGAGCACCAGAGAACTTCCTCATCAGTATTTTAAACTATTTCTTCTTAAGGTTTTTATTTCAGTCACATAGTCACTGAAAGTTTTGTTTCACTTGAAGCAACTAAAAACATTTTATGTTCATTAGTCATATTCATACTATATATTGTATTTTTTATAATTGTGCTTTTTCTGCTGTGTTGTATAATTTGGAAATAATTTCTGTGTGGATTTATTGCTAATTAAATGAGATTTCCTAGAAACTTTGTAATTTGTCATTTTTTATTTTTAAATTGTGGACATAATAGACATTCTTTTTCTTGGAAGAAATTGCATCCTAGGAATATAAAATGCTAATGTTTGAATAAGTACTACATCAACTTCTGTTGTGCCTTTATTGGTATATATGATAATTTACTTTAGAAGGCTCTGTGACTTGAAATAACAGCCATTTCCAAAGTAAGAGTCCTCATATTAAAGTACCTGAGAAGGAGCTATTTGAATTTTATAGCCTTCATTTAAAAAGAATTCTCTGACTCCGGGGGTGCAGCGAGGAGAGAAATGAGGCTGAGCTGGGTCTTGACAGTACTGTCCATCTGCCTGAGCGCCCTGGTCATGGCCACAGGGGCCGAGGGCAAACGGAAGCTGCAGATCGGAGTCAAGAAACCGGTAGACCGCTGTCCCATCAAATCGCACAAAGGGGACGTCCTGCACGTGCTCTACACGGGGAAGCTGGAAGATGGAACAGAGTTTGACAGCGGTCTGCCCCAGAACCAGTCCTTTGTCTTCTCCTTGGGCACAGGCTAGGTCATCAAGGGCTGGGACCAGGGGCTGCTAGGGATGTGTGAGGGGGAAAAGTGGAAGCTGGTAATCCCATCAGAGCTGGGGTATGGAGATAGGGGAGCTCCCCCAAAGATTCCAGGTGGTGCAACCTTGGTGTTCGAGGTGGAGCTGCTCAAAATCAAGTGATGTTCAGAACTGTAGCCAAACTGGAGAAAGGTGGTGGAGAGGCCCCCATCAGGGACCAGGCTGTTTAAAGAAAGAAAAAAAACCTTAAAACCCTAAATAAACCAACAAAAAAGAATTCTTTTCAATATCCTCATATATAGAATCTGTTTGGTCTATCAACCTGTGGTTTAAGGGTGTTGTATTTCTGGATATGATCTTATCACATTCAGAGGACAGACTTTGAGCAGAAGTCATTACTGAAATAATTTGGCAAAATCTTGATGGATTTCTGTTTAAATTAAAGTATTTTTTAATGTTTTTTCCTCTAAGCACTTTAAGGATGGAGACAAGGTAATTGATTAATGGCAGATGGACAGAAAGATCATCTAAAATTGTGTATTCATTTGTGTAGGTATTAGAGAAGAAATAAGCTCAGTATTTTCATCCTTTGTAGAATTTTGAGGTTGGTAGTTACTCTAATAAGTAAGCCACTTTGGTCCAGTTCTGTAATCCCTCTTGAACATTTTCAGTATCTCATTTGTAACTTGAGACTCAAGAGTGGGTCTGTGAATTACAGGCATTATTTACTCCAAGCACACATTTCTGTCTTCTTTTGACTTAATAGATTAATCAAAGTTAATTGAAAAAAACCATTAAAAAAACCTGTTTGGAATACATTGGTCTCTGCCTTTTGTACTGTAGTAGTTTAGTGTCAAAATCAATTAAATCCTCTAAAAGTTACCATGACATGAACAAGTAGATATGAAACTCAGTGTGGGGCCAGTTGAAGCAAAGACCTCATTCAGATGGCAGTAATTGCTCCCATTCTATCTATAAAGATATAGATTAAAAAAAAAAACAGGCGAAGAGGGTAAACTTCATATAGGTCCTTCTGTATTGTGTGTTCTCAGTTGTATCTGACTCTTTGTGACCCCATGGATTGTAGTCTTCTTTCCATGGAATTTTCCAGGCAAGAATACTGGAGTGGGTTGCCATTTCTTGCTCCAGGGGATCTTTCTGACCCAGGGATCGAACTCTTGTCTCTTGTGTCTCTTGCACGGGTAGGCAGATTCTTTACCCCTGTGCCACCTGGGAAGCCATTCCTTCTAGATTAGGTACTTGTAATATAAGAAGAATATTATTTTGATAATGGCTGTATCCAGTCCCTTCGGTTTTAAGTCACAAAGATCCAAATAAAACTTTTTTAATCCAGAAGCCAACCACCAAACCATGGAAAGGAAGTGCTGAATGGACTGGGGGACTCCAAGCCTTCCAGGACTTACTTTCTCTGCCCATTTTCTCTCATTTCAGGATGTGCATGTATGTTGGACCACATTCTCTTTCTCCATGAGGTGGGGAACTAGGTTGCTTGGAGGCCAGCAACAATCTGAAGTAAATTGTAAACAATCAGTTTACAATCTGAAGGAAAGATCTAGTTATCCTTTCACTCCAATTTGGAAAACTGTGATGGGTTCTCTGGGGTCCCATGTTCTCTTCCTGACCCAGTCACTGTATCCAGTGGGGTGTGGTACGTACAGTGCCAGCCTGGACCCATGTCCACCAGGACTCCAAGACAGTGTGCAGCTGGCAGCTCCTGAAACTTCATGGCGTGGCAATGGTTTTCAGGAAAGGAGGAAAGGAAAGCAGGCAGTCAAAAAGCAAAGGATGTCAATTACACTGTCTCCAGACCACCCTGGGCTTTCTTGATGGCTCAGTGGTAAAGAATCCACCTGCAGTGCAAGAGACAAGGATTTTATCCCTGAGTCGGGAAGATCCCCTGGAGAAAGAAATGGCAACCCGCTCCAGTATTCTTGCCTGAGAAATCCCATGGACAGAGGAGCTTGGAGGGCTACAGTCCATGCGGTTGCAAAGAGTTGGACACGACTTCATGACTAAGCAACAACAGACCACCCTAATTTCTCTCCAGGAAGAGAGGGGTGTGTAAATAGGAGGGTGAGTTGTAAAAACAGGGGTAGCAGACATTTGTCATTCTTTTTGACGAGGTAACTCCTGAACGCCTGTTCTAAGTGTGAGGAAATGGTGTTAAAAAATGACATGAGTTTTTGTCTATTGGATATGATTTGAGAGGCAAGATATACTGCTGGTATGCATTTCAGAAAGATGACTAGAATCATACTCTTGAAGTCATCTTGGAATAAGGCATTTTCTCATGAAAAAGAACACTTGCTGAAATGAAAGTATGTTTTGTTGGGAGCAGAACTGATGAATGAATTACTCCCTTTGGATGGCAAGATTAGTGGGTGTGACTAAGAAGCAGTGGAGTCCGCCAGCCCTGAGCATCTGGGGATGGCAGGCCCTGAGCATCTGATGGTCTAGTTCTAGAGGAGAGGAGAGCGCTGAGCAGGGCTCCTTGGGAGGGAAGCTAGGGAAGGACAAACAGCCTTCCTCACAGTGCTGCCTAGAGTTAGTACTGTTATGCCAGGAAAATGGATATTACACAGGTACATATAATGTAAAAATGATATACACTTCGGTCCATGGGATTCTGTAGGCAAGAATACTGGAGTGGGTTGCCATGCCCTCTTTCAGGGTATCTTACCCACCCAGGGATCAAACCCACATCTCTTAAATCTCCTGCATTGGCTGGCAGGTTCTTTACCACTAGTGCTATCTGCGAAGACGTATGTTATTATATAACGTATATATCAGTAATACCTTTAAAGACACATTTAAAAAAATATATTTTATTGAAGTATAGCTGATTTACAATGTTATGTTAATTTCTGCTAGATAGCAAAGTTCAGTGATTCTTGTTCATACTCTCTTCCATT